CGGGTGAGACGAAAAGGAAGATTTGCGATGGGTGGCGAAGAAGAACGATGGGTGAAAAGACAGCAGTTGGGATGAATACGACGAAGAGAAGATGGATGGATGTATGGAGGGCATCTCGGATCGTCGTTCGGAGAGTTTAAGCTTTGCGCGATATGGACGCCGATGGAATGAGCGAGATTCCGGAAGGCTTATCAGAGGTGATCCCTAAAGGTTTCCACCTGAAGATTGCGAGAATTACGATGGATGATCTGCGGAGGACACTTACACTTCAGATACGTGTGCGTAGGCTCAAAACAAGTGAGAGGAGGCTGCTGGTCGTTCGGCGGGGGTTACTACGCGCGAGGGTGCATAGGCCAACGCTTCCGACAACGCCTACGACGATGATGAAATGCCTCTTTCCCCTGGTGTACAAAAGCTCCTTGTAAAGACCCTGATCAGAAAAATCAATAGATAGAACGTCAGAAAGTGGGTCACACTGGAAAGTATAAAGCGCCTTCCGAATCGATGATATCGCATCGTGTATCATGCAACCATAGATGGAAGGGCCTGACGTCTGGGCCATCGAGAACATGAACATTCTCACAACCATTATGATACTCCGATATGCATACCGTTCAAAAATTGATGAGACCACTGACGAAGATCATCGACCACGATTAGACTTTCTCTGACGGAAAGGAGGTATCACTTGCGGCACTTTCTCGAGAACGTAAGAGTTGGAATGTATCCTCGGACGAAGAGCAGACTAGAGCACGTGCAAAAGCTGGTAGGCGGGCCAGCTTGTGTATCACCCAAGTAGAGAAAGCAAAAAGGCCAGCTTCAAGTTGCACGAGGGAGAGCCTGGGGAAGGTAGCTGCCTCGCGAGAGGATGCCCTAATGATGCTCGAAGAATCACAGTGTGAAAAGCATATGACAAACCCAAGGTAGCCTACAGTGCCTTGCACCAATGATCTCAGTGCAGACCAGACGCATATGCATGTGTGGCATTTTTGGGAGGATGCAAACGTCTGAAGAAAGAGGAGGAAAATCACCGGCAGATGCCGGGAGACTTACCCAGTGTGGCGTTGTGGCGCAAAATACTTACCTCGCAGGCGTGTCAACGTCTATGACAGACGACGAGGCTCGGTAGGATGTTGAACACGAGAGCCGCGTTAAAGCAAAAGTCTAGTTGTCATTGACACAACACGTATTGTCACATTCCCACCAGCTACGTATGGAATGTCCACACTGAGCAAACAGCCGCAACCAACTTGGAGTTGTCTATCGGGCAGGATGGCAACTATCGAGTTCCTGAGAGCTGTGGTGGCCAGGTAATGGAATGTGCGTGTGGTGATCACCAATCTCTGTCCGAGCTGCTCCCGTCCTCGCCTGCCAGATGAATCACGCAATACAGTGTCAGCGATGAAGATGCGAGAGTTGCTTTGACAAATGGACATGATTGACGAAGAATGATTTGAAGGCATGCGGAAGGCGAAGGGTATGGAAGTTGGTTCAAAGTAACAAAAGGGGAAGAGATGGAGATAACTGAATGGAGGTGCGGACATAGAACAAGCACCTCGAAGGATGCGCCGATGATTGATAGCTGGCAGAAAGTGAAGAACGCGAAAGGAAGCGCGTCACTGAGAAGATGAATGAGAATGTCCACAATTCCCCAAACGTGTTACAAAGTGCAACCGAAGAACTAGACAAAAACAGATCACTCTGAACCCAAGGAGAGAAAGACGCACGGGAGTCAACGCCACCGTGTCGAGCGACCCGCCCAGACTCTGGAGCCCGTTTGACGACCATAGCGTCAGCTGCAGGAATCGACCAACCCCAAAAGCGCGACCATAACCATATCGACGCCCAGCCCATTCCATTCGAGAATGTTCGAGTCCCGGATCGTTATAGAATGGATGCGACGGTGAGAAGAACGGGCGCAAGTGAATGACGGTTAGAGCATGGGTGAGACGTGTACGGTCAGTGTTGATTCAGTTGTTGAGAGCAAGTGGCTCGATGAAGGCAAAACGTACCGGCGGGAACAGGGGCAGCGACCACCCCGGACACGCAAACGAGCGCAAGCGCAACAAATGCGGAGAAGAACTTCATACTTGATATGGATATTTCGAAAGAGAGTGGACAGGTATTGCAGTAAAGGCGATTCGACGAGCGATGAAGATCAGCAGAAAGGTAGGGAAAGGGAGGAAGCACTGAGAAAGGCACGACGGTCGTCGCGTTGCCGATTTATTTATACGCTGACGACGAGCGTACCGTAATCAAACCGTAAGAGAACGTGACGTTAAGGACCGCTCGAAGAGCTTCAAGAAGTCAGAAGAACCAACCCTAGAGGCTGTGTCGTAAAGAAGGGCGAAGGGAGCCAGTTAGAGTTCCATAGGAGAGCTAAACGGAGATGTAGAAGAAATATATATGGAGCACAACTTTGTTCAACTTCGCCTTGGGGTATCTCATAAAAGACGTGATATGTGTGCGCTCATCTGTCATTGCACAGAATGATAGCTAGCTGATGGTAAGAATTCACTGGGGGAGGGGCAAGAGAACCTAAAAATCGCTGCAGCTGCTTTCAAGCGCTATACAGGTACTTTGACATTCGAGCAGGGTTTGTTTGTTGAGTGTACCGATACCGAATTGGTGATTGGCGAATGCAAGAGTATGCGGAAAGCAACCGGAAGCCGGCGCTCCTTCTCCTATCTTCGTCTCCACTCCATGGCGTCGATTCGAAGAGCTGGCCATCCAGTCATCGTCGCGTACCTCGCCGTCTACGCCACAGATCATGTCAGAACTGCAGGTGTGCTGGTGCTGTGCGCTGATTGGGATGTATGCAACGCCTCCGGCGGCATCCTGCGGCGATATCGATGCTGGAGGCCATTCACTTGGTCGCAGTAAGTCAGATCTACATAGTGGCAATTTTGATAGAAGACGAGATTGTTATGAAGGCTGTGCGGGTTTTTGAAAGAGATCGCAGTCGCTTTGCCAACGCAATCGGGAATGAATATCGACTCTTCAAATGAAATTGCAGGAATTTGACGGCGGGGATGTGGAGGGATGTGGACGGCACAAAACCGGGGCGAGCTCGAGATGAGCAGGGCATGATGCCTCTAAATGGCAGCGTTATCACGGAAAGGAAAGAAGAAGTCGAAGAAACCACCTTTTCGAAAGCATGCCGAACTTCGACTGCGGCGTACATTAATCGTACGAGTGAGTCAACCTCGAGAGCCAGAAAGAAGTAGAGGGGAGGCAGAATTTTAAACGTCTCCATTCCCTGAATCCATGTCTGACTGGTAGGAAAGAGCGCGACAGACAATGACAACAGCCTCTGTGGAACTGAGTTTAAGAAATGCGGCAGCGGGTCGATGTCATATTAAAACTCAGCAATTTGCCCCGATGGCTGAGTTCTCCTGAGTTCGAAAACAGTCAGCCCATGCGCCGGATGTGATTGTCGACGCGTCTTGCTTCACGCATTTCCCGCATTCTTGACGATTTTCGGTATTCTCTGCATCTCTATCTGATTTCTTGTCATGCCGGTCTTCTTGTCGATGTTGATTGAAAGCGCTCTTGACGGTCTCGCCAAACGAGCACTCAACACTGTCCCTAGAAGGTGGTAGACCAAACTTGACAACAGGTAGTGGCCCATCACGAAGGATTCATATCTCGCCGGCTTGTTCTGCCTCTGTCGTGTGTTTACTCTGCTTATTCAATACCATGATCTCGTACCTGCGCTTTCCATAGCTCTGAATACCAGCTTTCACTAATCCGAGAAAATACGCGTTTCCGAAGCTGTCGCGGCTCACGATGTCTTCACTCATTGCCTTGAGCTGGCGTGTCGGCCGGTGAGTGGAAGGTTATAACAATTGAAGGACCGAGGATGGATAAGGAAGATTTAGAGAGGGGACTCGAGGGCCTAGGCGGTAGTGCCATTCGTATGAGTGCAGGAGCCAGAGATGCTAGCCTAAAATATCGTTGCTAGCAAGATTGATGGCCTTGTGAGCAACACAAGGAACAGATCCGGGAGTGGTGAGAGGGAAGTGGGTTGAAGGATGTTATTGCGAGTTTGCGGTCGAAATGCAGGAATCGAATGGTGCCCTGCCCGAGAAGAACACGGAGATTTCCTCACGCCAGTGCTCAAGTGCTTATAGTCCGAGTCGGAGAGGGACAATGGCGTATGGACGAAGTTGGATGTCCTAGAAGGGGACTGGAGAGAGGTGGGTACGATTCGCCATGCATCCGTTTCGCCCACCTTCTTGTTCTTTGAACCATCGTAACATCGGTGTTATATATCCCGTCCACCGCAAAAGGAATGGCCTCGCGGGTCTTCTGCCTATATTTCTCATTCTGCTCCCCAAAAGCTTTCGCCCGGGTATCGATCGAACGTAGTCGATGCAGGGTGCTGTCTCTATACTTGCGTTGCCCTTTGGTCTGTGTCTTGATCCTTTATTTCTGTCTGGGATCGTTAGTTTGATGTTTAACATAGAGCGGCGGCCGACCGTCACGTATCATGTTTTGATCATGTTACCTATGGGAATAGTCCGACTAGACCGACACTCACATGCATGATGGTAGCGTAGCGCTTGGGAGTATGGAAGAACGCACGGTCGTTGTGTCCAGCATCCAGCATGTTATTTCCATGGATTGTTTATGGCTTGCATAACAGGCGACGGAATACCGGTGTTCACTACTTTCTGAGACTATGGAGCAATTGAATCAAGCTATTCATATATTTATAACTCGAACGCAAATGTAAGTTCTACAAACGGTTCGTAAGACTTGGATTTGCTCTCAGAGTCGGATCACTGACCGTTCCCATTCAGTGCTTAGACGGGCGCTCACACCGATCACTTCTCAACCACGCGGATGCTCCTGGATACCAAGGCTCGCCGAAAGATCTACAGTCTCACAGATAAATCGCAGCGGTGCACCCGCACTCTTGCAAGACCACCATCTCCGTCCTCTGTAAGAGTAACACCGTCTACTCGCTACACTCTCGCTGGATGAGAATTGCTCTTATGTCTGTCACATATCTGATCGTAGACGACCGGGATCCTAATATATCGTATGGGCCTACAAGTGGGAGCTGGACCAAGAATAGTACGTGCAATCCGCGAGTGTGAGCTGTGCAATGCAACTAGTGACACTAGCGTGTTCTCGTAGACGGGGTGGACATAGAGTTCATGTCTACGACAACTGAGGCAAATACTTTGGGATCATCCATGACATTCAGCTTCTCTGGTGAGCACGACTGCTACGCGTCGTTGATTGAGAATTGAAATCTGCCTAGGAAAGGCCATGTTTGCTTTTGGTACGCTTGGTGGCAGTACCGACCCACAGACCGTCAATGCTACTTTCGCCATCGACGACGATGACGCTTCTTCTAACATTATAACATCACGACGGGTCGCGTCGCACCACATCTCTGTCTTCAATGCGACATCTCTGGAAGATACGACACATTCAGCCAACCTCGAGATCACCGGAGAATTCTTCTCCAACTTCTTCCTCGACTATATCATCGTCGAGGCTACCGAGAATTCTACAATACCTCACCCGACAACGTCTCGTATCTTCATCGACGACACCAGCCCGTATTTGTCGTGGTCAGGAGACTGGGCAGTCGCTACACCTCCTTGGGTGTCGTTCAACGACTCCTTCACTCAAACAGACGGTACTTACAACGGGAGCGTTACGGGTGCAGTCGCAGTGGGGGCGTCGATGACACTGAACTTCATCGGTACGTCCTAAATTCGCTATCCCCTCGTTTAGACAAGTAGATTCGAACATTGGACGTGCATAGGAACAACCATAGACGTCTACGGTATGGCAATTGCTAGCTCCGACCCCCCTGCATCTTTTACAATCGACGGCAGTATCCCGATCAACGTCTCCATGCCTGTCGACATTGGCGATCCCTCTCCCGCATTCAATTGGCACTATATCTCCGTCCCTCTCTCATCCGGGGGAAACCACACCTTGGTCATCACATCGGAGATAGCGAATTCGTTCTACATCGACTACGTCCTGGTAGGATCCGACACAGTCTTCGTTCCTCCGCCCACAGCGGTGAAGGAAGATACACCCTCGACGAGTGCTCCCGAACCCACGACTACGACGTCCATGGCTCCATCCTCGAATGATAACAAACAACGGAATAAATCTGGAGTCATCGCGGGGGGCGTCATTGGTGCTGTGTCGTTCGTTGTCCTCTTGGTGCTCGGAGTGTTTTTGTGGCGACGTAGACGGAGGTCCAGAAGGCAACAATTCAACGGTGCATTCCTTCAGGGTGCTGAGTCTCCTCCAAATGGTAGGCCTTACCTGTGCTTCTCGTCATCCCTTATAGCGAGTGCTTGCCAACGTATTATGCTGTTCTAGTCATGACTACCTCGGTCACTCCGTTCCCCCTCACCGACTCTACACGACCGCCTGTGAGAGTTCCACAGAACACCCAACAAGGCGCTGGCATCCGATTAGAGTTCAATGGGGAAGCGGGTAACTCTCGGATGATACAAATCCAGTCACCATCGAATGTTTCGAAGGTGGCGAGGGCATCTGAGGGATCTGGAGAAAGTCAGACAGATAGACGAACAACGTTGCCACCAGCATACACTGCATAGCCGTCACCTGTTAGTAGTCATAGTGAGCAATATTATTATTCCCCCCTGTGTATTTGTGCTATGTATATGGTTACATCGAATGCATCATCAACGAGCTTCGTCTTGGTTTGATTTCTTGTGCGCCTTTCCGTTTCGGATCTTCTGTCAGTTTTTTTCCTGAAGATGGTTGTAACTTACTTTTGTAGTGAGAACGTGAAAGGAGCACTGCACCCGAGATCTCTGTGCGTGGGTAACGGTGGGCCTGTGAACCCCCTTGGTAGTCCAATGTAAACAGAGTACCGGTCTTCAACGTTCAATGTCAACGTTCAACCGGCTGCCATTGGCGCACGTTGGAACCCAGTCATTCACGATCGCTGAGTTTGGCTGAGTTCAACTGAGTTTGAAACCAGTTATTGCAAACAGTCGACGCGTCGACGCGCTCGCTCTCACCCTTCACTTTTTTGAGACTTTTTTGCGGTTCTTTTCTTGTTTTCCAGCCTTTTCATCTGCTTTCTTGTTGTCTGAGCCTTGCTGTGGATGTTGATGGAAAGCGCTCTTGATATTCTCGCCAATCTGGCACTCAGTACTGGTACTGCACTTGACGATCAGGGGCCCAACGTTGGTATCCTCGGTCCCCCGGGCTCTCCAAATGGCGGCAGTTCATCTGATGCAGATCGTGGCGGTCTCCCCGGGAAACGAGAACAATGGGTTTTAGAGTCAAGGGGCGCGTTTATTGTATGTTTATCAACTTGGCCCCTATTTCAATCCATCCGCCTCATATAATCTCTTTACCGCCGACTTATCCGTTGTCTGTCTCGGCGTGTGACCTGCTTGCTCTAATGTTGTGTAATTATCAGGACCCTTTATCCGCGCCTTTGACAGCTCTGACCATTCAACACGAAAAAATGTGCGTCTCTGAAGCCCTGGCCGCTCGAGATGCCGTCGTCCATCACCTTGAACTGGCCTGTCGATCTGTAAGGGAGAAGGCCGTCACCATCGAGGAATTGCGTAGCGAAAAGGAACATCTCGAAGGGAGGCTGGAGGAGTTGAACGGGGGTGCAGTTCGTAAGGGCGCAAGAGGCGGAGATGTCAACCGAAGGAGGTGTGACAACGACACTGGGGGTGGAGAGGTCGACGGTCTTAGGAGTGACGGCAAGAACGAGTCGACGGGCAATCAGACTGAAGTGGAGAGGTTAAGGGGCGTCATCGCCAGCCTCCAGGTTGAACTTCAGGAGTTGAAGGATCGGACTCAGAAGAGCGCCATTCCCGAAATCGACCGTGAGCAGCCCCCGCTTGCATACGAGGACCAAGCCGTCCCGTCTACGGTGAGCTTCTGGTGGTTATATCGTGCTATGCTCTCGTTCTAGTCGCCTTGTTGGTGTTTTAGTCTTTTTGGTCTTCTCTCTTGTGCGCTCATCTGGTGTCAATGTCTGGTTCTGCATGCTGGCTCTCAGCACTCGTCAAACTCTTTAATATATGCTGCGCTGCGGATACAGTCTATGCTATCATATCGTTCTTCTCTCCCTGGAAACCTCTCTGACCAGGGTTGTGGTCTGGTAGCTCTTTCCTGGCTCCCTGGCTCCCCCTCGGCTCCTAACGCCAGAGGGCTCATCCGCATCTGGCCGTCACCGTACCGCACACAACTCGGTCCAAGAAAGACAGGATTATTTCAACCTGCCGATAGCCTCACCCTCGCAAAACTTACGAAAGGGACAAGGGTTCTCGCCGAATACTTTTCCGTTACTCGAAACGCCGATTTCGTCTCCCTATGCAAGACATGTCGTAACCTTGGACTCGAATGACCTGGATTACAAAGTGATTATCATCCCTTGCTGACTCAACGCGTATGTGTGACTGACATTCCTCTCAGATCCTGTCACCAACCCGTTCCCCGAACCTCTCCCCACATCTCCTTCGCCACCACAGCTCCACTTCCACCAACTACACCACCGGCTCCTCCTCCTCATCAAACTTCACGCCTTACCATCCTTACGACGAAGCGACTTCCTTTCATCTTGCATCTGAAGAACCGAGCCCGAAGCCAGAAGATCTGATCTCCGCGAGACACGAAATATTAGCGGCTTTGCCTTTGCCGGAAGATGTGCCCAGTGATGTGCTGAGGCCGATTGTAGTTCCGACTCCGTTGACGATGCAGGAGTGGTTGAGTGGTGTTGTAAGTTTCGTTTGATTGTCGTTTCCTGTGCTGGAGTTCATCGTCGCGTGGCGCCACCGCCACGCATGTGCTTCCTGTACTGACCAGCATTATCTGTTTTTATACATATACTCAGCCTCTTCGCCCGTTGTACGTTCGTTCAGCCCCCCCATTCTAGATTTTAGTCTTAATCTCCCCCATGATAGGCTGCAGAACTACAGGATCCTCCAAGAACTGACGACGACGTGGTGTCCTGCCCGTGAAGAACATGGTTATTTCCTCACGCCGGTATTCAAGTGCACTACGAATCCAAGGGTGACGACCGCGCATCGGTGGACGAAGGTGGATGTATTGGGGAGAATGGCTGGCGGACGGGGATGTGGTGAGTCAGACTTGTATCCATTTTGCACAACTCCTTTTGGTCATCTTGGGGGTTTCGGTCAGGAGGATTGAATGCTAAAGGACGTATTGTTGCGTTACTTTGTAGAGTGTTTCTACAATAAGGACGGAAAATGGTATTACGCCGGAACGTATACGGCTCTTCGACTCGCAGACCTTACTCCGAAGGAGTTCGAGCAGCTCTCTACCGAGGTATGCCTTCCCACCTAGCCGTTGGTTCTGATTCACGCTCGATGTCATGTGCATACACTGACATATAACAACAACCATTAATACCCCATAGACAACCCAACTTCTCATCCGCGAAACAATCTCCTCCCGCAAGAATACCTCCCCGCAGAACATCTTCGAAGTCACCCAGCTCTACGCCTGTGGCGCGCTGAAGGTCGCCTGCGTCGGATTACAATGCATCGGGTTCAATCGTGAGCTTTATGAGAAACTGCAGGAACTCGGACAGAATGCTAGCCACGCTGGACCCAGTGAGCTGAGCGGACAAGGTATCGGTGGGAGTAGTGTGGCGGGGGGAGCGGGGAAGAGTCCAGGAATGCCTGGTGCTGGTGGTAGCGGGAGGCCGTATGGTGGTCAAGGAGGTGCAGCACACAGTCCTGGCCCCTCACGCAGCCCCGGACGAAGTCCACACCTTCGACTCAACCTCAACCTCAGTCCTGGCCTTGGCCTGAGTATCGATACACCCACCAGACGGGGCGCAGGTGCTAGAGGAGGGCCTCCTAGCCCATTGGGCCTTCAGTTTCCGAATTCGAATCCGAGTTCGAGTCCGATGTCGCAGATCCCGATGGGGCCGTGGAATAGTATGAGTGGTGTGCATGTCGGGATGGGAATGGGATCGCCGGGTGGACCTGGTGCTGGTGCTGGTTGTGGGAGGGGGATGCTGAGTGCGACTAGTCCGATGGGCGGTATGGTGTTGGGCATGGGTGTGGGTGGAGGTGCCAGGTCAGGAGCGGGAATGGAGGGAAACCAGAATGTTCTGCCTGGGTCTGGCGGCGTTTGAGTGAACCTTCTGGGTATGCAAGGAAAGGGTGAGTGGCGGCTTGCTCAAATGCTGGAACCTCGCATGGATGCAATTGGTCTGTTGGGCGACGTTATGGTGGCAGGTCGACCTCGAAGGATGACTCTGGGCTGTCTGGGCGATTACCGCTTTATTTGGGCTTCTGGTGCGGACATCTGTTTCCTTTGCTGGTTCACTTCGGTACTTGGTGGTTGTCGCTTGCACTAGGCTGTTACTTTTGCATGAGCTTTCCGATTGGGACTGGTTTCTGGGATTGTGTCTGTGTCGCATCCTGGATGGACTTCGTGTCTGTGGATAGAGCTCGCTGGCTGTTGCTTCTTTGTATTTCTACGCACTGTGATTCTGATCTGTGTATTTCGCTGAGCTTCGTATTGACGTGTCTGTTCTCCTCTGCGTGTCCGTTGTTTGCACCCCTGTAGTCTATGCCGAAGTCTGCATATCGTTAGATTCAATTCAATTCGTTCCAAAGTTCGTGCGTATACGTAGGGGATCCATCAAGCTGACGTGAGACCGGGTAGATGAAAATGAGAGAAAGGAGGGTAATGCAGTCCGAAAAGTTTTAACCAAGAAATACGCATGAGATACTTGAGATATATCATAAAAGAGCAAGATGAAGAAAAAAAAAGGAGAACGAAAGAATGTCTGCGTCTCTGTGTCCAAATATCGTGACTCCTGGAGACATGTGTCCGTATAAATCGAGAAAAAATCGTGAATAATGGTTGAGAAAAATAGATGTAATGAATGTGGGTATGCGTAGCACTAATGCTCTCTACATCAGTCTCCTCGTTAGATCACAACCTAAACGTCCTTGTTTAGTACTGCCTTGAATTTCTTTGCTGTGCCTTTATCGTCGCCTTTCTCTCTGCATCTCGACACTTCTTACTCTGAGTGTCAATCTCGGAGAGCCAGGCGTGGGCTTCACGGGAGGAAGAGGCGCGGAGAACGATCTTGTCGCCACCACGGGGATAGGCGAGGCCAACTTGGATTGTTAGATCGTCTGCAATAAGGTGAGAAGGGGTCGTCAGCAGGTGTTGATTGCGAAGAATGTTGATGAATGGAGGAAAAGAGGAACGAAAGGGTACATACCGCGTCCTTCGCGAACTTGTACCTCGGCGAGAGGGATAGGCTGAAAGTTTCATTGCACGGCTCTTCAGCGGAATGTCATAGCTGTCAAGAATAAGACTCACCATCCGATAAAGCGTCTTGGCTCCTTCGTCCGTAAGGACCAAGATGTCCGTACATAAGAACGCCCTCAGCTTCCTTCCGCTCTTTGACTTCCATAAAACAGCCTCTTTCAGAAGCTTCCGGTGTCCCATGTTGCGTGTCGGCGCGGATAGGTCCAACCGACTAAAAACACCCTCTGTGAGTAATAGGACCGACGTCGAATAGACATAGTGAACTAACCCCTGGCCGATCCATAGGTCCTGAGAGATCACGCTAAGTCGTTCCTTCCCTTCTTGCTCGCGAATAGCTTCATTGATGTGACTGAGGATACCTTCGGCTGTAGTGAGTGCGTTCTGCGTGTCGATGCGGTCTTTCTCGGAGTCGGTATAGTGCAATATCTAGTTTTACAACCTACGTCAGAAGAAATCCCGAGGGAGGAATAACGAGATAACATAAAACGTACCTGCTTGATGAGGAGCGGATATCGGGTTATTCGTTGCACTTCAGTTCGGGATCAGTGGTTATATGGACAGGGACAAATGCAAAGAGCGCACTGGGTACGAGGAGATAGCTAGAAAGGTCCAGATTACGAGCGGATGGGTCATCCCGTAATCGCTGATAAACCACGATTTCAGCTGAGAAGAAATATCTGTCAAGTGTCATGCACGTACCTTCAGGTGGGCTTCGAGTTCGGGCTTCCTGTCTCGTAGCGACTTCAGGACTTTGGCGGCGGTGCCCTGGTTCACACAATACTCCTAGAGTCACCAGTCAGGCTAACATCCGTTCGTCCAAAGAGTGGGAGAGACATACTCCGTAAACGCCCATATTATGCATGTGCTGGTATAGAATATCGCCGATCTGGTCTACATACAACCTGCAGCTCTTCTGTCGTTCTTCTAGTGAGCTCAAGAACGCCTGTTCGTGAGCAAATGGTTAGCACAAGTCCCTAGCGCAAAAAACCGTTACTGACCGTGTTGACGAGAAGGATGTCCTCCACGTTAGCAAATATAACCGTGATAGCCTTGTGTTCCATGGCATCCAACAGCCTCGAGTAAAACAGCTCGACAATGAGCTGCAGATCCCGGACATAAGCCGATTCCGTGGCGATGAACTCGAAGATAGCCTGGTTGTCAAACAACATCTTTAGAAATTGCCTCCGTATGAAACCGTCCGGACTCACCTCCTGACGCTTCCGTTCCCGAGTGGGGATACCTTCCAGCGCTGAGTTCTCGACCAAGCTGGCCCATGACTACACCATACAATGTCAACCACTCGTCGTTCCAAGTCGAATTGAAAGCACTCACCGATCCGAACGCTGGGCTGTTCGCACCTTCGCGAGAGGGCGAGGTCAAGTCCCCGTTCAAAATAGGACCCGAAATCACCGGCATTGTCCTCCTCTCTGCAGCCTCATCTACAGGCGTCCTGCTCCTCCCTAGCAAATGGAACAACGAAGACCCATACGACCGAGAGGTCGTATCGCTCCCCGTCCTCGAATGGGCCGACAGCGTCGTGTCATGGGACCGACTAGGCTGAAGGGAGAGCGAGGGAGCAGGGGAAGAAGGGACGGTACTAGGACCGCTACCACCAGCATTGAGGCCATCGGTGGTGGTGGAAGCCATAGACCAGCGATTGCTATCCGCCATGGATGCTTTAAACGCTTCATACCGATCATACGCATCATCCAGACGAGTGCCCGCATCCTCTCCAGCCTCGGGCGAGCGCGGGGAGTCCGGAGCGGGGACAGGAGGCAATTCCTTACCAGAAAATTCGGACGACGCAGATATCTGCGACAACCGTCGGTCGAAATCTTCTTCTTGTCCTTGCGGGATGCTCGAAGGACCGGAAGTCTGGGGTGGCGCCGGAGGTTTGCGGTGCGTTTTGGCGGGTGTAGTGGCCAAGAGCGCTTTTCGTCTCACGGGCCTGGGAGGGGGTTTCCGACCGTCCTGTTTCACGATTAGACCTGCGGCTTCCAGCACCCTCTGCCGCTCGAGAGCCCGCGCCTCGCGCTCGGCCTTACGCTTTTCTTCGTCCCCCTGAGCATGGGCGTCGTTGGTGTCCGTATCCGAGTCGTCGAACGAGTGGTACTCCGAATCCGACTCCGTGTCGTCGTCCTCTTCATCGTCGCTATAGGACCCCGTACCCTGGACATGGTTCGAGACGGGCTCATTCCCGGACTCTGTCATGGCCTGGTTAGGAAAGGATGGAACGGCGTCTCTGTTGGGTGCTTGTGCGTCAGGGTTAGCCGTGAGAATCACCGTATTGGAGGCCTCATTATTTGTGCTTCCGAGACCTGAAAATGTCCAGCAAGTTGAGGGTCACAATGCACAGAATCAAAGAGGTGAAAAAACGGAAGCATCCCGCATTTTTTGTATTCGAGGTATAACATTCATTGTTCATTCGAAACAAGAAAGATGATGATGATGATTAGGAGCGAGCGAGGAGGGAGAAAAAGAAACAAAAAAAAAAGAGCGTATTTTAGCCTGTGTGTTCCCAGCCGACCAATAAAAGAATGTGAACAGGAGCACTCAAGATGGGGATGATGACGATGAGTATTTGACAAAACTAACCCTCTACGACTTCGAGATACGCCGCGGGCACGATGAAGACCACTCCGCCTTGTTCCGCCTTCCACCAGTCATCTGCGCTTTGGTCCACGATGGAGAGGACGTCGCCTTCGACGAAGGGGAGCTCGTCGGCATCACCGGCGCCAGCGTATGAGTACGCGGCGCGGGCTTTCACTGCAAAGGAAGACGAAGATCAAGATACAGAAGGAGGGAGATATTGGAGGCATCTACGCACCGACATCGACAGACTGCACGTATGTCTTAGGGAAGAATCCGGACTTTCCATCGCGTACGACGGTCCCGTACCACCAATCACCTCCAGACTTGGACGGATGCGCCGTCAGAATTAGGTTCTCTCCGAAAGCTATTCACAACGACAGTCAGCGTTCATGCACACGACAGTCGAAAAAAGAAAAACTCACATAGATCCTCCGCCCTCTGCCCCTCGTATGCATACAACGACCTCACCCTATACTCCACACCCCTATCCACATCCTCCAACGGGTCGCTCTCCTCACCCTCCGCCGGCGCGACCTGAATATGCGGCACCGCATTCGCATGCCCATTCCCCACATCCCCCTCCTCCTCTTCCTCATTCATACTCGCCAACGTCGTCTCCCTCGTCATCGCCCTCGAATGATCATTATCCGCCGCCAAACCAGCATACCAATCCACACTCTGCCTATTCGTCGAATTCGTCGTCTCCCTCGACATCGACATCCCCATCCCCATCCCCTCCTCCTCTCCCTGTCCCTGCCCAACATCCGGAACAGGCACATGCGCACGCGGAGGCGAAGGCGGCGCAACGGGTATATTCACCTTAATATGCTCCGGCGGTGCCGCATCGCCCAAAACCTTCCCTCCCACCGGAGCCGCACTGCGATCATTCGTGACCGCCTTCCTCAACCTCGCTCCGCCCTGTATCGCGCTCAGGAGCGCGCCACGACCCCCCGCGGCGGCTGGTGCTGGTCCAGGTCCTGAGGGAGCGGGAGGTGCCATGGGAGGGGGAGGGGCCATTGGGGCCATCGGAGGCGCAGGGGGAGGCGGCGGCGGCGGAATTCCACCACCGCTGCTAATGTCGGGATTGAAAGCAGGAGGCGCGCTCGGAGGCGGAGGCGGCGGCGTCGGCGCAACAGGCGTCGACGGCTGCTTTGGCGTGCTCGCGTTTCCACCACCACCACCACCACCAGGAGCAGCGGACTGAGGCCTCGCGGGCGGTAAGATGCTCCCGAACAACTGCTGCGCGAGTTTATTCCTCGTATCCCTGCTCGAGTCCAGCTCATCGTCCGAACTCTCGTCGTCGTCCTTCTCGCGCACGTCGCCCCAGTCGTCGTCGCTGCTGTCGCCCGCACCGGGAGCGGTCGTGTACGGAGTCTTGACGGGGGGAGGGCCGGGCGATTTCGGGGGCGCGGGGATGGAGGGAGATGCGGATGAAGTGGGGGGAGGGTTGGATTTGAAGAAGGGATTGGTGCTCGAACCGTTCAGAGCCGGGGGAGTGGGTGCCGCGGGGGCGGCGGCAGCACCACCACCAAGCCGATTGAACGGATTATTCTTTCCCTTCTCCGACGGTGGGCTCGCCATAACCGGCGGGGGTGGAGGAGGCGGCGGTGGCGGCGGGGAAGCCACACCAGCAGCCGCAGCAGGAGGAGCAGAACTCGGAGGCTTAGGCGTCGAAGCCCTCGACCTCGCCTCCTTCCTCCTCTGAAACTCCTCCTCCGCCCTCCTCGCCTCCTCCGCCTCCTCCTCCTCCATCTGTCTGATCTTCGCCTCCCTCTCCTCCTTGATCCTCCTCTGTTCTTCCGCTTTCTCGTCCACCTGAGCTCGTCGGGCCGCTTCTTCGGCTTCTTGTTGTTCACGTCGAGCCTCTTCCGCTTCTTCGGCCTCGAGCTGTCGTTGACGTGCGAGCCGCTCTTCTCTCTGTTTCCTGAGCCGTTCCTCACGCGCACGGAAAGCTACTTCTTCCGGATCTTCTTGTTTGACAGGAGCCGGCGCTGGAGGAGTAGGTGCAGCAGCAGCGGGCGGAGTAGGTGCCACAGGCGAAGGCGCCGGAGCCCCCCGATTCACGAGCGCGCTCTTCCTCGGTGGCGGTGGCGCCGGAGCCCTCGGCTTAACAGGCGGAGGAGGCGCCGCCTTCCCAACCGCACTCACAGGCGGAGTCGGTGCAGTAGAGGAAGGCGACCTGCCCTCCTTGATCGCCTTTTCACCTTCCAACCTCTCCCTCCTCGCTCTCTCCCTCTCCTCCGCCGCCTTCTCCGCCTCCTTCGCCTTCTCCTCCGCCTCCCTCTTCTCGCTCGCCAACCTATCCTCCACACTCGTGTCTACGCGCGGTGAGCTTGCAGCGTTGGGAACGGGGAGCCCGAGAGCGGCCATGCGTTCTTCCATCCGCCGTTGGGCCTCGGCGCGGATGAAGGCCTTGCGCTCTTCGGGGGTCATGGCTTTGTTGGAGGGCGTGGTAGAGCGGAGGGGCGGGGCGGAGGAGGGCGCGGGTGGGGCGGGGGGAGGTTTGGAGATTGAGGAGAGAGAGGGAGCGGGTGGGGCGGGGGGTGGGGAACGGGTTGAGGGAGCGTCACGGTCACGATCGCGGTCTCTGTCGTATCCACGGTCGCGGTCGCGGTCACGGTCATAGGGAGAGTCCCTGTCTCTGTCTCGCTCATAGCGGTCGTACCGCGGTCTGTCCTCGTTCCTCGAGGACGACGAATAGCTGGGGTAATCGCGGTCGCGGTCGCGATCATCATACCTCCCAAACCTGTCATTCCTCCTATCCCTCTCACGGTCCCACTCCCTCTTCTCCCTCTCCCTCTTCACCTCCCTCTCCTCAATCTTCCTCTCCACCTCCGGAATCCTCTCATACAACAACCCCATCAACTCCCTCTCCAACCTCCTCCTCTCCTCGTCCTCCCTCGCCCCCTTCCGTCCACTCCTCGCCGCATACTCCAAATCCTCCTGCACCCGCTTCACGCGATACCTCAAATCCTCCATCTCCCTATCCAGCTTCTCGTCCTCCTCCGTCCGATTCCGTGACTCCTCTCCAGCCCGATCAAGCATCTTCGCAGTCCCCTCCAACGCCCTCTTCATCTCCTCCAAATCGCCCCTTCCCCCTCCTCCCTCCCTCTCCCTATCCGTCCTCACCGCACTGCGATCCAAATGCCTACTCCGGGGCGTATAATACCCCCCCGGCGGCGCATCATCCTCCCTATGTTTATACACCGTGGCGTCTTGGCGCGAGCCGGCGCCTGGTGCACCAGAAGAGTTGAAGGAACGTTCTTTGAGGCGCGAGATGGGGATGGAGGGGTCGAGCGCGGAGGGGGAGCGTGCGCGGGCTGTGGCGTCGTTTTTGAGGAGGCCTTTGAGGAAGTCGACGGAGGTGTCGAGGTCGCGGTGCGAGGGGGGGATGAGCTCGGGGGGGAGGGTGTCGGGGATTTCGTTGCCGTTGAGTTCTAGGGTCGGGAGGTTGGGTGAAGAGGGATTGTTAGTTGTTTTGGATCAGGGAGAAGGGTGGGCGGACGGATGCAGAGATATGAGTGGATAGATGGACGGATGGGTGGGTGGGTGGGTAGATGGGTGCGAATGGGGCAAAGTTCACTTGATGAAGAGTTGATGGATGGGGAGACGTGCGCGTAAAGAAATGAGAGAATAATTACTTCTGTAGATCAAACCCATGGCGACGTGGAATTCGGCCATGTTGAGTTTACCGCGGTTGTCTCCGTCGGCGAGTGTCCTGTGGAACAAGGTGGTGGTCAGTCATGAGCGATGTATGATGAGGACAAAATGGTTGAAGATAGAAATATGGATGTTTGTGGTAGAGGCTACACCATTGATGGCGAGACTCAGGATGATGTGGCGTGGGACAAGTCCCAGAGACCGCAAACGCGTAAAGTAGAAACGCAGGAGACGGAATATCGGTCGACAGGGGCATACGCTTGCGTGGTGGCGTATAGACGCGGCAGAGCCTTGAACAAGCAAAGAAACTCACCAAATCCTCGCGAGATCATTCTTATCCAGCCCACTCTGTCCAAAGACCTCAATCGCGGTGCTCCCATCAATAAAGCCCGTCCCCGCCGCGTCCCAAGCCCTAAATATCTTATCATAGCTCTTCTTCTCGCCCTGGGACAGCGCCCACGGCACCCTCGGCGCACTGGTGCCCTTGACCTCCTGATTGTGCTGCTGAAAGCTCTGCTGGAGCGAGAGCCCGCCGAGCTGCTGCTGGGGCTGAAGCAGCTGTGGCGCGCCAGCGGGGTTGTACGGCGCGGAGGCGTTCGCGGGCAAGAACGTGCTCGCCATCATCTGCAGCCTCGGGTCGACGAAGCCCGTGATCTGGGGAACCAAAGGCTGCAGCCCTCCACCGCCCATGCCTCCAGCACCAGGGAACCCGGTCTGCTGGGGCATAATCCCAGACGGCGAAGGCGACATGAATCGGCTCTGGGCCTGCTGCTGCTGCTGAGCGCCGAGAAATCCGCTCGAGGGGAGAGGCGGGACCGGCGGCGGAGGCGGGCGCTGCTGTTGCGCGTAGCCTCCGGCCATGCCGGGGAAGCCGGTCTGCTGGGGCTGCAATCCTGGAAATCCGGTCTGCTGAGGTTGTTGGAAAGGCGGTCGTTGGCCGGGGAAGCCTGTCGGTTGCGCTTGCAGGCCTGGAAAGCCTGTCTGTTGGGGCTGTTGGAACGACGGGTTTTGGCCGGGGAAGCCGGTCTGCATTGGGTATTGGTACCCTGCCTGGCCCTGGCCTTGTCCCCACTGCGCCATCGTCGGTGAAAATTAGGTGAAAATACGGGTGACAATGAGTAGAAGACGGTTATCGCGCTGGTACGGAACAGGCCAAGAGCGCGTAATGACGGGGACGCATCCAGTTCGGGCGGAGATTCAATTCGGGGGTATATAGCCGAGCCGTCATTTCCCTTTTTTTCTTCCACTCGTCCACGTACCCTCAATCCCATATTGTTTTGAACCCACTTGTGAACCTCTCGTATTCTTTATTTCTCGCTGCATCCCCACGACCCAGTCAAGGTCTCCATCCCACCTTCCTCACGGTTGGTACAATCTCAGTATGGAGACCTGTTACGGTCGTGGAACATTATGCGCACGAACCACGTCCTTCCGATGTGCTTCGTTCCGAAGTACGCGGGTCAAAGGACGCTCGTGCGTATCGTCTCTATAGAGTTGAGCTCAGTTTCCTGTCCTCCTTTGGGCATGGGGTGAGTGCTGGGCTCGTAGTTTGGGGACATACATCTCTTCTCTCTTCTCAGTTTGTCTTTCCGTAGCTTGATTTGCGGAATAGATGCTTTCTTAGTCCTTGCAAGGCGTTTGTTGTATGGAACTTTTCAGCGTAGAGTATTATATTCTATGCAAGACTTGTTTCGCCAGCACCTCGTGTGCTGGCAATATATCAACTCGATCTTTTGAACACACGATCTCCAATCCCAGCGACTCCGGTCGTATGTTCGACCTTTTCTCGTACGTCATTCTTGCCTACCTTTCCTTTTCGTTTATCCCCAGTAAAATGCACTGATACCTGATCCTAACTTTCCCCCACCCATCATCAATGCGCGCAGTTAGTACACAGCAGACCCGTCCAAAACATCAAGCTTCACCGACTAATGGGCTTCTCACCTAGGAAGACTCTGTCCTTATTCACCCGCCGTTATCCACCATCTATCCATCATACACGCAGTACACAGTACACAGCACAAACTGTGCACTCCAAGACATCTCGCTTCATCGACTCGACGGGCGACATTTCTATTCCGCAACATTCTTCCTCCACCGCCTCCGTTCGAGTTCCCGGACTGCACTAACTCGACCCATTGATCGGCCAGCCCCTCTATGTAACTCATGAAACTCGGTAAGTCCGAACCTCCATAGATCTCTTCTAGTCGAGTCAGCCTGTGAAGTGGACGCTGCGAGACAGGAAGTGCTGTTTGTATGTAGTCGTGACAGTGCCGGTGATGCGCAGACCTTTGAGCGTTTGAGACCACGACTAGTGGCTCATGTCTCCGTCGTCTACGATTTCAGCGCTAGCTGATCCACTCGTCGATGACTGAGTCAAGGACTGGGACCCTAACTTGGATTTGGAGCCGAGCTTGGACTCTGAGGTGATTTGACTCTTCGCCGTTCGTTGACATCATCGTCTACGGACAACCCAGCCCCAGACATGATTCCCACCACGGGTGCATTACTCTTCCTCGGGCCAAAAGCAATTGCAACCCGCGAAGCATACCGCGAACCACGAACCGTCATACAGTGAATTCTTTTGTCAAGCTCAGCAGTGGCAATGTCCTGATGTGGGCCACACCGTACAGTGCTGCGACGCCCGTAGTCGTATCGCGCTTGAGTTGCATCGCATACTTTGGGACCACTTTCGAACCTCGGCATCTCGCCACAAGCGTTGTTCTGAAGTCTCCTCGTCCATCATACACCCTGCTTCAGGCGTACTTTTCGAGTCGTAATCAGGACCTTGAGCAACGCGATGCGTCTTCAGGGTTCACAATGATTTACGGATAGTTCGTATATCTCGACGAACGAACGAAAAGCTCCTAATACTGATGTTCGTTTCCGAGCTCTGGTTTCCGTTTCTTTCGGATGAAGTGGCACGGCTGCGAGTGCTGTACATACACTGTGTTTCCCAAACTCGGACAATGCTCGACGAGAATCAGCATGGTCTGAAACGGTCCCTGAACGTCGTCTTCTGGTGTTGTCACGAACCGATTGTCGCGAGCTCGAACTCGGTCTGGTCTGACTATCTTAGACTCGAGGGCTGACGATGCTCGGTGTAGTTTGACGATACGATCTATTGGGGCATGTTGAACCTCAGGGACTCGGCTGCCAATGCTTTACGCAGGGTCTTCTGAGCTCCGATGAGGGTCGACGGGAATCAGCATAGTCTAAAGTCGTCTTTGAAGTTCGTTAGACTTCGTCCTTTGGCATCGTCGTGGATACAGTCCGACTGGCCTGCTTGAGGGCTGATGATGTTCAATGCCGTCTGGCAAAGCCCATCAACCCCATCCCTCGTGATATCTCGTAACAGCACATCCATTGGCGGATACTAGACTTCCTCGTCTCGCCTCCTATATGCATACAACAGCATCCTTTCCCAATCCAAGAAAAAAACACGTCCTGACAGAACAGACCATAATACCCAATCGTACACTTCTCCGAGCCGTTTCTTTGACGTTTCGCTTTACCCAATCCAAGAAAACCCGTCCTGCCCAAACTAATCCTACAAAATTGTACACTTCTCCGAGTCGGTGCGTTTACGTTTCGATGCCCAACTATTTCGCCCTGCTCGAATCTACAATTCCGGATGCACGAGGTGGAATGTGTTCGGGGGGTCTATCGTCTGCGTCTTTCATGGTGGCGACTCGTTAGCGACAGCGAGATGTTAAGTATTACAAAGAACTCCTGCGTACCTTCCTCAGGCATGTTCATCCGGCGCTGCTGATGCAAGGGCTGCTGGTGTAGGTTCTGCCGGTGCAGGCCCCGCCGGTGCAGCCCCTGCTGGTGTATGGGCTGCCGGTGCAGGTGCTGCTGGCGCAGATGTTGAGGATCCAGACGTGGCTGGAACGGCCACCGCTTGCTCAGGTGTTGTTTGAGCAGGAGCTGGTGGTACAGGCGTTGCTGGAAAGGCTGCGAGAATAGCTCTTCTGGCCTGTTCATTTACTGCGTGAACGTCCTCCTGCAGATGTCCCCTTTGTGAATTCGAGTCAGGCACGGTCAGTTGCTCCAGCCTTCTTTTCGCATCAGCGAGAATCGCTTCGGCCTTGGGCAGATCCTTCAAAATTGCTTTGGCTCTCGTGACGTCAGCCAAAATCACTCTGGCCCATTTAGCAGATTTCACCCCTTCAACCACCGTATTCCTGGTCACTTCCCCATCAGCCGAAGTCACTTTTGCCATAGGCTCCTTTACCCAAGCCTCTTGGTCTTGTGTCGTAGTCTCTCTAGCCCAAGCCGCCTTGTCTTCTAATCGGTGGGCCATGTTTTGGACAACTGCTATGATGCCCTCCCGCAGCTCGGAGGACATAGCTGTGGGTGCACCGAGGACGTCTTCGGCGAGAGAGATTACTCGGGAGACGATATCTGAGTAAGACCTAGGGTCAGGATCGGTTTCTCTCAGACGGAAGAGGGCGACGGCATCAAGCAGTTGTGTCACGAGAGGTTCATTGGTCCTGAACTTTTGTGCCTGTTCAAGTGCTGCTTCGGCGAACACCTGCAATCCACGACGAGAGAGACATCGACATAATTCTCGAAGGGCAGTGTCGATGTCCGTCAATTGGGCACTGTCTGTCATATCTCTATAGGCATTCCAGGAATCTATCAGGGCAATCATGTTTTGGCGATTCTTGAAGATCGGATGACTTCGAAGGTCACCCATAGACCCAAATAGGACAGAGAGTGGGTTTCCTGAGAGTGGGTCTCCTGAAGGGTTTTGAGGGACCCCTGCTACCACACACTGAGTATAAAACAGGCTGCTCGCTGCTAGAGCTTGGACTTGACGGAGTTCTGTCTCTAACCCAGAACCTAGCTCAGCGAAAAGTAAAAGCATACAGGGTGCATCATGGCAATTATCCTCTGAGCTCTCTAGGAGATGAATGGTGGCCAGAGCCTCCATGTATGGGGAAGTCCACAATCTCTCTGAGGCTTCACGACGCGGGTATTCATTGTAATCGGTCTCGAGTGCAGTGCATAGTGCTTTGATTATTCTGGCCCTCTGACGTTGTAGGAGGGAGAAGTGTTGGTCATTCGGGTCTAGGTACCCTAAGGTAAAAATCAACAGTGTTTTGAACAGTGAGCTATATATTCCTGGAGAATAGTCATAGGTAGAATAAAACGTACTGTAATATTTTATGATCGTAAATGCACACGTTGAATTGGCCTTTTCGCCATATTCTGGCAAAAGAAGGTCAACGATGATTTGGGTGACCTTTTCCGTATGCTTTGATTGCAGTACGGTGGGCTGAATTATGCCCCATAAAGAGCCTGCGATCTTGGCTGTATCATGGTGGTCGTATGTGTTCACAAGCATAGTATGGTAGGCCTCCAGTACCATAGTCTCCGTCGGTGTAGATAACTGGTGACGCCTATAGATTTTTGGTATGTACCGCAACATGCGTTGGAAGTTTTGCCACGAAGCGGCAGCTCTGGCCGTGTCATACCATTTACTAATGGTATCCCAGATATATACCGGGTACAGAAATCGCATTTGGACTGGAGCGAGGCCAAAGAAGATGGTTTGGATGATCGCAGCACCGCAGAAGCCCACGATAACAGAAGATATGACGCCGGCGGCGAACACGGGCTTTGGGATAGGTGATAGCGCAAAAGCGCTCGCGAATACGGTGTTCAGGAGGCCAGCAATAAAGAGAACCACAGCAATGATCAAGATGTACGGCAATGCGTCAACGGCAGGTTTAAGGAGACGGGTTGATTCCGTCCATCGAACGAGCATCATGATTAGCTTGTTGTGAGCTTCAGTTGTCTCGCGGGAGACTCGAGCTATGGAAGCGGGATAGGTCCGTTGGATGACAGCTAGGGATGCGATGGAGACCTAGAAATTTGCGGTGAAAAGTGGAAGATATTATTATTTATCAAAGAGAAGACACAACTTACACTTGTCAAGAGAGAAAGCGTCCAGAAGACAACTTGTCGAATAACACCAGGGTTTGGGTTGAACGGGATCGATTCCGGGAAATCCAATGAAGATGTCTGCCCCTGGCTGAGCTGGATGATGACTTCTGTAAGGTTAGAAACCAGTTCGTTCGTACGCTCTGCAGGGTCCTGCGAGAGCCCCGCCAATGCCGGAACCAGAAATGAAGTCACAATGGCAGAAAAAAGAGCAATCTGGAAAGATAAGGTGAGACAAAGCGGATGTCGTGAGTAATGCAAAAAGCCTGACAAAGATCAGTAGGGTATCCAATGTGTCCTTCCAAGATTCCAATTCAGGTTTAATGCTACTGCTTCTGGCAATGTTCGACAAGACAGGAGTCCAGCCGTTAGTCTCCTTGGCATAGTAAATTCGCGGAGGCTGCTGTGCTGTGGGCGTTGTATTTGAGATATATCAGCTGATAGAAATTCAACGAGCCTGATATCGAGCTATCGCTCGAGGATTAAACAATGACATACTGTTATTCGAGAGTTTCTCTGGAAGATTGTAAGTGTTTAGCAATTCAGACAAGCATACCAGTAAAATCTCTACCGATTGATTTGATTTGGCGCTCCATCATTTCACTTTGTCTATTGAGAATGGCGTCCGCCATCTCATTCTGCTTATTCAGAATTTCATCCATCATCTTCTTTTGCTGTTTGAGGATATTTTCCATCATATGCTGCTGCTGATCGATGGGTGTGCCAAGCGTGGTCGACTCGCCGCTTTCCGAACAGCAGGAGACTTCAAAGGCCATAGAATCGGAGAGAAACGACCAGTGCTCACGTTGACTGCAGACTTGATTGAGGCGCATTGTCCGCCATATCACTGTACAATCGAAGGTGGACAAGGGGAAGAAGGCAGTGTGAGGGGTGACAAGACTTGGACAAGGTTGAGTGGATGGTACAACAATGACCTGTGGGAGCGGGGCCAAAAGTGCGGTATGTGAGGACAGGCCTAGGGACAGGGTACATAGGCTGCTGAAGGCGTGGTTCAAGCATGCATACACGCATATGTAACACGCCACTTAGGCTTAAAAAGCTGGGCACGATCATATGTTTACAAATCACAAGGGAGCTTGCTTGTCACGAAGACCGGGGCCCGGGTACATACACCGCAAGCAGCTGGCGACCAGTAATTTCCGGCTTGGGTCTCAGAATTTACTTCTGTCATGCTAAATGGGAAACGGATAAAGAAGCAATTAAAAAGGGCTTGACAAAGCATTGGAAGCAGTATTGGCAGTGCCGTGCTCTCTCTCAAGCATTGCTGCAGTTCTCGGCTGTGTAGACAAGTGGTATTGAGTAGTTGCAAAGGTTGGCCTGAAACTGACGAACTTGGGCAGAGAAAGCGACGAGAATATCCTTCTGTGCTATGAATAGTATCTCATGTTTTCCGCGAGGCTTACGGATATGAAAGCAAAAAAAAAAAATTGAACATAATCGGCGGGAAGTGCATCAGCAAGACCGCATTACCCTAGCGCCCCTCTCACGCTCTAAATCGGTCTAGATGGTCTGATTGCTCTTCGCGCTTAGACCTCACGAGGTCTTGCAGACTCGATAGAGGTTGAGCTGGTACGATAGACCATCGTAGTGCTCGGTATTCATCTGACTCGCAGGTTAGAGGACGAGTTGGATGCTCAACTCTTTCTCTTTATGCAGAAGTACTTTATGAGGATGCAGTGGTGCTACTACCACCTCCTCACACTCTTCCCTACTGTGGCAGACCCGGGACAATATGTGCATGTGAGTAAAATACAGACTGGACAGGACCCAGTGATGATTGCGGCAGAGACAAGTCGAACGGAAGGGCCGCTCAGTCTGACAGCGAAAATAAACCGTGAATGCTTGATGGAGGTGATAATGCGGGAGAACGCAAGAGCGTTTGGACAGAACAGGTCAGAAACGGACAACCGTGTCTCCCCAAATGCCTGCCCTAAACAGCACGTGGGTCTGTTGATACTTGGCGGACAGTGTGATTTTTGCATCTCGCTTCTTTCCGTCCCTCCATGATGCCCTTGACTCGCTCTTTGCGTGAACACGTCGAGCAATCTCCTCGAAACGCCCCTCAGTGAACACAGCTCATTGTCCAATCGGTTCATTTCTCGCATTTTTGTTTGCTTCTTTGCTCCCGCGGTGTGAAGAGGCACCCCGCGAGGACGGGGCGGACGTACTTGATAGTATGCTAAGATTTCAACAACATCCCTTCGCCAGCTTCCCACTTTCCCCGTCCTGCCCCCACCTGCTAATGCCGGCGCACTACACCGTTCCTATTTTGACGGGTCATGACGCGTCTAACACCCATCTTCCCCCTCTCCCTAGCCGTTTGCGAACTACCTTGACGGTTCTCTACAAGGTGTGTGCACACGGTCAACCCCAGCTCTTCTTCCGCTCTGCTACTTATAATACTTACAAATATCCATTAATCATAGAACCTGGCCGGGGCTCATAAGTTATCGGTATGTTCTTCTTACCGCCATTCCTTTATACCCGTGTGATTCGCTGTTCGATGCGCTCGCTGACTTATGTCCTCCGTCTCCCAGCTGTGAAAATAACCTTTCGGCAGTCTTCGTATAGGTTTCCTGAGGTCGATCGTTCAATATCCAGGTTTTGGCGGTGTATGCGCATACCTAGCTATAGTGCAGGGTTAGTTAATGCTGTCAGGGTGCGAGTGCGAAGGTGAGGTACTGATATTGATGTGGCGACGCGTCGCGAGCACAGACGAGTACACGGACTGAAGGCGATTGTACTGTATTGCGATATGTGCTGAGACACGTGTACATCCGAGTTGTAGTTCTTGCCATGGTATACTATCTCCCAAATACATTGATTTATTTGAAGCTTCGAAAACCTCGCGTCGTGAAGCACTGTGAATTGTCGATCAAGCTCTGAGGAACGTCAACGACCTGAGGAGAGCTCTTGAAAGCTCTATGGCTACTCTAGCGGAAGAGCCATGGGTCTGGTCAAATTTCTGTCAACGGGTTCCTTAGAGACAGGTGGCACGGTCTGAATGGTCTAGGCGTTCTATTCCTAGACCTGATAGACGCGTGCGGTCTTGCTGATGTGTGGCCGACAATGGTTCTCCTCTACACGGATGTGTTTTTTTCTCGAGCGAAAGCGTCCTCTTGCAATTGGAAAGATTCGTCCCTCCGATCAAATGGCTGTATATGCAGAGTCACAATATACACTTTTTTGGAAGACAGAAGAAGACGAACGAGTGATGAAGGTATGCATGATGGATTCCGCTTCCCGGACACATGACTCGCCTCATTCAAGGGTTTTCTCGGGCACCCGGTGAAATGAGCTCATTTGCGTCGGAAGAACGGTGATACACATGAACTTACTCGAGACCTCAAAGAATCTGTTACATTGAAAAAGGCTTAATACGGCTCAGAACACTTCAAATGGCGCCTTGATAAGTTCCCGCCCTCCTTGTCCGATGTTTTCGGATTTCTGTCAACATGCAAGCACCCATCTGAATTATGGACTCCGAAGAATACTCGAACGCAACTATGAACCATCACAGACACTGTATATGTGACCAATTATATATGTAAAGTGACAAAGTGACAGGCAAAGTTGTATACACGACGCTCTATCAAGAGAAGCAGGAGTGTCTGACCAGGCACGTCAAGAATCACTGACTGTATACTATCTATCAGGTTGTCTCTTATTTAACGGCGGAGGGGGGCCTAAACATAATCAATGATGATGAACGGTAAGCTATCGCTGATCAAGCAATTCAGTGAAATTGACGGACTGACCTAAGTACTCGACATCACACCCTCCTGCGCAGAACGTGTTCAACCGACGCATTCGCACAGCCATGGTTCGAGAAGTCCGCATCAGCTTGGAGACGCTGACACCGTGGACAGAATGCTAAGCACTCACATGTATCCGTCCGTCGATGGCATCCTCCGCATGTGATCTCTTTGTTATTTTGTTTGTAGCACTTTCTTCTCTGAGGGTGCATTACCCCACTGGCCAGAGTACACCCACACCCTTCCCAACTCTGATAACACACGTCAGACGAGCGGAACGTTCTACACCCCCCTCTCTTGCATTGCACTCCGGGTCCAGTCGTCGCCACAATGTGACCCACGGCCATTCCAAGAGGCCCAAAGAGAGCACCAATAAAAGGTGCGGCGTTCCTCCACGGATCCGGATCATCGGGGTCGTGAGGGTGCGGAAGAAGGCGGCCTGAGTGATTATAATGTATGACCTCAGAGGCGTGCTTGTAAGCGATGGATGGATGACATCGTCCGTATGTGCGATGGTCACCTACGGAGTGACAAACCACACATGCTTCGTCAAGAATGCAGATCTGTGAACAATCATCACTGGTCAGCCACAAGGACTCAAAGCGAAGGAAACACCAGCAACTAGTGCGTACTTGGATCGGAGAATGTGAGATGCGCAAACCAGCTAAAGTGACCACATTCTGCTCAGGATTATCTTCGTACATTGAGATGGACCTGGGGGAGGAGCCTGTCTCTTCGTCAAGGACACATCCTCTCACGGGAAGAGCGTCATAATCGGTGTAGGGTTCGACAGCTGCTCGGATAGGAGGCTCATGACGTGGACGTAGATTCTCGACGATGAGGACGATAACATTTCTCCACCCGTCTCTCCCGACGAGACCGTCGATAAATTTGGCCTCCCATCTGATGTGGCCATCAACTCGAGTCGCAGGCTGAAGATGCCAGTTGATCCCATGTATGGTGTCTATCTTCTGAATAGCGAGGAAATTGAGGAGGGCGCGTAAAATAGACTCATCGCTATGCTTGTCGTCTGTTGCATCGATTCCGCGGGTGTCGTGAAGACCAGGCATGTCGATTGCACGGTCGCCATTGGCGAGGGTGTACATATGAACGGTGCTCGTGTCCGATTCTGCGCCGGGATTGACGTGAGCGGGTCCACCTTGATACTTTATGCTCGTTGTATTTCCTGAGCCTGTACAGCCGAATACGAGTATGGTTCTTGTCTGAAAAGGTGTCAGTGAGGATTAGAGGGATAAAAAAACAATGGATGACATGCCACCATTATATGTACCGTTACTGGTAGGCCTGGAACTTGAGGGTAAGGATAGCTGGAGTATTATGGCAGTGTGCAGTTCGCCTTCATATATGGACGAAACATTGGTGCAGCATGCCGTGAACCACGCAGCGGTTTTAGAACGAGAGTGATCGAGAGAAAATAAGAGTCTTCGCTGTTCTATGAGCACCCCCCTCGCTGGCCTGATCAAGCACAGTATGAACTCAGAACTCCTCTAGGATAACGCACTTACTCGCAATGTTCATATATAACGTCGACCCAGCTTTACGGATGAGGGTTCAAACGTTCATAAGCACTAGGGTACGCCACAAGAATTCTGGAAAGTCCTTCTTTGAGGAGAGTGCTCGATCGAATCCCTAATATAACTTTTCGGTCTGAACATAGCAACTAACCAAACCAAACAGTCGGGCTATGTGGAGAACTCCGGAGCAATCTATGATCTCTCTGCCGCAAGACTTGCGAAGGCATCTCATAGAATGCTTCTGAAAGATGCGGCAGAGGGGAGCTATTGCGAAACACTTATGGCACGAACATGGATGTGGGCCGTCCTCTGCGTTGCTATCGAGATATATCGAGAGGCATCAATAATGTAGCACAGCCGTAGAAAGATCTGGCCATACAATACCAAATGTATTGGAGATGGTTCTAGTGCTTCTTGGAACACAAGGGAAGAACTGGGTGACTTTCCGTAGCAGTCTAGAAGTGTTCCTTGACGCACAGAAGCACAAATACAAGGCTCTCAGCCAAACAAAAATCGATCTGAGCCTCTTTTCTGTGTTCTAGGTCTCTAAACCGTGCACAAACCCCCTACGGAAAGTCACCCACTGACGCCGAGATAAACATTTGAAGCTGTAGCAGCAGTGATTCGACAAATGCGTCACAAGGGAGAAGTCTGAACGCCAGTGTGGATTCAATCCGTGCATTGCTGGATCGATCTCAGCTGCGTATCAAAAATTGTGTCACGCAATACATAATCGTCATACTGCAGACTATGTGGTCGCGAAGAAAGGCTAGAATAGTGGCAATTGAATCTCTGACGAAAGAGACGAACGAGAGAAAACATTAGCAAACCCTGAAAAGGCACTGACGGCGAAGAAATTACCGCAGACGAGTTATATCATATTCCGAGAAGTTCTTGCGATAGAGCGTGAGGTGTAGAATGAAACTGGTAGGCAATACTAGGCCCAAGTGGTAAGAATTAATAGGGGAGTCCACGATGGCGTTTAAAACGACGTTTAAGCGTGCGTTTGAGCCCAAAAGCCGCGCTGCGTTCTTGAACGCGGCTTTGAACGCACGCTTAAACGGTTATCGTGGACTACCCTGATGATGGGGTTAAACAGGGACATAGAAGCCCAAGTCAAAGGAATCGTTCGAAATGAGGAGCGAATTCAACATGGCTTCCAAGCGAGACACACACTGCGCATAGACAGACACGGGTGCTGGAAATTTTTCTGAGTCATTGTCTCGGTGTGTTGGTCACCTATGGCATGGAATAAACTCTTCGGGTGAGGATAGGTAGTCAGTGGGCAACAGGGGAAGGGGATAAAGAACGTTGCTCCTCAGTGGAGGAATTCACGATATACCCAGACAAGGCCCAGGAAGAACTATAAATAGGTATTGCCAGGATGGTCCCACCGACCTCAAATGAAAAACTGGTCTATGCCGAAATAATGGAGTCCCACAGATGAGCGAAATCCAAGACCAGAGTGGATCGAGAACGACAAGTACAAGCTGTCAGAATACGAACCGCCAGAGTGTTCACATCTTCAGAGTCCGTTTCATTGTCCAGGGAGCGATGGTCTGGTCACTACGTGGTGCAAGTGGTTCGTCGACAAAGGGTACCCTGCCTGGCCCTGGCCTTGTCCCCACTGCGCCATCGTCGGTGAAAATTAGGTGAGAATACGGGTGACAATGAGTAGAGAGAGGTTATCGCGCTGGTACGGAACAGGCCAAGAGCGCGTAATGACGAGGACGCACCCAATTCGGGCGGAGATTCAATTCGGGGGTATATAGCCGAGCCGTCATTTTCCTTCTTGCCTTTTTTCTTCCACGACTCGTCCACGTACTCTGAATCCGATATTGTTTGAAACCACCTTGTTAACCTCTCGTGTGCTTTTACTTCTCATTCCATCCCCACGACCAAGTCAAGGTCTCCATTCCACCTTCCTCACAGTCGGTACAATCTCAGTATGGAGACCTGTTACGGTCGTGGAACATCATGCGCACGAACCACGTCCTTCCGATGTGCTTCGTTCCGTAGTACGCGGGTCAAAGGACGCTCGTGCGTTTCGTCTCTATAGAGTTGAGGTCAGTTTCCTGTGCTCCGTTGCGGCGTGGGCGAGTGCTGGGCTCGTAGTTTGGGGACAAACATCTCTTCGCCTCGTTTTGTCTTTCCGTAAGTTAGCTTGATTTGCGGAATGAATGCGTCTCCTTGAACTTTCCAAGACGTTTGTTGTGTGAATATTTTCAGCATAGAGGATTACGGTCCATGCAACCCTTGTTTCGCCAACACTTCGTATGCTGGCAAGAAACCAACTCAACACTTTGGACGCACGATCTCTGATCACAACATGGACTCTGGTTAACGTTGTATGTATGGCAATTTTCGTGCGTCATTCTCGCTTACTTTCCCTTTCTCTTATTCCCAGTATAGTATGCTAATAACCGATACCAACGTCGACCTGTTCATTCATCATACGCGCAGTACACAGCAAAAACCCGTACATTCCAACATATCACGCTTCATAGACTCGACGGGCTTGTCACCTAGGAGGACTCTGTCCCTATTCACCGCCAGGATCCAGCATCTGTCCATCATGCGCACAGTACACAGTACACAGCACGGATCCGTGCATTCCAAAACATCACGCTTCATCGACTCAATGGGCTTCTCATTTTGTAGTAGGAGGACCTGTGTCGATCACCATCATGCATATGCCGCGTCATCCTCACTCAACGCCTCCGTTTCTATACTAGGCCACCTCGACCCGGCAGCCCGACGAGCTGCTTCTCAGTAGCTCATGAGTCTTGAATCTCGGCATACATATATTCTTTCGGGAGCTCTGCAGTTCGCTTGCGAAGTGGACGATGCGAGTTCCTATCCGTGCGTCGTGCGCAGGCCTTTGTGCTTTTAGGTCGTGATGGATGGCCGATGTCCCCGGTCTTCGTGCGTTCAGAGCCAGTCAAGCTGCGTGTCGATCCGGACTTGTATCTCGAGATGGTCTGACTCTTGGTCCTTTCTTCGTTCTTTATTGACAGCGTCGGTTATAGACGATCCAGTCTCAGAAATGATACCTATCACGGGTGCATCACCCTTCTTTCCTCCGCTTGAGGTCAAATTTTGTCCTGTCTCGCTGATTCCTTGCGATGCGCGCGATTCTGCAGGAACAACTCCAGCCTCGACTTCCGCATCATAACGCGGTCCACGAAGCGTCACACAAAAAAAAACAGATGCATGCCCTCTAAATATCTAGTTGAAAGACTCCGTTTGACGAGTTCGATGCGACACCCTGGTGTGTGCATCGTGCTGAGCAGGCCTACGCAGAATCACCGAGTATGTAAGCTCTAGGGAACATATCGGTATTAGACTGGCGCGACAAGTCGTGGCTCGTAAAGGTCAGGTATTTTGCTTCTCTCGAGGCATCTGCAGATGGGAGATATTTGCATAAAGTAGTGCGCTAAGGATAAGTATATGTAGCCGCACTGCGCTGTGTACATGTGATATGGGAATGTCATCTCGCTCGTAATTTCGACGCGCCTCTCCGTCTCATATTCCTGCAGGCAAACCTCGCCACTTCAGACCAAACCGCTCACCCTTCAGCTCGAAGTGCCATTTACCCTGGGCAACTGCCTGGTCTTCCCGGGCCTGCCTTTCTCCTTGATTTTGCTCCTTGATTTCGATTAGTTCTTAGTCGTAAGTTCACGGACAAATAAAACAATGAAAGTACGTACTGCAGGCAAGGAATTAAAGCCTGTGCCGTCGAGGTGACGGTCTCTGCGGGAAGAGAGGTTGGGGATGTAATGGCAGGTAGGGCAAGGTCTTGCGAGCAGCACTTGCAGCTTACAGATGTCTGTGTGCTGTCAAATTCGTAATCGTATGAATTGCGACATGCGCACATGATGGTCTGTGTCATCTTGATGACCTGCGTTTTGAGGGCGAGAAGATCTGATTGAATTTTCTCTCTGACTTGAGTAATGGCCACGACATCATCGACCCCAAGCTTCGCGCCCTCCTCACGCGTAAGAGGTTCCTTCCGTCCACACAAACCAGTATATCCTGGAAGGAGCCATTCTTCATGGCCATAGCGGTGACCGAGAACGACCTTGTCGACGTCGGAGGCCGACGGAGTGAAGCACTCGATCGCGAGCTCGCGAATGGATGGGAAATCCCAGAGGGTGGCGAGATGGAGGACAGCGGCCCAAGCCGTAGCGCTATGCTTCGGGGTGGAGGTGTAGGAGCTGAGGACGCATCGCAAGGGAAAAATGATGTCAGATACAGTGCAAGTCGGATTTGTAACTCAAAGGGACGAACGTGCGATACAAGACGCTGAGGAAAGCATCGAACTGGTCTTTCTCGACGCCTTCCAAGGGAATGGGCTCGGTAGAGTCGGAGCGACCTGCGAGGAATGTCTTGGAGAATGTCGGAGAATGAAGATCGAACAAATAGCGGTGGAGGCAATAGGCTGTTCCTTCGACCTGACATAGAGATTGACGATCAGAGAGGGCATAAACGGGACAGTCTACGATACAGGAAACGAGAGATTGGCATACCACGAACGTCACACTTCGCGCATCGAACCAAAACTTGTCATGCTGAGGATACTCGGCCGTAGAGACCTTAGAATCGTCATCTCCTGGACCCGGAGAGAGGGTGAGGCTCGTGAGGGTGAGATCGGTCGGCTGCGTAGGCATAGCTATATCCACGGATACTACTGATGAAATAGTGGATGCAATATCTTCGAAGTCTGACTCGCTTGAGCCTGAGAGCTATTAGAGTTTGAGATATGTGCGATGAGTAAGAAAATGAAAGTAACGAAGTACAAACACAGGACGTGCATACCATTCCTCCGGGAAATGAATCGGAAAGGAGGAGACAAACAGACGTCTGCTCGAGCTGAATAGTGAATAGCTTATGTACCGAGACAGAATTCTTGTGGCGGCTTGGTGATGGCATACATGCGTTTTAGGCGTGTCGAGTGTGAGAGATTGAGAGCAACCAGAAGGGCCGAGGCCATAGCATATAAGTGACACACTTCTTAGCGTCAAAGAAGTAAGAGCATCAGACTGCACTTTGCAGTCAATTTTGTAGCCAAGAAAAGTGATTTGACACGGAACGAACTCGTAGCCGATTACTTAGCCTATCGTTCCTCTGATCCAACCTACGTTCTTTTGCCTTTCCTTCCCAAATCGATTCGGATAGGGGGCGATAATATCCTTCTACGTATCACGGTGACTCAAAAATCGTGCGGTGTACATCACAATTTTTTCCTTCATTACAATCTGTCAGATAGGCTTCCTGAAAACTCGGCTTTTCAATGGCTATATACAACCTACCCTTCACACCTGCGACTTCCCAATCGCCGCATTTCAATATTCACCTCGTCAGCCGTAAACTCTACGTTGGAATTAGACAAGCGCTGTTCCAGTCTGCACTCGTCTCTTCTTCCATGGCCGTTCTCTAAGTTTGAGCCTTGAGAAACATTATTCGTAGTCGGATGGGTGAACTCCATCTCTCCGAGAGTGTGTGTTTGTAAAGCGTTGGTCGTAGCACTGTTTCCTACGGAAGCTGCATCTCTAAGATGGACTACAACTCGTGTGGCGAGCATAGTGTGAAGCATGCCCTGGAGTCTAATGATCGGAGGACACCAAGTCAGTGAGTATTGTAACTAGGCATAGAATAGGAGGCCGACTCACACGGCAATGATTTCAGCTATGCCTAACTGTGGTAAGCGTGTCAGTAGCGAGGAGACAACAAAATCAAGATGTCCACGTACGGGCGCGACAAAAACAACCACGATGTTCACTATTGAGATCGCTGCTGTATTTTCAGCCAAATAACGTCCTTCCCACCGATAACATCGCTGATTAGACTTACCAACAAGAGCTACATAGTATAGAATTCCTAGATGGTGTCGTCAACAAGTGTTTGGACACCCAGTTCGGTAAGAGGGACGTACCATCCCGATATAAAACTCCATATAAGTGACTCTTCCACAACCCTGCTAAAACGGGCAGTCAGTAGAGGTGGCCGGAAGGATAAACGGACTACGAGCATTGCTCACATCTCCTCGGGGCCTTGAACATAGTGAGTGCGAAAACGACTGCGCATCAGACACACACGCACACGCACACACACATAGTGTAAGTTATGTCCTCGGTCATCATCCTCAGTTTTCACTCAGATATAATATGGACGGACCTGTCCCCGACACGACGATACAGGCATAAGTGATATATAGATCGTTGGTGCCACCCACCTGAAAGCATCGTGGAAAGGAAGCGGGGAGCCTAGGTATGTCTGAACGGACTGAACAGATAAATAAAGGCATGAGTTCAATGTTCAACGATAAACGCGACCGAATCTCGCAAGATAGCCTACATTGTGGTGATACCATAAACTTGGTGAGAATCGTGATGACGACGATAAATAGCGAGGTAATCATGGCTGCGAGCACCATTGCAACTCTCTTGTCTCTTCCCCACAGAGCCCATGTTCGAAAGCAAAATATGACTTCCAGCCATAGACGTTAGTACTATATTATTTTTAGCGATGAATGATGAAGAAACCCACGCTCAGCCGTAGTTATGCATATCATCTGGGTAGCTGAAGGGGGATGTCAGCAATACGCATGCTACGATTCGGTAGGGGCTGACCGTCTGCTGCATGATTAAACACACTACAGATGTTAGTCGAAGGATGGACCAAGTTATAGTCTACATGTCGTTGGATGAGTGGCGAAAGTTAAGTGAAGATAGAGATTGCTGCATGCCACTTACTGATTAGAATACAGACGGCTTCGAAAAGTGCACCATAGCGAGTTACAAAGAACAGCGCTTTCACGATACTCCATTCAGACGACCAAATCAAACGAATCTCTTGGGGAAGGGTCAAGAAATAGTCGTAGAACTATACATCTCGCATCATTTAGTCGTATCTCACGAATATGAATCCTTCCAGGGTGACTCACGACCAGTGCGACGGAACAGACTGAACATGGTTTTAGTAGACGAAAGCAATATAAACTTAAGAAATGCATTAAGGTCGTACCATTAACATACTGTTCAAGAGTTAGGATTTCAGAAGACACATCAATATGAGAGACCGACCGTAACAATCCGTATTTGGTGCAACGTGTCGACAGGTACAGTGAGGGCCATGCCAGCGAGAAGTTCTTCGGTGGGGTTGCGCCCTCCGATACGATCCGTCCCTCTTTTGAAGTGTCTTTCATCTTGGGCGCCTTCGCATCGTGAGATGATATGCAGATACCCCCATAGCCAGAGTATGGCCCATGCCGCACCATCGACGCTCCACAGAATGATACGATACATGTACTAGCGGCAAACACGGAGACACGTTGCAGTGCCGTTACAAATATGCCTTGAACGAGATTAGTTTGCACCAAGTGATGATATAAAGACCCGCTATGCAGTAGCAATGGTCGAAGAAGGTAGTAGTCAAGATACTTAAATTGTCATATGTATGAGTCAAAGATAAAGGATCATGATCAGGAAGGCTGAGGTCTATGTTGGGCCTACTATGTGGAATCCCTTGAATGGAATGCTGACAAAATCCTGACGCATCAAGATCTTGGCAGCCGACATCTTGTTGGCTGCGGGGACGTCCTCGAGGACAGAGAAAGTACACCAAGGAGGGAAGAGTGGTGACTATACTGAGCCTGGATGTAACGGCAGGCGGGCGGCGGCCTTGTTTGCGACCACACGGAGTAACATGAGGTGACATTATATTAACGTGTAGGCTAATTGTCAAGGCGCTATCGTATAGTGGTTAGTACACAGGATTCTGATTCACGTGATTTCCTGTAACCCAGGTTCGAGCCCTGGTAGCGCCTTATTTTTGGCGTCCATTTGTGAGCTTTACCAAATCCATAACTTGCTCGCAATACAGTAACGGACAAAGAAACACGGCCATTCATCCAGCAAACACCCCCGTCGACATATGACTATGCTCATAGATTACTTTTCATACATCCTCCTAGTTGTACAAATGCTCGCCATCAATACAGCACAGTGGCTCTTCTTACAAGAAAGATAGATGAATTTAACCTTCTGCGAGCGAAGCTCGAATCGAGTCTCTCAGTCGCATCAGACATCGCCCGAGCTCGTTCTTTCCTTGTCGATTCGCGCCTATTCCCCAGAAAGAGTCCATGTCCGAGTCCTAACGCGGTCGCCGTGAGGAAGACGGGAGGGAATGCGTGATGAAATGTGAAACATACCTCTACTAGGAGCGCATCTCCCGTCTCGAGCAGCTCTTTTCTGAGAGAAGGATGTTGCTGAAACTTGAGGGAGAGTACTTTCTCCATCTATCGTCACACGTTCATCACTAATGGCCACAGCCCATGCGAACAGTCAAGACCGGTGGGAGACGTACCTTCTTGATGTTGACATCGAACCAATCTCCGCGTACCTCTGTAAGTGATCGGTATCAGTCTAGTATGCAACGGCAAGGATCAACCAGGAGAACTACGCACTTGATTGTGAGCGGTGTGCTTCATCGAAAGCGTCCCGAGGCGTCTTGCACTTTCGTATCGCCTCCGCGATATCGGGATCGTTCTTCATGAACTGTATCAATAGCGTAACAAATGTATAATCAGCCGCACGCAGAAAATTTGTCGAATATCTGGGAGTACATAAGCAACAAGAAAGTACCTTCAACGCTTGGAACAAGTGCTCGCTCGTGGGATACACCCGATTAAGGTACTCGATTGGATGGGCAGAGAAGTTCGTAAAGCCGTAGTAAGGGGCCCCTTGGTGGTAGAACAAAATTGCGCGTTGATTTGTGCTGTTAGGGGTTGTGGGATCGCCATCTGGTGAGAATCTGGAGGTCGGTGTAGAGCTTGTGCTTGAGGAGGAAGCTGGGTTGGCATTACTTTCGTTATCAGGTTTGGGGTTCACAGCAGATTGAGGGGCTGAGGACGGGGCTTGTGCAAGTCCCGAGGCTTTAGCTTGTGCATCGGCGCAAGTCTTCCCACAATCTGATGGGGCGAAGGAAGACGATAAAAACAGACACTAAACGTTAGCTATAATGTCGACTTGAATGATAAACTCACAAGGATGTGTAATGTTCCTCTTCTCGTCTTTGTACTTAGGCCTACGGCCGCAAACCTACAATTCGGTGGAGTAGCGCAGTCGTCAACAGTCTCCAATTGCACAAAACGACCAAGGCATGTACTTCACACATTTCGATCTCCGGTTCTTTGAACGCGGGCGAGGTAACCCACTGGGCCTTTTCATCAGCTCTTGTCTTAGGCTTATTGTCTCGTTTGGGTCCAGATGAGCCGAACTTCTCCCGAAGCGTGTCCATCATCCCAGGTTTGTCTTCCTGCGCGCTCAGAGGGCGCTTGTGTTGCACCTGCGGCAGAGGTTTCGCTTGAGAGGCTCGTCGAGCCTGATCGGCCTCGGAGCACTTTTGACCACAGTCTGATGGCAAAAAGATGAAGGTTAGTTTGGTCTGACGATATGGCGATTCAAGCACTGACATTGGTGTTCTTGCTTTGTCTGTGGATCGACGTATCGAGGCTTTTGGCCACAGTACTGTTTCAGGAATAGTTGACGGTTATCGTTAGTGAGCTTTGGAGAGAGTTCAGCAATAGTTGAACCACCTACGTTGCAGCTTTTCGCAGTGCTCCAGTTCTGAGGCTGACCCTGTTGCCCTTGAGTAGCCATAGCCTGAGAAGCAGGAGTAGTAGGAGCTTCTACGTCAATATCTTCGACTGCAGCCATCCGAACAAGTTGCAACACTCAAAGTCAACCGGACAAAGAGCCCCAAGTTAACAATAAGCCAAGAAATCGAGAACTGGAGATGGGAGTGCAGACGAAGAATGGTGCCAGATGAGCATGCTGTTCTATCGTGGTATGTGGGCAAAGGGCGGTCCGTCCGGTGACGCCACCCGATGATGGAAAGCACCAATTCATCGGTTTATATCGGACCAAGCACTGTACGCGGTACGTTCCCCAAACATCAGAAACATTTTTTGTGGAAGAAAAGACAGAAGATGAAGAGCAGAGCTAAGAGCGTCGATGGGTTGGATCCGCAACCAAAAGTAGTACTCCTTTCGAAGTGGTGCGCCACATACCACATAACAGTAATCCCAGGCCACAGTTGAGTTGTGCTCCTCCTGCCTGCTGCACCCCACACCGCGAGAGAATATTTACATAAATACCTGGTCTTAGAAGGAGAGATGATACACTCTACGAAAAAAGGACCGAAATATCAATATTAAACAAGGAATGTGAAACCGCGTACGTATGAGTGGGACATACAGTAAGTACGGGTATGTATGTACTGGATCTTTGACTGCTGAGCTTGCGTTTCAACGATTGTATGTTATGTACTAGGCTACTTACTGACTATAATGACTACTGCTGACTGCCAACGAACGGACTGCGAACAATAAATACCGTGCCCGCTCGGATGCATGTGGTGGCATCGCTTGGGAAATGTAGACAGGGAGGCGGGTGTGTGGTCATGAACATGAACGGATGGAAGGTCATAAAAGGTGCGCGACGATGGGTGAGTAAATATATAGATAGCGAGAGGAAAAACCAAAGAGATGCAGCATAATGATGTGCGACGAGGGTGCGACATGCGACGATTGAACGGTTGAGAGAAGAGAAAAAATAAGAGACCATAAAAAACTAGGAACCTATTACCTATTACCGGGAAGATCATAATAGCGACGGAGGCATGCTCCTCACTCTCGAATGTTTAGATAGCCATACTTCTCCTCCTACCCAAACTCACGCCCGCGCTGCCCCCATCCATCTCGACCTCCTCCTCGCTAGCCAGAATCCCGGCAATCCTCCTACTCCCTGCAACAGCTGCGCTCCTTCTCCTTCCCTCCGTATTTATCCAGCTAGTCCTACCACCGCTCTCCCTTTCCCCGTCCGCCTCCGCCCCATCGTCATCATCCTCGCCGCCATCTCCGTCGCCTTCGTTATCACCTGACGAAGGGAGTGGGAACGGCATCTTAGGACGAGATCTTCGACGTTTGACAGTCACGGTAGAGTATCCGGGCGTATCAGATTCTCGTTCTTGTGGTGGGGGAAGTGGGGCATCGGACGGAGGGGGATCGCTGCGTGAACGAGGGGCGGAGGACGAGGAGATCGGGGCATCACGATCACGGTCTAGGGAAGTGCGAGCAGAAGCCGACTCCGATGGTGGGTCTCGAGGCTGAGTAAACGCACTCGAGGTCGAAGTACGTTTGCATTTCGGTGCCGAATCAGGTGGAGGGTCCGGTTTACGCATTTTCCTGTTTCGCCACGCCACGGATACCACGCATACGTAGTCAGCATCAAGGATGGTACCAAGTGGCAGGAGCAAAGGAAGGTGACATACGTATTCAGCTTCGGCTCAGCATAATTGACGCTCTTCCTCACTCTCCTCTCTCGTCCACCCAAACCCTCCACATCCGTCTGCGCCTGCAGCAGAGAGTCGGGACTTCCAGATCGCGCTGGTGGAGGACTGGATGATCTCGCGCCCGCACGGCCTGTACGACCCACCGGGCTTGAGGACCTAGCCGGTGCAGGAATGAAGGATGGCCGAGGTTGTGGCTCCGCGGCTGGCGCAGTTGTAGTGGAAGCGGAGGAAGAAGGCAAACGATGTGTAGAGGGCGCTCGGGCAGTTGCGGGTGTCGTTGCAGGCGTTGGGTAGACGTTGTGTGCGGATGCATGGCGGGATGAAGTATGTGCGCTGCTTGGTGGGTGAAGGTCTTCGGAAGAGGGGGTGTGGATGCGGTCGGGGTCTATCGCCACAATACGTCAGCAAATCCTTCGTAGAAAAGATCGAACTGGAGGGAAACAAACGCACCAGAGACATTTGTATCAATCCCTAACGTAGGTGGACTGACTCCGCCCCTCTTCCCCTCCGCCGCCGCTACTATCGACCCTCCCGACGCTACACGACCATTCGTAACGTCCTTCAGCCGTTTTCCTGTGGTTGTCGTTGTAGTCGTACTGAACGCCGTCTCCTGATCTTCATCCCTTTCCCTATCCCTCGCTGCTCGTCTCCTCTCCCTATCCCGTTCTTTCTCCCTCTCCTTCTTCCCTGCAGCACTATCTGAACTGCTCGAACTCTCCCCTTTCTTCCTTTTCTTCTCCTTCTCTCTTTCCTTCTCCTTCTCCCGCTCTTTTTGCCTCTCCTTCTCCCTCAGTCTCAAAGTAACCTCCCCATCCTCTTCATATTCATCCTGATCAATCTCAATAACATCATCTTCGTCCACATCCACATCCTCCCCCCTCTCCACCTTCTCTTCCTCCTCGACCTCCCTCAACCCCGCCTCCCTCCTTATCGGACTCCCAAACGCAGGACTAGGAGGCCTCGGACTCAAACTCCTCGCGACCCTCTCTCTCCCCGACCCAGCACTTGGAACGGGAACAGCGAGAGCAGCCGATGTAGTAGTAGTAGCCGCATTACTAGGAACGGGTATCATTCCACTTTGCCGTCGTAGTGTTTTCTTCTTCATTGATGACGATATGGATGTAGAGTGCGAAGATGACGACGATGAAGAGCCGCTGGTCGTTGTTGATTTCGTAGAGGCAGATTGGGGTTGAAGCGCTTCTTCGTTATAGTCCACCTGAATCGTGGCCGACACGATCTCCTGTCCCGAATAATTCCGTGTTTGTGCCGAGCTCGAAGACGAGGCGGAAGAAGGCCGTGATGGATATGAAGGTGACGGCGAAGGCGCCGACGTCATCGATGCTAAGCGCGCGGACGTCGACGGTGGTATCGAAGGTGTCGCGACCCTAGTACTAGCAGTCGAAGTGGCCGTAGCATATGCAGAAGACGAAGCCGAAGATGAAGACGATGAAGTTCTTGCTTTCCGTCTCCTCGTTGTGACAGGACTCGGGCTCGGGCTGCTTACTCTCTCCTCGTCTGCATCGCCCTCATCCTCGTCTGCTTCCTCCGGCCACCGCGCATTTCGATTCCCGGTTCCATAGCCTGTAGCCTCGCTCTCCTCGGCGTCTTCGTCTTCTTCATGGATCTCGGGGAACCCTGGCGCCCGCGCTAGACGGTTCGCATGTGGCGAAGCATTCGGATCGAGTGCGGGTCGAGGTCGTTTCGTTGGTGGTGGGTGAGACGGAGAACGGTGGTGTTTGGATGGAGTTGATTTAGGCGTTACGTTGGGTATGTTATGTGACTTGCGAAGGAGGCCGAGGTGTTTTAATAGGCTTAGTGTCTATAGGAGCAGAAGTGGCGTGAGCTTCGAAACAAGATGAAGGTAAAGGTTTGAGAGATGAGTGGCACGCGGAGTACACAGCAACTCTGGGGTGCATGTATCCGAAACGATCGAGATGGTCGACATCTTGGTTGGAGTGGCTCACGACTATCACAATCGGTGCAATCTCCCGGACACATAGGGGCCTCAGAGCATCGAAGCACCCAACTTCAAACATATCACCCAGCAACATCGCCCAGTCCGTACACGAATAGCAAAGGCACGTCCATTGTCCATCCAGCACTCAGGACTTGTGGCGTCGCGACTTACGACCACAGGGTCACGCCGTGGAAGAAGTGAAACCGGAACAGGACATCCGCGAACAAGACGACGGACGGATTGCTCCCATCGGAGCGAGATTATTCCAGAGCTGAGACGATGAAGATGGACGACCGGCCTCGTGCAAGAGCCGGAAGAGGAATGTTGTGTTCCATTCCTCGCAAGAGGAAGAACACCAGAAAATGAAAACGAGGCAAGTGAGGCGATGTATTGGGGTGTTTCGCCACATCGACATCACGATGAAGAGTTTCGAGAGCATTCGAGCGTCTACGTCGCTGTCCAAGGCGAGCAGTACTCCCCGCGGGATGCATAGTGAGGCAATACCAAGAAAGATAACGACCATATAGAAGAAAGCGAGACGAAAGAGAGCGAGAATAAGGAGAATGAACGCACTGCCGCTTCTGCATCGCCCATGACCCTCGCCGTCCGCTCCTTCTCCTTCTTTAGTTGACTCGTCAGTGCGATCTCGGACGCACGCAACCGTAGGTTCTCGACATAGAGCGCCGATATTTGTGCATTCAGCTCTTCGATACGGACGGAGAGCGTCGAGTTGAGCCTATTTGAGCGGTGACACAGAGAGATATGTTGAAATTTGGATGCCTTGGAAAAGAGGAGACCTTAACGCACTTGGTGATGTGTTTGTTAGCCAGAAGAAACTTCTTCTTGACTGAATGTCCATGTCCATGTCCGTTCCAATTCCCATTCCCATGTCCACCCGCCATATTCCGCCCACGATGTAATTTCCGAGTCGAAGCAAGAATTGATGGGCGGTTTCGAAGACGCCCAAGTCAAGTCAAGAACAAACGATTGTGTACGAAGATGATAGAGATATCAGTTAGCATCGGGAAGATGGACGGCGACACCGTAATAAGGCGTACGCACAGTTCTCGAATTCGAGCAAGGCATCATTCTGCCTCGCACCCATCGATACACGCGACTCGCGCCTGCTCATCTCGCTGCCGCTAAGGACCCTCGAGTCCCGATTATTACTTGATTTAATGTCCTGTCCGTCCTGAAGACCTCTGGTGCGGCCGGCGTCGTCGTGTATGATGTGGGGGGTGGGAAGATGGAGGTGGGTGTTGGAGGCGTGTGTTGACAAAGTTGGTCAGAAGTGCGCGAACCAAACGAACGCGGTTGAACAATACCGCCCACGTGGCGCGAGTCATTGCAAATTCAAATACCGACCTCTCTTCCTTCTTCCACCATCTTCGAAGACAAGTTCGGTCGTTCTCTATATCCCAGTAAATATCGTAGCCAGAATCCTCGGGAGCTCATGTTTTTACAAATTCACGCGCTCTGCTCAATTTGATTCCTTTGATGGATCATGGCTATCGCTCTCTGGCAATCTCCCCGTCGTTCAATGTGAGCATTCGTCTTGTTTTGTCTGTTTGTCCGTCTTAACTTCAAATTTGATTCAATACATGATTGCTGAATCTTTACTCTCAACAATTCAGCGCACCAACTACGACCGGTGGCAGTGTGGCCTGGCAGTGCGCCAGTATGTTACAGTCTCTTGACTTCTCTTTACCACGAACAGGTATGAGTGCTCTTTTTAGGTGCATCCACGGTCGTCATCCAGGTGAACGCGAGCAAGTCCTCAAGGGTTGCCTCTGCAGAAGTTCAAGGTAATCGTTCTCATAGCTGTTCTCATACATCTCCGTGTGCACGACGTACCAGTGCAGTTATCCTATCATTTTGTACAGGCGCTCTAGTGCTCTATACATACTAAGCGCACGCATCTGGCACATTGCATACATCACGATGCTATGTAATCACCTTGTCCATGCAGATGGGAATGCGCTGAATCTATAATTCCACTGCCATGCTGTTTCCTGCACAAAGTCGCGCATCTTCATCAAGGACTTTCCTAGGTTGACTCCATATAACACTTCAGAGCACCTTGACCCTCACACCCACTTCTCATCATGTCCGTTTTCGCATTCACCTTCGGCTCGTTTGGAGACATACTCTCAATAGTGCAGCTGGGTTATAAAGTCCGTACTCTCCTCAGCGAAAGCAAGGGCGCCACAGAGGAGTATCAGCAGTTGCTGTCCGAGCTCGACACGTCTCTACGCACTCTTCATCTCGTCCATGGTGCCCTTTTTGCCAAAGATGCAGCATCGCTCCCTCCTGATGTCGTGAAGGCAATCCGACAGTCTGTCAGCAACTCCTGGATCATCATATTTGATATATACTCCAAGATAGCACGTTTCCGTGATAAGCTGAAGAAGGGAGGTTCGGGAAGCATGATGCGGGCTTCGTGGCAGAAGATCGGTTGGGGCCTCTTCAAACAAGACGAGCTCGTTGAATCACGGAGAAGACTGTCAGAGCAGAGCAGCGTTATTAAAACTTTATTGGGTCTTTCGAGCTCGTACGTTTTCCGCCCTTTCGTGAGGTTACCATCGTGTTGCTCTAATCGACCAACATATACATATACCGATCTCAGCATCATCGTTACTCGCGTTGAGAACCAGGTTCTCGCATCGCATGCGGAGATCCTTGAGATCAGCCGATGTGTCAAAGGAATTCCTAAAGTGCTTGGATATTCGTGGGAAGGAGGTTTAAACCCTGAGAGTCGACCCATATCCTTGTTAGACATGCTTGGGCAGAGCATTCGTCTCCCTCTCGAACTGTGCCGAACATGGAGCGTACGTTTGACCGTCTATATCCCGATCGAATGTCCATCAAACTTATCATGTTCTAGGATTTTGATGCGTTTCTCAGGTTTTATTTTCGACAGCGAGCTGGCCGGCAGCTTGTTGAGCGAGGCGACTATGATCTTTCTTCTCAGACTGACGATACGCTCATTCCACCAGCGGAATGGACCATTCTGCCTGGATCAGCCATCAACATGAATGGCCTCATCCGGCGCCGGCTACTGTCTCAAGCGACGGAGAAGACTGCAATTTGCCCTTCTTGCAACCAGAGAGACTCTCGGGACGGTGCCACGGGCATAACATGGTAATATTTTTGATATATAAGAACGGGATGTTGTTTGATATGAGGCGCTCACTGGCATATCTAGCGCTTATTGTCGTACCTGGTTCATCACTTCAAACGCTCGTATCGAAGAGATCAAACCCACGAAAACTAGTTTTAGCGAACGGAGTGAAAATTCCAATAGCGACTCTCTTCAAGAGAATCGTGGTGAAGGGCGAGGGTCAGCTTCATCTAGCTCATCATCAATGTCTTATCGCAGTGACCCCCGTGACGAAGATTACACTCGATTTCTACGTCGCATCAGGGTGTTGAACAAAGATCTCGGTTATGGCATTGTAGAGGTTGCGTTCGAAGATAATGAATACCTCAATGGTGAGTAGTCCTTTTAGCGTGTTCATCCGGTGATCGCTCCTAATTTTCATGTACCCTTATGGTGGTCAATTATTTTGAGAACGGTTGGAGGCAGGACATAGAATGTCCGTCTGTCCAAAGGGTCTACTGGATCATTGGCCCCCCCGCGTTGCCAATGTCCCCATACGATGAATGCCCGTAAGACAGGACCCATCCGTGGCTTACTCTCAGCCTGACGTGTTGTTACAGAGAATCCCTAGACGGCCCTGAGGGTTTCCAGGTGAATGAGGTGTCAGAAGGAATCGAACAATATCGATGGCATGGGTAGGCATTCTGACAAGAACTGGCGATATAGATACCGAACCGATCGTATTTTCTCACCCGTGTAGGACTAGACGGAATTGCCTACTCGGCGATCCTGGGAACACTCAGCTCTGCACGGACACTTCGTGCTCACTATGCTCCATCGTTCGTGATTCTTATCACGTCGATCCTATCGGAAAGGCTCTCGGTTGGACCAGGCCAGTCGCTTTTCTTTTTGAGTAATTTCAACATGAGCTGCGATCCTGATTTGTACACCGTTATAGAGTGGGTCGCGGACTGTATGCGACCACGACATCTTTCAAGTGAGTATGGTCTCCAAAGATACATGATCTTCACAAACCGCTGACTCTGTGATGACGTAGATCCGAGATCTACAGCAAAAACGCTGGCGCTGCAGTCGCCTCGCACTACAAAGCCATGCTTCTCGTCTTCAGTCAAGTATACAAGACCGCTACATCGCCTCCTCACCGGTATGATTCGGTGCGTACTCCTCCCAAATGTCAATATGCTGTCACCCACCCACCTTGGCCTCCGTTATGTTGATGGTCAGATGCAACATGACAAGCCCGTCGTAAAACAAAGCCATATAATCACCCCGACATATATCGTAATTTATGGCTGATCGGCCTGTATACGTAGCTGTGGTCTTTCTGCTATACAGACAAATCTTTGACACTAAAGGCTGTTCTCTACTATCTAAATATGAACGTTAATACGTCGAACACTATCTCGCTCTACGAATTGAGGTGTAAATAATTTGATACACAATACTTGTCTACGATGGTTTTATTCTGTTCTATTCTGAGTACTACGGGGAACCTTCTGAATCCTTTGTTCTTATGACCCCCTGAAAGTCTTCCCATGTCGTCTAATTGTCGTATATCGTGTGAAGGTGATGATGTTTAGCAGTGGATGGAGAGTCGTGATTGCCTTGTTCTCGACGAACGCCCGTATTCCAGTTCGTTCGGAGAATCCTAATATGTGGCCTCGGCAGGGCGCCTAATTTATTATCACGCTCTCTTTCCTACCACCATGTCCTCCCAGGTCACAAGCAAAGACAAAGAGTCGACGAGAGTGCTCTTAACAGAAGAGCAAGCTCAGAATCTGCGGAGATGCGTAGAGATACTCAGTCCTATTGTCAAAGACCTGGTTGAAGACGCCCTGAAGGCCTGTCTTTTCTTCGACATTTTCATGTAAATGGGCTCTCTACTGATTTTGCCTCAGGCTGATACTGCGTCATTGGACGTTATCTCTCACAATCTTCGATGTGCGCTTGATGAAGTACGGAAGATATATCCCAGGGTCTCCGGCGGCATGCGGCTTCCCACTGAACACGAGGAGTCTCTGCTGAGCACTATAATGGTACGCAACCCGTTCGAAGGGGTCTAGAATCTGCACCAGTTATAAACTCTCTGATTTGTCTTCTGTATCAATTAGATCCTAGCCCATGCCGTGATCAAATTTGAGGCCTGTAACGGGGCAAGCCCGGAAATTCACCAAAAACTATGTATGTCTTACAAACAGTTTCATTGATCATATTCGGTCCTGAATATGGAAACCGCTGCTTTCAACCCACATGTAATAGTTCCCATTGCCAAGGAAACCTTCGATTATCTGAGCGAGGCGAAATCCGAGTGCGACTATGAGGAATACAACAGACTCAATCCCGTTCAATTATTCGCGCCTGGACCCGTGTTCAGTGAAGCGGTCACAAAGGAGCTAGAGGCATACCGATATTTTACAGACAGATGCATGATTTGATTTTACCGAGAAAATGTACTGTGGAGTAATGGGTTGCCCGAAAATATGCGTAAGGACCTACCAAAGGTGCGCTGAAGAGAACTTAAAGTTCGGCGGGGGAGCGGTCACTTTTCTGACGAGGAGTATGACATTTTCACCCAGCGTGGCACAACGTCTTGTTGAGTCTGGGAACATCACAGGACTAAGGACGGATAGCGGCAAATGTATATTGATACAACGTCCATGGTTAAGATGAGAGACAGGCGGGACGGTGTGACTCGCAAATCGCGTTTCATAGCCAATCAGAGACTATGATGAGTCGCTAATTTAATAGTGCATAGTCGGAGAATGGAAGATCCCAGAATATTGTAAGCAAAGAGATTTCCAAGTACATCGCTGGGCTTCTAAGTCGTTGTTCTGAGGATACTTCGGACGGCCCGCGGTCATAGCCTCAGTAGCCAGAGTGCAGCAGGGCCAGATAATGTCGCAAAAGTCGACGGTTCCTCATTAGGCGTTCTGACAGATACTGCAACCTAACACACCTGATTTGACCTAATTTTATGAACGGCAAGTCTATCAGGTCAGATTAGGGTGAATTAAGAGACTATGCCAGACTTGCCAGATGATACTAGTGTAGTGGATGCGATATATTGCAATTGGGAAAGCATCACATATGCACGTACATCTGGACCGCGGATTTATTATTGAAGGCTATCTCGGCTCTGATACTGTACATGTACTTAAGTAGCTAACTTACTTACTCATAATATGTGCGTTCACAGACAAAATACTGCCGCCCGGTGGTTGTGAGCGATACCTCAAAGACTGATTTCGTGAAGTGACGACTCAAGTCAACTCCAAGAAGGGTGGCACTAGTACTAGTAGCTGGAACGATGTGGCGGGCCGTCTACCACGATGACATCACATTTTCCAAAGCTCCACACGGGAGGCGCCCACATCTTCCTCTTGACCGCCATCACCCACAACTCGCTCGATATTCGTCAACTCATGGAGCTGCAGTGCCGACCGACATTGTCTCTTACACCTCCATTTCTCGATACTAGTATCTTCAACAACGGGGCGCATGATCTTCGAGTACACGGGCTCTCAAATACAACACGGCCGAATTCGTCGTATCTTCCTAACCACGACGCTGTAAACTTCCTCAAGTTCTTGTGCATTAGATCAATGGTCGCAGCGAAGTTGAAGTGAGAGTTCTCATCTCAGGTACGTCCTTCTGACTGTCTCTATTATCCGCCTCGCTATCGAACTTACTACCTTGACCTCCCCTCGTTATCCGTGTGCTCGCCTATAGATCCCACTATACACCGTCGGTCTGTTTCTCTTCACATGCTTTCCCCCCCCCTCCCCCAATATTCCTTGTGACCGTAAAATCGTTTTTGCTAGACATGAACCCGTTCTCTCATTCTGAGATGACTGTCAGTGTTCATACCCTTTCTCGGCTCGTACTACTGAAGAAAATACTGCGCGATCATCTTGCACCATTGCTCACTTCTCCGGCGTGAATGGCCTCCACTATCCTACGAGTTATTTGTACCCTCACTGTACATCTTCATAAACAATATTCAATTGCATGGCTTGTGCGTCTGATGCCGGTGACGACCAACGCACGTCTGGACACCCAGAACAAATAGAAAGGTCAAATAATGAGTTTTTAGGTCACATTAGGTCTCTTTAGGTGAGAGCCTAATTATGCCAATCAGCCCCTTACTGAACATGATTTGGTTCTCTGCCGCAGTATACCTAAAACAACCCAATAGGGCCTAATCAGGCCCAATTAGGATTGGTCGACTTTTGCGACAAAAGCAGACCGGCTTTGTACTTCGCGATATCCGCCTTGCATGATGCATGAATACTGGCGGGATTGATACATCCCGAGTCTGTCAACGCAGATACTTTAAGTGACGCTGACTGAGAAGCATCGTGATTGAGAGCCGACTTGACCATGAGGGATGAAGTCGGGACTATTGAAAGCGAGCGATCCGGAATGCGGAGATTCTTGACTATGCTAGGAAAGATCAAACACAAAGCAGTGTCAATAAGATCAGCACACACGACGCCAAAACTCCGATGATGTTTGGAAATCAACAAGGAACAAATAGAATAAAACAAGAAAAGATATCCATACAGAAGAGCTGCTACAAATAACGGTCGAGCCGCCGCAAATAACGGTCGAGCCGCCACAAATAACGGTCGAGACGCCACAAATAACCGTTCGAGCCCTTCAGATCATAAAAGCTGACATGGGAAAGTGCCAACATCAGACCGCCCAGTAAATTCCTAGGCCCATTCCTTCAGCCGCTCTTCAGCCTCCGCAGCCTCTGCCTCCACTAACCTCCTCGCGTCTTTGTCCCTGAAACGCAATTCGAACGATATCTTGCCTGGACCTCTTACCAGTCCATGGTTCACATAGGAGTGTGGGTCCGGGGTGGAGAGGGACACGACGTCGAACGCCCAGAGTAGTCTTGTGGTGCGTCCACCATGATATATGCGAGTCAACAAAGCGCAGAAATTCTTTTCATGGAAAGGGAGTGAAATAAGATTTACCGCGCAATGACGATGAAAAGCGATTGCGAAGCTACATGCATCCCGGGACATTGCCTCCTTCCAAAGCCGAACGGTATCGTAAAGTCCGAGGCAATCTTATCATTAGGAAACCGTTCAGGTTGGAATTCTTCTGGCTCTGGGAACATGACAGGGTCCTGCATCATGGTGCTACCGCACCGCACCCGCCATCAGCCCTCAAACCGCGTGGGAAGGTGAAAGTAAATAAAGCGCACTAGATATTTCCGTAAACTGTAGTCCCCTTCGCGATTCTACCGCCTCGAAAGAAGTCGTCCCTCGTCACAGCATGAGGAACGGCGAGTGAAACAGGTGGCCGCCATCGCGAGAGTTCCAGAATGAAGCTGCGCAGGTATGGAAGAGCAGATTCGTCCTCGAAACCAGGGAATCGTCCTCGTCCGACGACAGCGTCGAGTTCGACTTGGACTCTATGGGCCGTTTCTGGGTAGAGAATCATCGCAACTAAAAGAGAGCGAAGATTAGTTGATGAATAAACAGCAGGAAAAGGTAGGAAGACAGACGGATGGCGTATTCTATGCTGCCCGAGGTCTGTAGTACGATGCACATTGTGTGAAAAGGGAGACTCGTACAGAGAAGCTTACGATAGACTAACCGTATCAACACCCGCACCAAACGGAGCCGCCACCGAGTATGCGAGCTCGACTTCGCTGACATTGCCGCTAGGCGCCTCCAGACTACGCGAGGACATGCATTCTTTCGCAGTACCTGCATCCATTCGTTTGCGGACGTCCCTCAATAGCTGAACGTAGAAGGATGTGTCTCCTGCGAATTTCTTGTCGGCGTCGTGACGGAACCATTGAAGCCGACGCTGGTGTCTATGTGAGTGGCGGAACACATGGCGAGGGTTAGGCATGGAAGACTCACCGGGAGCCAGAGCAGACTTGGCCACTGATTTAATCCGGTCAGCACCGAGCTTGATCTGTGAAACAAGAACGTACATCGTCGACTATTTGCTTTCCGAAGCCACTGTACAGCAAATAAATACGAAAGAACCGAGAACGTCAAAGACATCTGAAACTCACATTATACTAGATCGAAGGCACAAGCCTGTCAGAGAGTTGCCAGAACGAAGGAAGATGAAAGTTGTACCGTTGTAACTCTAAACGGGGCGATGAGCCATGCGTTACGGAGAGTAATACAGCGCTTACCCGAGATTATCTCAGTGTTTACTCTGACGGCCTCTTCTTCAAGGCTCGAAGCCCGTTTCCCATAGCTGATGGACGTCACTACCGATACTGCAAACCTGAAAAGCAGGAATCGCATCCATGGGCCCAAATCGATTGAGAACTGAAGCGATGTTTACCTTTCGACTAAGGAAGAATAGTTACTCGAATCAAGTGCGAGATCACGAAGTAGAATTGTTGACTCCAGTGCTTGATGTTCGCGGTACGCAAGCGATGCTCGTCCGCTCATGCCGGTGTGTTGAATCTAGACAGACAAATGTAGAGTCAACAACGGCACATACAGATCACAGGATCCGAGGCAATGGCCCCATATCTAGTCGAAGATACGAGGATCCATCGCGTGGTGCATCTCTGCGAGATAGGAGCGCCTCACATAAAGATGCGCCACGTACCTTCCGCCATTTGCGCCAATATTCACCATACGGGGCGCTCAAACCACGTAGGTTCCCAGCGAGAATCTCATGTCTAACGACTCACATTCAGTAACCGAGAATGCAAAGAGGAGTAGGAGGCCACGCACGCCATGATAAGGCGAGGACGACTTGAGTAGATATCTCCTCGCTTGTCGAGAAGATCAGTGGCCATCTGAGCAGAGTTCAGAACTGAACACACATCCGGGTCAGGGTGCCACACTGCACCTCAACAATGTCGAGATGAACAGTGCACATACCAACGATTGGCTTTCCTCCGAGCTCGAATGAAAAGATATCGCCTGATAGTGTCAGGGATACCAGTCAGTATTCATACCCAAACGATCATGTCTACGCGTAGGCGCACCATATTTCTTCGCGAGCCCGTCAAATACCTCCCACATGGCCGTCTTCTTGATCGCTGCAGTGCGTACCAACGTCGTGACATCCTCACGATCTCCGATATACGCAGGTGGTCGTTGGTACTTCGGGCGTAGAAGAAAGCTGGTGCCCAGCGCGATGAATGTAACGGCTCCGAGAAGCAAGTAGTCCGACATAGATAGTGTGTATGAGAGAAGCTTAGAGAGAAGTTCTTCAGTTCAGGGAGCTTGGAGGGTGTTACGCGCTTGCCGAGTCCCGACCCGTTTTGGCGCCAACCGTTGAGATACCAGGGATCCATATTCAGAAACTCGTTCGCCTTGTAACCCGAGAAAACCTGGCTCCGTCCGGGCAGGAAGGGGATGGGTGAGATGGATGTGATGCGTGATGTTGCAAAAGATGGAAAGGGGTTGGACTTTTACCGATCTCGCCGGAAACGACCGGTGGCTCCAGTAGCGGAGTGGCGTGTGGCACGAATGAACATGCTGCTCATGAAAACACAGTGTAGGGACGTCCTGACTACAAGTTTTTTTATGAATAGTTTGGTCTATCTGCATGTGGTCCTGTGAAGAAGCGATAAGCGAACTAGATTTAGAACACGCGCAAGCGTCGATATAGACAGGACTACGAAGTACCTCGCGTAGGTACGGAATATAGTAATGAATTGTCCACATAAGTAATGGTCAAGAGGTCATGCAGACCATATTCATCGGTAAAGTCATACGGCTCAATCGAATTAAGAAATCACTCAGACAAACTGGGATCCTTTCCGGCACACTACCATCTGCCGCGAGACAGTCATAGTAACAGCGCCCGCGAACGTGAAGACCTGTCACATCGCAAAGATAAATATCAACGTCGCACCTCTCATAATTTATGCATGCTTTTTCAAAGCAACGAGAGCGATGGCGGGACAAATTGAGGAGATGTACTGCTACTCACCGCACTGAAAATAATTGCTTTCGGCCAGAGGAACCCAGGTCCAAGCACAGTGCCTGCGATGGGAGCTCCGAATAAGCATCCGATCGAGGCGATAGCGAAACCTAAACCGACGCGTACGCTATTCGCGTTGAAAATTGAGCATAATAAATGAAGTGGAAGATGGGAAGATATCTGTCAGAACACGTTCGGCACAAAATATGGTGCGTGCGGTGGGGGAGGAGAGGTCCCTACCCAATCTCGCTTTCGTCGCGTGCAAAACTACCGACGACAGGGCCGCAAAGGGCCATAACTGTGGTGCCGCGTAAAACCATTAGTGTGAAAACACAATGAAGGACGATTGATTGAAATAAGCAGGAGAAACTCACAAGAACCGGACGTGATGCCAAAAATGATTGAAAATATGATGATGGTCCCCGTGTTCGTGATTCCGAGGAGAGCGATGAGAAGAACTCCATTTACGAGAGAGACAGGAATGATAGCGTTCATTGGTCCGATTTTGTCTGCTGCGAAGCCTGTAATAATTCGCCCGACAACGGAAGAGGCGTTGAGGATAGCTATCTGCAAAATACTTGGTATCAATCGGGTCTTCCGGATTGAATCCAGATCAAGCCAGTCGCAAATCACTTACGGTGTAGAACGCAGTATTAGGATCGACGCCATGGAGAATCGAGAATATTTGGAGATAGAAGACTATGCCGACCGGTTATCAGTCTGTTGTTTGAGGTCATTATATAATGGATCTGTACGCGGAAAGAAGATTCCTAAGAGGTTGAACAGCCCTCTTTGAACCGCATTAATAACATACAAGCTGATTGAAGCGAACTCGGGTTACATACCCAATGCATGCAGCAAGATAGGGTACATCCGTCAATATTCCTATCATTTCTGGTTTCGGCTTGTTTGTCCCATCCATCAATGGATTTGTGGTCATAAGAAATATCCCGGGGATGAGCAAGGCGAGAACAAGGAATCCCGATGCTCGTACACCCCAACGAAACCCAACAGACCCATGGAATAGTCTATTGAGCATGATAGGAAATATAACACCGCCAAGAGCAGCACCTAAATAAATTCCAAACAAAACATCAAATTTTCCAGCATTGCGCACGGATTTGATCGTTACCCACCGCTAAAGGCTATACCTATGGCTAGAGAACGATGTTTGCGCCAGTGATGGGCTTGAACTGCAACGGCTGGTGAATATAACAAGCCCGCACCGATGCCCATACCAAGTCCTTGAGAAAGAAATATCTGATAATACTTCTCATGATGCGCGATGGACACCATCATAAGGCTATGTGATGAAAACCTTAGCAGAGTCCACCGGATTATATCAGGAAACACTCACGAAAATACATAAAGCACTGTGCCGACTATATTTGTCGTCTTGAAATGACCCGCATCGAGCAGCTTTCCAGAGACTATCCCGGTGGCGATGAGGAAGAATATTTGAACTGAGCCAATCCAACTAATGCGAGACGAAGAAGCATCTCCATTTCGTGTGTAGAAGTCTTGGTAGACCCCGAATGAGTTGGAGTACCCAAATGTCGCGAGCAATACGAGCCATCTTCAAAAAAAGCCTCCGTCTATGAAAAAATGTGAACACCCGAGACCTTGGAGGGACGCACCCGCCAGCCGTGGTACGCCAGGCTCTGACACCACCATCTACTCCGAGTTTAGATTGTTGGCGTGGAAGTGCTACGGTGCTAGAGGACCCGACGTCTGCATAGTCAAAGCTCTCCATGAGAGATCCCAATTAAAAGTTATTTAATGCACTGTCTTAAAGTCTTTATGACCCTGCATGGGTCCGACAACGGGTGCGAGCAAGTGCCAAAGACGAATGTCCCCCCGAACTGGGAAGACACCCTGTACCCGTTCGGGTACGAGTATGCCGCCGTGTGGCACGGGTTTACCTCTTACCACCACGCTATTGTGTACAGTGCTGAAACATGTAGACGGCCATGATGACATTGTAATATGGACCTCCAACCCGTATATTAGAAGACTACTTACACTGCACAGATGGAAGAACACCAGGAACTGGCCAGGTCGATTCGACAGCCTTGAAACGAAGCTTAAGACCAAATTGCCAGGCTATGCTGGTCGAATAATGTACGAGAGAGAGCACGTGAGAAAGTGATAGCTAGTATGCTCAGTATGTCGCAAAAACGAGAACATCGAGCCTCTCACACTGTCACATAAGCAAGTCGGAAAGACCACGAGTCTCTGTATTTCGCGTTCTCGATCCTCGTTAGTACTCTGAAAGTTCAGCTGTGCAGCTTGAGGACGTACGTTAAAAACAGAAAGCGGGATCGGAATTTGCTCGCAATTTAATGCAGAAAATATTCGCGTGGACACGGTCTAATGGTAATTGAATGGTGGCATGAGTGAGAGATGTTGACGCTAAAAAGTGGCCTGATTTAGTTGCCTACCTTGGCAAACTGCATGGTCATCATTCATATGCTGTCAAACGTGACTGTTCTGCAGTGGGACAATGATTTCACAAATCGTTTCATATATTGATAAGATCTACAGTCGGAGATAGGGAGGCACCCTTTCACCTTTATTTCCCGACTTCAGTTAGGCCCCATTGCTAGAAGAAGTTCTTCCCCTTAGTAATGAGGGCACCCAGATGATATGTCTCGCCTTTTCGCCATCCACATCAACAGTCACCGCCGATGACGAGGTGGACACAGGTGAACGTTCAAAAAGTTCGTCAAGAAAATGTTAAAAAGATGCCCCATACCTTCGTCTTCCCTTTCTTCGTTCCTGCTATCGTATGATGTATTTGCGTGTCGATCTATTTTGGGATCGAGATCGCATGGATTTAATTTGACACCATTCCCGTGCATCATCCCGCCGAGAATCGTATTAGCACTATGTTTGCATGCGAGCCTGAATAATGCGGTGGTGCTGAGTATACCACTGAGCTTCCAGTCTTACACCGCAGCTCCAATCTCCCCTAACATTAGATGTTTTCTGCAGCCTGAAAACCGAGAGGTTCTATGAGCTTCAAATTGGCTACTTGAGAGCTCGTCTACTTCAATGTTTATTTCATAGTTCGCTTCGAACCCTCGGTAAGTGCCAGACGCAGGCCAAATGGAGTCGATCAGCCAATCACGGCTGGCCTCCACTTTCGCCTTCGAACTGAAATTTTAGTTAAAATTCTCACTTTTACAGTTCGCTTGCGTCGCCTTGCAACTCAAAAGTCCACTTTTCAGGCTGCAGATAACATCTATTCACTAGAGTAATACTTCATAACAATCATCTTCTCCTCCAATGATGGAGTTCAATGTTCCAGAATGATCCTCCCGTTCGAGCATAGCGAGATGACACGCCCCGTCATGGAAAGCGGGACGTTATCAGCCGATCTATGGGCGAAGACCGGCTTCGAGGAACACTTCTACTTTGATGCATGGGAATGCAGATCATGATATCGTTGCATCATAGATCACGTCTGAGCTCTCCATCACGACTCTCCCGGCGAGACCTGGGATTGATACTGAAATTGAAGCTGTCGTCTTCGGGAATAACAGTAGCATACCCTAGCGTACCTGGCCTACGTTTTATCCTACCTATCTCTGGCAGATCCAGCATAGCAAACTCGATTAGTATGGGAAGCATCAGAAAATCAAACTCCCAGGGTACCATGTTTGAACTATCGTGATGATTGGAGCATCATTCAATGGTGAGCGTCTGAGTCGCCTGTTATATAGGTACTGCATCTGCTATACATCCGTGTCTCGATCCCACTCATGAGAAAACCCTGTTCCCGCTAGCCATGGAGACGCAGATCAGTATTCCCGAGACACTGGGGTGCATAGAACTCGGTGTTATACTCTCTGCGATGATATATGGAGTCATGTGCGTGCAAAGCTACAACTATCACCAACATGGATTCAAGGACAAACTGTACATCCACCTCCTGGTCCGTGCATCTCTCATATTATCAGTCAAATCTCAACCAAAACTTTTTTTGGATCAATGAAGCAATGTTTTGTTATGTGCGTTTGTTTTCCTTCTCATATAATTCTTGCTGCTACCGGCTCAACGAATCACTGGCTACAGTATCGTTGAGACTACTCACATGGTTTTCATCATCATCTCTCTCTATACAACTACGGTGAATCGTTTCGGGAATCCCGAAGCTATATTGGAAGCTACTTGGTCCATCAGTTTTTCGGTATTTCTTGCCATGCTAGTGAACTGTCCTGTTCAGGTGATTTCGAATCACCTTGCAATGTCGGACTATATCTGAAGTTCGGTCAATTTTCACCCGTAGAGTTTCTTGGCTTACAAAATACGCAATATGTCCCACAGCTGGGCGCTTACCATCTTTTCTTGGGTTGGTTCACTATTTCGTCTCACAACTGGTCTGGCCCTCAGTATACTGGCTATTCGAGTTGGCCGTATCGACCTGTTTGAGAAGAAATACCAGTGGCTTATGGTGTGTAACCTTGTGATGGGTGCTTCGGTGGATATCTGGAATGCGGGATGGTTGTGTTTCTATCTATATTGGGAACGGCCAAAGTTTTCTGCGTGAGCAGCTTCCCTGCCATTGACTTGGTAAAAACATTAGGATCCAACAAGAACCACTATGTAACTAGGACCCGCAACCTCATTGACAAGTTGATTATTGGGACAATTGGTACGACATATAGTATTCTTTCACCCTACCTTTCTCATATCATTTTTTCTCTTCTCTAGAAACCGGAATAATCACTTCGTACGTTGTTCCCTGTCCATAATTATGAAATACATCTCACCACAAAAGTCATGCGGCATGATCGTCGTAGACTTTCGGTCCTCCTCACGCTCATCACGGTGAATATCTATTGCATATATTGCAACAACACAACAACTGATGGCTTCTCCTTACTGTGTAGCTTCTCGCCCTTCCAAAATCAAGTATGATTTCTCTTAACTAGCTTGATAAATATGCCACTTATACACTCGCTACTTCCACAGCTTTCTGTAGTCTCCTTCACAGACCTTTATAGTGATGACAATCGATCACTGTTATAAGGTCTGTTCCAATTTGACGGGCCTTGGCGGAGCGACCCCCGAAGGCTCGATAAGGAAGGAGTTTGAGGGAGATATGCTGCCTCTTTCAAATATTCTCCACTCAAATGCCTTCCTTTTCGGGACTTCGGGGGTCGCTCCGCAAAGGCCCGTCAAATTCGACAAGACTAAGCTTTCTGGGTGTTCTTCATGGTCATTACCCCACGATGTGAGTAATATTGGCTTATCTGCGTCGCAGGCTACTGACGGTTGGTATGTACCAGTATATTCTAATTCACTCTTTGCAAAGTAGACTTTGATCTTGTCGTATACAGTATTCCTGGACTATGAAGGCTGACTTCTGACTGGCCCACTTGTAGCCTTAATGGACGCGCTGGCTTGCGCTCAGCGATAGCAGTATCCGATCTTGCAAATGAGGTCATTCCTGGCCTCTACCCTCACGGAGACACGGTACGCATCATTGTCAATCACCTTCCATCATATCATTGATCCCCTTCGCTATTATCCACTAAGGGCGTTGAAGTTCACGTCGATGTTCTTACAATAAGCGACGCACATGGTGCATGCGTAAGTGCTCCTCGTACTTCATGTTGCCCCAGAACAATCCCAAAATACTCAACAAGAGCTCTTCTGTTTTCGCTTGGATGTCTTTGAATCTCAGGGACACGAAGACATCGAGATGCATTGTTATACAAATTCTGAGGATTTTGATAAACAAACAAACTGACCACTTACTAATAAATAGCTTCGAATACACCCGATGTAGTTTGGCTACGTCTCCCGACGGATTGGCGCTTGAAACTTTCACGTACACATAACTCCACTTACACAGGCAAGGTCAAGCATTGGACTGTTACCATATTATTCATTCGAACAATGGAAAGAGTTGTTCCTGGCCTCTACCAAAAGGTCTTCTCGCTAGGCAATTGCTGCATAGGCACAGGTCAAACCGTGTCTGAGTTTGATAGATGTGGCAGCAAATATTGCAGCCTCGATGAAGCCAATGTGGTGTTGGAAACGCCTTCCATGTGATCAGGTGATCTACTGTATGATAGTCTACTCGGTACTTACCCACATTCGCGTTTGATGTCATCAGTTAGGTGATAGCTACTAACCCTGATTCTTAATCTCTGAGGAATCCAGGCCGGTTTCACGTCTAATAGACGGTCTCTTTTGCTGCAGAAAGTTACCCGTTTCACTATACTTACTTAGACTCGTTGACTGACACTGGAAGCGGGCCGTAGAAACGACAGTCATCCGAACGACTGACGTATACAAGTCTAACCCTATAACTCATAAGGGATACAAACACGGTTACCTACCGTATAGGTACTAGAACCTGAAATCAGGCAACGAAACACTAGAGGACACCGATCTTTGAGTTCGGTGGCTGGTGAAATTTGGGTGCAAGATTGAATCTGGGAATTGGATCTTGGAATCCGCTATAGACCGTGTGCGCGGAGAAAAACTAGGCGTTGCAGACTCTGAGGATAGCTGGTGTACCTGGCGGAGAACTGCTTGTCCCTTTTGGCGGCGCCGATATAGTTCACACTCCGCTCCTCGACCGGTGGCTACATCTACATGTTCTCTCAGCATCATACCCGCATTGTCGTACAACCATCTTACAGCACGTAAGAGACTCACGGCAAGACAAAATTGGTTAACTAGGTACTGAGCTACCATAACGGTCTTGCACAGATTCTGAAGCGACGAAAGCACGGGAAATATGTCTGTACCCGCGCCTCTTACTGGCAGTACGGCGGGTTGAGCGGACAGGTGGTATAAATGGCTGGATTATGGACCTAGCATGAAAATTAATATTCGCAGTATTCTATTCCAACTCTCAACCCTGTATTCACAACTCGTGTTCCTTGCCCCAACATCAGGTCGGGGACACCGTTGCCCTCAAACTATTCCGTTATGCCGGCACAGTACCTTCCCGATACTCGACGTCTTTGTTATGTGAGTGCGGGTAACAATATACATATTCTCTAGTGCTTACCAGGGTGTGTCGCAAAATGGGCACCGGCGTTCTAACGCTCAACCTGATTCGGGCCTGTTTCGGACCGTAATAACGTGCGTTATAACGGGATTTGGACGATCCCGGTCCGTTGAAACGCTCGGTTCGGTGAAGCGATCCATGATAAGATAACAACGCGAATCATAACACTTTCGCTGTCCGTTATAACGGGCGTTATGTCAGAAAACCCGAATCGGGTCTATATACCGGCGAGTGGCAACGCGCGCGTTGAGCCTCTCGACTCTAAAATACCCTCAAACTCGTTCAGATGGGCAGCTGGAACGTCGTTCTATGGCCACAACCTACGAAAGTGACGATTTTACCTGGTATGTGTCGCCTGTTGTCGAGGTTTGACCCAGGTACAAGCACCGATAAATATCCTGAGTCTGCACGCACAGAGGCCAGTGCCACACCGGCACATGCTGGACCGCAGGCCTGCAGGCGCCTGCCCAATCGGCGCGCCGTGATGACAAATAATGCGGGGCAGACTGAGGGCGTTATAACGCTCGGCCCGACCGTTATCACAAAAACCTTTATTGCTAGCACGGTGATAACGCGTCGTCAGCCGTTCCGGCCGTTCTAGGCATTATAACGCGTAATAACGGGGGGTGCCGCTTTTGCGACATGGCAACGATAGAATTGTGGACAACTGACACAGAGCATCGGCCAGCAAATGAACCTCTGGAATATTTGTGAGAGAAACTGTATCTTTCTGCGGCGATGGTGTACGCTTTCCCACTGAATCAGCTCTTCTTTTGTCTCGAGCGATGCTCAGACTGTAGCGAGGCATGTAAACGACAAGCTGTTCCATACAACAAACCTACTATACACAGCAAGCCACCAGCCTCAGTCCTGCGAACAGTCGCGACGGCCAACACTTGCAAGGTGAGTTTCTCGCACATTCGGACACATCGAAACAAAATATCAGCCCTCTCTTGCAGTACTGCAGAAAGCCCTTGCAATATATCATCCCATTGAATTCATGGATAAACAACTGTGAGTTTTGATGACCAGATTGCACGTCCTGTTCTGTTGTCCGACTCACACATGGGAAAGATTGCAGCCAACACTGCATGCAGCGAGCGAATGTGCTGTCCGCAATCCCAGAGCGTTTCAATAACGTCCCAACAACAGTACCCGATTTGGCGTCTGATCTCTGTTTCGTACGCTTCCTCCCTACTAACATCCTGTCTTCTGTCGTACTCTGATGTGGCGAATTTACAGAAATGTAGAATAGTACCAAGATACGTTGACACCAATGGTTTCAGACACGAATGTGAGAAGATATGCATTGTATCGGAGCTACTCCTCATCTGTTTTGTTTAGTTTGCGGGGTATGCAAAAACATCACTGCCCACCTCAAACGGGGCGGAGAAAACCGCTCAAGGTCACTCGCTCGTTCCCCTATGCCACCAAGCCCAAGGAATCCCAACCAAAAACATGTAGCATTTCTGGATTCACCAACCATTGCTCGTCAACATACGACCTGGGAGCCTGATCGAGGAATCTGTGAGGTAATTGTTATTGCTCACTTTCGTATTATGCGGCAGTCACACTGAGACATCATCATAACTGCAGCAATGCGCGGCGTGGCCTAGGTTCGCCGATAAAAAGAACTATACACATCAGCGTAGGTCTTTATTGATGTTTCCAGCTTCCTCCATAGAAAACACTCTTGACACATATTCGCGTTTTTTAAACCGTCTTATAGGCTGTGATGCATACCGGGCCCATTATCAGGCCCAGCATGTTCCCCACTCGAGACTTCCGAATTCCATATACTTCTATAGCGAGGGAAGCCCGTACTTTGGTTTCACGAACCGTTCGGGTTTTCAGGTTGAATATAAAGGAAATACGTATTGAACGAGCGAGCACCTATTCCAGGCATTCAAGGTATACCTACTTGAATCCATGCTACTCTATCGCGTGCTGAACGATGTTGCCGTAGTTCATGGACCATCGCCTAGGCATTGTCAAACGTATCAGAAGAACGAAAGATTCGGGGGAAGTTTATAATATAGTGAACGATAACAGGAGTTGTACGTGGGAATCCAGCATGCACCTTTCCGTTAGCTCTAACTCGTTATCTAGACATCAGAAGGGATTGGCACGAAGTCCAGATTGTCATTGTGCGTAAATCTACCCAGCATTATAAGTATGCGTCGATAATTAAGACTTCTTCCGTGAATTCATTACTACGTAGATGGACAAGGTTCTTGCTCTCAAGTTCGGTCAGCATCAGTCCTTGCGACATGATCTTCGTGCGACTGGGCACGCTACGCTCGTATTCGTGAGTGTATTCCCATTTTCTTTTGTTTGTCTCTACTCACTGTAAAGCCGTATGATATATAGTGCTCGAGGGACGCCTTCTGGGGATATGGGCCGAATATGAGAGGAAGGAACGAGCTGGGGAAGGCTCTGATGCGTCTCAGAGCGAGGCTTGCGGGGTAGTAATAACCATAGCCATGGTATAGGTTATATTTGAGATGAGTCGGACTGAATATGTATCGGTATGCTGTATCTCTGAATCTCGGATGCTCCTTGTCGGTGCTTTTGCTGGGGAATCATAGCGAACGTTCAAAGAGCGCCACATACTATGGCGTGGTATGTGCTCACTTGTTTTGATTAGTTCCCGTTCCTATCACTCGTAATGCTTGGGTGGAAAATACGCCACTGCTTCAGAACCCAGGAGAATCTATGAACTCATGAGCCTGAAGCCCGAACAATAATTGAGGGCGCAATTCTCGTACAGATGCTGCACCGCATAAAATCATGGCCTGAAATTCAGCGTGAGCTATCATCACGATAGCCCACTATCTCAATGCCACGTCCTCATCTCGTCAGTTCGAATTTGCTCTTTTGCTACAAAGAAGTGTATGTAGAGGGAAACCTCAAGATATATGTGGTCGAATGAGTTGCATAGCAAAACAACGGTCGTGGCAAAAGAAGTTGCAGGATGCTAGACATTCCACAGTTACGAGAAGCCGTCAGTGAGGATAAGGTCCAGGTGGTCGGCAACTCCGAATATATCCGGTTGGGCGATCTGGGCGAGGTGTGTTCTTACGCTTCGTCTTCAGTATAATGAGCACCTTACCCTTTGATGTCAATCGTGGAAACTCCCTCATTAGTGTATGTATCGGGCGACATTTCGTATCGCATTCGCTATACAGATTCTCAGACATGAGCAGAAGAGAAGTGAGCATCCGATCTTGTATAAGTTGGCGAAAGCTTTGACGACAGACACTGACAGATTGATTATTGCACATCGTCGTCGTAAAAAATCAGGTCTCACCAGCTTCATGGCCATTTGCAGATTCCAAATGCTTTTAAACAGGCCGCAGTGAAGTGTATCGTTGATCTACTGATCACCGGGTGCCAAAAAACTCTACAATGTCGTGTCAATGCCCGATGGCTGGATTGAACAACCGACCTCATCATGTGCGCGCTGGTACGAGTGACGCGCTCTACCACTGAGCTAATCGGGCATGCTCCTCTTTCAATTCCTCAATTGATGGAATGACACCCTTGCTCAATGACATAGAGTCAGCCAGACAGAAATGAATTTTATCTGAAGCAAAGGTCGTTACTGTATGGCTTGGTAGAAACACATCGCTACCACAGCAGGAGAATGGTCTTAAAATACCTTTTATGTGATACCAAAAAATGTCGATGGAACGGTAGACATTAGGCGGTCGGCGGATGACTTCTGGTCATTGACAGGTTGGGTTCAGTCCGAGTCTGAGGCAAGCCTGAGGATGCGCGGCGCTGGCTCGGGGTGCGTTGTGAGTAAATGACAATCAAATGACGATGCTATCGGTGGTCAGTACTCATCATGTAAAAATGATCTACTTATCGGTAAGACGTGCTGGTAAAGACATCATTTGAGAACAGAGTCTGACGACGGGTGAATAAAGGTTGAAAATACGACGCGTAGGACGGTCGTCCCCCCGACTCAATTCAGGAAGCGCTTCGATGAGTTCACCAAACGCCAAGTCCCATGCTGCGTGTCTGCGAGCGCAGAAAAACCGTGTTTCTCCCACCGAATGATCAGCACTGCTGCCGTCCGAATCACCCAGGCCACCATAACATTGTGCTCCAAGTCCAAAAATTGAGAACAACGTCTTACAGTCCAATAGTCCATTCACATAACCGCATCCCAGACCCTCAATGCACACAAGTATCAACCCTAAACGACCCTCCCGTCCCCGGAAACCCAAAACACCCATCCTGACTAACACTCTCGCTCTCCCCCGTGCACCCCACCTCACTAAACCACGTCACCGGACACTCAATCGCAATCGTCGGCCCCAACTCGACCGACACGGCGCCAAAGGCTTGGGAGACGCAGGCGAAGCTTCCCGTGCCGGTCTCGGTCCATTGGTTCGCGTCGGCGGTGCGGCCGGTGCAGCCTGGGGAGCCGTATTGCGTCCAGGTGATGGCGTGGGTGGTTTGGATATAGGTGGAGAGGGCGAGGATGAGGAGGGGGGCGAGGGAAGTGAGGCGCGACATGGTTGATGAAGTGGTTGGTTAGATGCGTTGCTTGAACTGTGGAAGAAATAAGTTGTAAGATGGCGGTGCTTGAAGATGAGATGAGTTGAGGAGTCCCACCGATGGAAGCTCGTCAGTTCGAGGGTTTGGTTCTTCTTGGCTAGGTTCGTTGGACTCGGGCGATCTTTATATACATACAAAGAGGCGCTCTGTCTCAATGCCATGGAGGTCAATGTCCGTCATGGGGCTGTAAGTAATAGTAATCCTCGTACTCCGTACAGCTTCCAGGATCTTGCGGCGTTTCAGCAACGAATGACCTCCGAATGAACTGCTCTTGTAATGTAAAACGCACGCGTATCAGCATGCAGGAAGACCTACACCGAAACAAGTGATCGTCGGTCTTCCCTGGCCCTGCGCCGCACAAACAACGAGGTGCTGTTGATCTCTTCAATGCTCAATGGAGTGAAGACGCCGAACTGGTGAGTGCCAAGAACTAGAACGATCCATTGGGGTACGGTGAGACCAAGTACAGATGGAGAGTCGGTATCAGCTGAGTAGCGTACGGCGCAGGCAAGACCGGTGACTTCTAGACCAGAGAGTTACGAAACAGGAATCCATGAAAGGCGGAAGAGTATGCTTGTCACCGTTCGAGAAAGCAGTGAGCGAGATTCGATGAAACCTGAACCTGAGAGGCAGAGAGGCAGCGAGAAGAAGAATCTAACACAGCAATCCCAACAGCGCAGAGAGGTATCGAATGGTAGGAAGCATAGAGAGCACAAGAAGAGCATGAGGAACTTAAACCAGAGAAAATACCGAAAGCAGCGAGCAAGAAAACGACGTCCAGAGAGCATCTCCTTCCGAGCCCGCCCACAAGCAACACGCCACCATATCGCATCCACATCCCACCGATTCCACAGCCCATCAACCTACGCCCTACCAGCAGCCTCATTAATCTTCCTCCAATTCTCCTCCCACATCTCTCTCGTCCATCCCTGACTCATCCAGAAATTCCTCACCTTCGGATCGTCCCACAGATCCACTTCCTCCTCCGGGAACTGTAACGGGCCACCCAGTTCCTCGAAAACTGCATCGGACGGCGTAGGATGGGCTATATACTGTTGAATATGCGAGATATACGAATGATGAAGACGTTGTCGGTCGAAGTCGCCGAGATGGGGAAATCGGATATGCATGTCGTCCTCCATAAGAGCACTCCACTCCTCTCCGGGCATTGTGGGAGTTTTGCCGGGATCGATGTTGTGAAGACTGAAGGCGTCATTCGCGATGTTGAAGGACTGTAACGCTGAGACGTCACAACATCCACGGCTCTCAGTCGAAAGATCTGCAGGATCGAAGAGAAGGGAAAAGAAACGGAAACACACCAGCATGCTCTGCGAAGTTCGCGAATAACCCGAAAATCGGAGGTCGTGTATATGAAGGCACGAAAGATGGCGAGGGTCCATAGAGATGAAGATCAAGCATCCCGTTGTTGTCGTAATTGGCGAGATTTTGTTGAATATAGTTATTGCCATTCTGAAATCCGCCGACCCAGCCGTTGGCACCTATTTCACCGGTCGCCCCATCGCTGGAGGACATAGGCGAGTCGCCCATGCTCATAGACACGTCGGCAAGTCGAGAGTTTACGGAAGTTGAAGACATCCAGTTGACTGGCATCGCGCTCGAGGCGGGTATCGACGCAGTGTCTGGAGCTGAGACCAAGGATCCGGGGAATGGTGTCCGGTTGGCGATAGCAAGGAAACCGTGGGGATCGCGGGCATTGAGACTGGAAGGCGGGTCCATCGTGAATGAGTACGAATCGTTGTCTTGTTCGTGGTTGTTGAACATCGAGGGGTATGTCGGTGCAACGTAAGGGACTGGAATCGATGATGCTGAAGATGAAGCGAAAACAGGAGATGGAGCAGGAGCGCAAGAACGAGAACGATCAAGAGCAAGAACACGATTGTCGACTGGAGAAAGAAGAGTATCGAGGTGATCGCGATGGGGAAGATAGATTGGGGGGAATGCAGACTCTGTAGCTGTACTTATATACGAAGACGGTCGAGTACTGAAGGACGTGTCCGAAACAGGGGAATATGAAATAGGATAGAAATCGTTTGTTGGACACGCGGTGCTGGCACGGACCGATGCGGGGCACGAGCTGGCACTATCGATCGTTACGGCATCTGTGTCTTCATCTCTGTCGTGGTCGAAATAGATACCGTTGCTGTTACGACCGAAGATATCGATCGCACTGCTCCGATCAGGGCCTTCCACAAAGCTCTGTCCAAATCGGGATGAACGCGGGGGATCGACACCACCATTAAAGTCGTGGCAGCGCCTGGGAACAGAACCGAGGGAACCAGTATCCGGTTCAGTTATGTCGGAGGGAGGATCGGGGTGGATATATGCGTAGTCATCGTCCTCATCTTCGTACGCCCCAATCCGACCAGGAGAGAGCTTGAGTATAGACCGAGGTCGGGCGACGTGTTGATGACGCGAAAATCTGAGGTCGCGAAGGGCTTGAGCAGCGGAGAGTTCTGCCTCCGAGTCAGGATAGGTGGATATATGCGTATATGAGGCCAGACCGGGCCCAGAAAGGGTCGATATATGCGTGCTGTGAGGTGGGTGGGTGGGTATATGCGTTGACGGTCTGGTCAGGGAGGTCGATGTATGCGTGCTTGGAGTCGGATGGGTGGATATATGTGCCGAAGAAATACGAGAACGAGGAGAGGGAGGCCGAGGAGAAGACAGCTGAGCTCTGAAGATACGGCTCCGAGTACGAGCTTTCGGAAGAAATGCAAAGGAGAGGGGTAGTTCCAAGGGAAACAAGCCAGTCTCTTCGTCGTGGTCGCTATCGTTTTGGGTATCAAGATCAGTAGCAGGAGAAGATGGACGAGGCGAGGAAGCAGGAACGAGAGAACTGGGAGAAGGAGACGGAGAAGATGGAGGAAGGAAAGCAGCGAGAGCACTAGCAGCAGAACGAGTATGGTAACGTGAGGCAGAAAGAGCAGGAGTAGAGTTGACGTCGAGCTTCGGTCGTTTCCTAGGAGGAGGCCCAGATTTCGCCCCCGTTTTCTTCACAGACGACTCGACTGGGACGTCCTTCTCCGGGTCCTGAATCCTCACCCTTTTCCCCTTCCCCTTCCCTGTCGTCTTCGCCTTTCCGTTTCGTTTGACGTCCCTACCCTCGTCCTCATCCATCGCGGCAGGAGGTTCCGGCTCTGTGAGCTCCTCCTCGATGACCTTCGGCTCCTCCTTCACAACGGTCGTCCGATCGACCCAACCAACCGGCTCGTCAACGCCCAACTCATAGCCTTCTCCAAGTCTCTTCTTTGCCTTCCCCTTCCCCTTCGCCTTACCATCCGACTTCGTCTCTTTCGCCTCTTTCATTCCTTCCGCATCCTCTACTTTCACCACACCCTCCTTCCCATCTTCTAGCTCTTCCCCCGTCACTGGCCCCTGCTCATTCACCGGCTCCTCCTCTTCCACCACCTCAACGCCACCGACCCCCACACCTAACGACCCTCTCCTCTTCGCGCCAGACTTCCTCCTCCAAAACCAGTCATTCACCGCCTTCGGGTTCACGTTCCTAGCTAATGCCCACACACGACGTGATTCGATCGAGGGTACTCGGGGCTCACGAAGCCAGATGAGGGAGAGCTGTGATCTGTGAGCTGGCGTGAGGCGGTCGATGAGGGAGGTTGTCTGGGTTGGGATGGCGGCGGAGGCGGTGCGGATTGAGTCGGGAGCAGAAGTGGTAGTTACTTCGGCTGTGGCAGGGGGAGGAGGATGAAGAGAGGAAGTGACTTCCAGTTTAGCCTTGGATTTGGATTTGGGAGGCTTCGGAGGTTGTGTGGCGATAGGGGCGGATTTGGACTTTGCCTTGTCCTTTGACCTGGATGAGGTTTTCGACTTGGGTTTCGACTTGGCCTTGGTTGAGGGTAGTACGGTGGGTTGTACTAAGGAGCTGGAAGGCTCTCGGGATGCAGAAGAAGAGGTGGAGGTGGGTATATGCGTTGAAGACGACGTGTTGTTCTGCGTTTTGCCTTTCACTGGGAGGGAGGGCGTCCGGTCTGTGGATTCCTGTCCAGGAAAAGACTTTAGAGTAGATAGCTCGGTTTCTATCGCCTCAGTTTTCATGTTGCCGAGAATGGGACCGAGAGCAAAGACAGTACGAGAGCGCTGGCGAGCGTTTTTGAGCAACAAGTGACAAAGCTAAAATTCAGAGTTAGCAGACTTAGCACCGAGATAGCATTCAATTGGTTGATTGGGATGTACCCAGAGTGGAAGATGGAAGAGAGCTACAGACCGCAGTGGACGACAAGAGGAAAGAGGAAGGAACCGAAAAGTTCTGTGGCGAGCGTGTGTGTGGCGGCAAAAGGCATCTGCCGGATGCTCTCAATGGTGACGCGCAATTCCCGTAGACGCGGCGTGGTGTTTGGTCATTGTTTGGTCCCCGCAAGACGCGTTGAAGTGGTGGTCGGCAGATACATAAATTTCTTGCACGACCGTATGCTCTCTGGAGACCATAAAATTTGCTAAATGTATTCTAAAGGTGATTATGCATCTCTACAACAAATTGTGGGAGAAACGGGGTACTCTGAAAAACATCGGGCTCTATTCATGAGTCCCATGCAGATTGCTTTACGAGTAAATTCTATCTATGTTCAGGATATATCCATGAGACTTATCGTACTTTGCCTCCAGAGTCTCCTCTTCTGATGAGAGAGTCTCTCATCAGACTCTGGTTCTTTTCTGAGCTATAAATTTCGCGGAGCAATGTCTTGGAAAGATACAAAATCAAACATGTACGAAAGAGGGAGACATATGTCCATGGCAAATTCGGCCAAGCTGGGCATCAGAGAGGGGGTTCTGCGCCTCTGAACGTTGATTCTTCTCGGCTAGCAGTTGGTTATGGTCGAGCCGTGAGGTCATCTTCCCTATCTCTCCCTGTCCGAAATATCCTGAAGGAGACGCGAAATCGGGAATGAGATCGTCTGAGAGGTTGTGAACGGTCAGGTCAGGTCACAAACGACTGACGATAGGTGCAAGTGAAGCGAGAGGAAGAGGGAGAAGGCACGCGAGCCATCCCGGTTCGATAAAATTAGCGCTCACTTTCGCCAATTAACCTTCGCCTTCATTCTCTCGTCTTTGAATCTGTCCTATTACGCTCGCACTTGTCAACTGTGATGAGTCCTGAATCGTGACACTCCCTTTAACTTGTTCCTCCCCTACATGCGCTGAGCATGACAAACTTTCGTACAATATCGTGCGCTGCAGAACACTCTATGGCAGTTTGTGTATACAACTACTCATTTAATCAACGACAATAGCCAACCAGCCGAGTAAAAGATCACTGCACATGTCCAGAAACTGAACAAATTGGTCTACGTGTCGCCCTCCATTTTTACATACTTCAAAGACCAGCACCGTGATTTGCCACAACCACAAGGAACGAACGGGTGGTTATTAGGATATCGGACATCGAGAAGATGTTCTCGACGCGTGCAGAAATTGGTCCAAGAAGGCACCTTCCACTGTTTGCTCAAAAAATCCCAGCAACCGTGCTCGGTGAGTAAATGAGAGGGTGTCTTGAGACTGTTAGACTTGGCTTTATTCCGTTTGGTAAGCTTGGATCGCGGGCGTGTGAGAGAAACTCCTACGCCTGCGAGAGCGACCGAAAGCGCGGCATCACGGTCCGGAGCTGAAGATATGGCTGTGGTTTGGCACGCGAATAAGCTGATGTATGAAGACGCAAACTTGAACCAGCCTTATCGGAACTTACGTGTGGAACTGATTCCTTTCAGTGAATCGGCTGTTACTTTCACTTTCAATCGCTCGTGTATGGATAGCGCGTCCATCGTAGTAATTTTTGCCACGTAATTCTATAGTAATACCGAGTATTGAATGAAGTCAGTCTGTATATTCACCACCTCTACAAGAAGAAGTCGAATTGAGGGACATACGGAGATGACCAACGCCGTACCGAAATACGGAACGGGTTCATCTCCGTTGGAGATCCAGATATTGATGTCATTCTTGAAGATAAATGATATGGGATGAGTGAGCGGCGGCTATTGTGAGTAGCAATCGCTAGTCAGCATTAGGTGGAAGGGAATCCCTAAGACACTGCGAGCTTTCAAAACAGATCGTACACACCTTCATTTTGACCGCCTGACCAAAGGAGACCTTGAGCTTGTTTCGCTCTCTACATTGGTCGTGGGGATAATAAGTCGTCTCGAACGACTTGAAAGATCTGCCTTTGACTTCATCTGGAAAACCATCCTTTTGTTTAACGATCCATTGCGGCACAACCTGATCATAACCAATAAGGCTCCCAGTCAGCCCTCTTGTCTTCATATTCCAAGGATATATCACTATCATACCTGTTCATCCTGATACTCTGCGGACTGAAGATGTGAGCGTGACGTTGTTCCTGAGATCGACGCAATAGGTTTAGGGCCTCCCATGGTAGCGGTAAGTCCCTGTTGTTCGCCTCTTTGCTCCCCACGCTTTTCCTTTACGTCTGGAATGTCATGACCATGATGAATACTGAAAGTGGTGCATTATATGAGCGTCATATTCTTGGAGATCTAGTGAAATATAGAACTGAGCGTACAAATCATTATTTGTGAACCATCGTTCGGAATTCTTTGCAATGACGCCGACGTGTCCATAAGAGCGCGTATCGAGGTCGATTTTCGTCCCAGAGGTTTTCACTTGCAACTCCCCTATGGACACCTGAGCATCTGCGTCGGTAAGCAGTGGAAAACCGTGCACATCGCGAGCAGTAGTTCCTCGTGTAGGTGTTCCAAACTGAGTGTTCCCAGTGCATATCGAACACAACCGGACAAACAGTATTATTCATGATGGTGACAACGGTGGTATCGATAGAGTGTATGCGAGCTTACCCAGAACAAACAATTCACGCTCACGTTGCCGATATCTTCCAGAATAAGATCCAATGTGAGGCTATGTTGCCGATCCGATCGTGGCCATACATCCTTCGGATACGAAGACTTCCCTTTGGTGGAAACATCCCCACGGGAAGATCCGCCACGAAGCCGAAAAGCCAGAGTTTCTCCTCGAGAGTTGTGAAGTTCTTCATCATCGACAGCTACGCTTATGTTGTCGAAGGTCTTCTGTATCTGAGATGATCTACGTGGCACGTCAAAAGGGATATCTCGTGCGATAAATCCCACTCACTCGGTTTCCGGTTTGGGATAGTCGTCTGTCGGTCGAACAACAACGGAAATTTTAGACAGTTGTGCAAGTTCGCAAGCAGCTTCGATGACATTGGAGTCATCAAATAAACCGAACAAGGCAAGAGCCTCTGTATCTGGGAAGAGCATGAACGGGAGGGGGCCACCGATGCCATTCTCCCGAATCATAATGATCAAGGGATGGTCGTTATTTTGCATCAGCCATTGGAGAGCTCTGATCGGGCATTGCACGGAGACTTGACAGGTTGCGTCCGGTTCAGCATCTTTTATAACGAGTAAATCATCGATAGTCAGAGCATGGGGTGGCCTCCTGGCAAGAGAGTTAGTACTAATGACTAGGTTAGTATGCTGCTGCACCGGAGACCTACGATTGAGTCTCAGACTGGCCCTCTGGGTGGACGAGGATGAACGTAGTTGCGTCTAGCTCGATCTGTAGCTGTCATATCCTGTCACTACGATTTCCACCGATCTCTCTCACAGAACTTTCAACTTACCTCTGGCTCCACAGAATCTTTCTTGACATTCTCTGCTTCTTCATCAGAGCAAGCCATGCAGAAGTATAATTGAATGAGGCCTCACCTTCTCCACGCTCAGGACTCTGTCCGCGCTCATGAGTTGAGCCGCGCGCAGGATTCGATTCTCGTCCACCGGCAGAATATGATCCGAAACCAGCGGACACTCCAGGTGCAAAGCTCGTTTCCCATAGAGGAAAACCTTCTCGTTCTTCAGTGATACCTTTCCGGTTGGCACTTGGAGTATGCGGTGCCGGTGGAGATTTTTTTGAGGAGCCCTCGCGCCCTGTCACATAGTCCGATATATCCAAAGACTTGAGTTGAATCTACTCATTCTGAGTAATCACACGTACCGTGCTGACGCATTGTAAGAAGATCACTGGTGAAACGGGTCAGCGATGGATTTTATCAGAGCGTCTTCAGAGACATAGAGAGTCCATTAAGTGCTAATTACCTCCGGAGAATCGGGGAGGCGCACACCAGGCGAATGGTTCAGAAAGCTACTCACAATAGCGACTCGGCAATAAACCACTGAAAGAAGAGTACGTTATGGACACGGGAGGCGCATGGGATATAATGTTAAAGCTGGATCAGAAGAAAATATTTCAAGTGAGAACGCCTTACCAGAGTGGAGATGAGTCAAATGTGGATAGTGCTAGGTTGCTCTCGCTGTCTATGTCGATGGCTGAGGTTGGTGAGAAGGATGATGCGGAAGGGCAAAGGGAACACAGCTGCTGCATTACTTATACCGTATGAATACGGTCATGTGGGGGCGGTTATCGATCATCACAACATAAATAACAGTCAGTTTCTATTCGTTCGCCGGCAAGGCCATGCCGGTCTTGTCTGGTCTGTACTAAAAACAACTCTAAGTACACTCCTCCTGGGGTGTTAGCCCCATAGATGGCGACAAAAGAAGCTGGATATCCTTCACGCTTAGTATTTTCAACACAAAAATCGTGAGTCGCATCCCGTAAGTAACCCATGGGCACTAGGGGAAACAGATGCAAGTGACGCCCATATTGCGGCCAAAATAACCACTGGAAAGGAGGGGTGATGCCTATACACCGGTATTTCTCCGTCACTGATTCAGAAGCGGAACGAGCTAGATATAGAGCGTTATCGGTCCTGTGAGAGAGGTGCGATAGCATTACGCGACCACGCCATCATCTAAACCATTCGAGTTTGGTGTTAAGAGAGGTACGAGCTGTGAGTGTACACAAAAGAAATGCTCCTGAGCAGGAGCTACTGAGTGGCATGGGAGTTCAGGCTGCAGAGTCATTGACAAGCCTTGGACAGGCAGCCATTAGACAGCGGTTGTGAGATGCGAGACGCACATGCATTGCGAGACCAGCGGCTGAGAGGAAGTGCGACAGCGATAGCACGGCGGTAGCAGTGGGAAGGAAGGAGCGGAAGGCAAGCAGCCACTCCAGAGCCCTTGGAGAAGTCGTCGATCAGTGATGAGGTTCTAAAAGCAGCGACCAAGAAAACGTCGACCATATAGCCCCTCCAGTCCCGCCCATGGGCCACACGCCACCGCATCACGAACAATAGCCCACTTGTATCGCTATCCATCAGCCATTGACATTCCACCTATTGCACGACCTATTAACCTACGCCATTCCATTCGCATCTCCAATCCTCCTCCAATTCTCTTCCCACATTTCCCTCGTCCATCCCAGACTCATCCAAAAATTCCTCACCTTCGGATCGTCCCACAGATCCACTTCCTCCTCCGGGAACTGTAACGGGCCACCCAGTTCCTCGAAAACTGCATCGGACGGCGTAGGATGGGCAATATACTGTTGGATATGCGAGATATACGAATGGTGAAGTAGTTGTCGGTCGAGGTCGCTGAGGTGGGGGAATCGGAGGTGGATGTCGTCCTCCATAAGAGCACTCCACTCCTCTCCGGGCATTGTGGGAGTGGTTCTGGGATCGATGTTGGGAAGAGAGAAGGCGTCGTTCGCGATGTTGAAGGACTGTAAGGCTGAAACGTCACGATATCCCCAGCTCTCAGTCGAAGGATCGGCAGGATCGGAGAAAAGAAGCGAAAACGCACCAGCATGCTCTGCGAAGTTCGCCAGTAATCCGAATATCGGAGCTCGTGTGTATGAAGGCGCGAAAGACGACGAGGGATCATAGAGATGAGGATCAAGCATCCCGTTGTTGTCGTAGTTGGCGAGATTTTGTTGTTGAATATAGTTATTGTCGTTCTGATATCCGTTAACCCAGCCCCCGACACCTGCCTGACCGACCGCCCCATCGCTGGAGGTTATCCCAGAACCAGCCATGCTCATAGACACGTCCGTAAGCGGTGCGTTCCCGGAAGCTGAGGACGTCCAATCCATAGAGCTCGAGCCGGGAATCGACGCAGTCTCGGAAGCTGAGACCAAGGCTCCGGGGAATGGTGTCCTGTTGGCGATAGCGAAGAAACCGTGAGGATCGCGGGCATTGAGACTGGAAGACGTGTCCATCGTGAATGAGTACGAATCGTTGTCTTGCTCGTGGTTGTTGAACATCGAGTGGTATGATGGTGCAACGTAGGGGACCGGTATCGGTGGTGCTGAAGACGAAGCAAAAGCGGGAGATGGGGCAGGAGCGCAAGAACGAGAACGATCAAGAGCAAGAACGCGATTGCCGACCGGAGAAAGAAGAGTATCGAGGTGATCGCGATGAGGGAGATAAATTGGAGTGAACGCAGAGTCCGGAGCAGTATTTATATACGAAGGCGATCCAGTGCTGAAAGACGTGTCCGAGGAGGGAGAATATGAAATAGGACGAAGGTCGTTTGTTGGACGCGCATTGCTGACATGGTACGAGCTGGCACTATCGATCGTTACGGCATCCGTGTCTTTGTCTCTGTCGTCGTTGAAATATATACCGTTGCCGTCGCGACCGAAGATATCGATCGCACTGCTCCGATCAGGGCGTTCCACAAAGCTCTGTCCAAATCGGGATGAACACAAGGAATCGACACCTCCGTCGAAGTCGTGGATGTGACCGAGACTGAAGCCGAAAGAGTTATTATCCGGTTCAGTTACGTCCGAGGGTGGATCGGGGTGGATATATGCGTAATCATCGTCCTCGCTTTCATACTCCCCAATCCGACCAGGAGAGAACTTGAGTGTGGACCGAGGTCGGGCAACATGTTGATGACGAGAGAATCTGAGATCGCGAAGGGTATGAGCGGCGGATAGTTCTGCCTCCGAGTCAGGATATGTGGATATATGCGTATGTCCAGCCATACCGGGCCCAGTAAGGGTCGATATATGCGTGCTGTGAGGTGGATGGGTGGGTATATGCGTCGGAGGTCTGGGCAAGGAGGTCGATGTATGCGTGCTTGGAGTCGGGAGGGTGGATATATGCGTCGCAGAAATACGAGAACGAGGAGAAGGAGGCCGAGGAGAAGACAGCTGAGCTCTGAAGATGCGGCTCCGGGTACGAGCTTTAGGAAGAAGCGCAAAAGAGGGAGGAAGTGCCAAGGGAAATGAGCCAGTCTCTTCGTCGTGGTCACTATCGTTTTGTGTATCAAGATCAGTAACAGGAGAAGACGGACGAGGGGGTGAAGCAGGAGCAAGAACACTGAGAGAAGGAGACGGAGGTGATGGCGGAAGGAAAGCAGCGAGAGCGGTAGCAGCAGAGCGAGTATGATAGCGTGAGGCAGAAAGAGCAGGAGTATAGTCGACGTCGAGCTTCGGTCGTTTCCTAGGAGGAGGCCCGGGTTCCGTCTCCATCTTCTTCACAGACTTAACAGTAACGTCCTTCTCCGGATCCTGAATCCTCACTCTTTTTCCCTTTCCCTTCCCTTTCGTCTTCATCTTTCCGTTTCGTTTGGCGTCCCTACCCTCACCCTCATCCATCGCAACAGGAGGTTCCGGATCTGTGGGCTCCTCCTCGACGACCTTCGGCTCCTCCTTCACAACAGTCGTCGGGTCGACCCAACCAACCGGCTCGTCAACACCCAACTCATAGCCTTCTCCAGGTCTCTTCTTTGCCTTTTCTTTCCCCTTCCCTGTTCCATTGGACTTCGTCTCCGTCGCTTCTTTCATTCCCTCCGTATCCTCGACTTTAACCACACCCTCCTTCCCATCCCCTGATTCTTTATCCGTAGCCCTCTCCTGTGTATTCTCCGGCGCCTCCTCGTCTACCACCTCAACGCCACCGACTCCCACACCTAACGACCCCCTCCTCTTCGCACCAGCCTTCCTCCTCCAAAACCAGTCATTGACCGCCTTCGGGTTCACATTCTTGGCCAACGCCCAGGCCCGACGTGACTCGATAGAGGGTACTCGGGGCTCACGAATCCAGACGAGGGAGAGCTGGGATCTGTGGGCTGGCGTGAGGCGGTCGATGAGGGAGGTTGTCTGGGGTAGGCCGGGGGCGGCAGGAGCGATGGCGAAGGTGGTGAGAATTGGCGCGGTAGCTACGGCGGTGGTGGTAGATGGAGGAGGAAGAGAAGGAACGACTTTCGGTTTGGGCTTGGCTTTGGATTTCGGAGGCTTGGGAGGTTGCGTGACGGTAGGGGCTGGTTTGGCCTTCACCTTGTCTTTTGACTTGGGTGTGGATTTCGGCGTGGACTTTGACTTGGCCTTAGATGCGGATGGTGCGGGGAGTTGAAGTAAGGAGCTGGAAGGCTCTCGGGACGCAGAAGAAGAGGTGGAGGTGGGTATATGCGTTGAAGACGACGCGTTGTTCTGCGTTTCGACTTTTGCTGGGAGGGAGGGCGTCCCGTCTGTGGTGGATGCCGGTCCTGGAGAAGACTTCGGAGTAGAGAGCTCAGCCTCTATCGCCTCAGTTTTCATGTTGCCGAGAATGATCAAGAGCACAGAAGTACGAGAGCGCTGGCAAAGTTTTTTTTCGCAACAAGTAATAAAGCTAAAGTCCCGAGTTAGCAGAATGAGTACTGAGATGGCATACGATTGGTTGATTGGAATGTACCTGCAGTGGAAGATGGACGAGAGCTACAGACCGCAGTGGACGATGAGAGGAAAGAGGAAGAAACCGAAAAGTTCTGTGGCGAGCATTGTGTGGCGTCAATCGGCATCTGCCGGATGCTCTTTATCGGTCAATTTCGAAGCGATTTCGAAGCGTCACTGCTCTGCGTTCAACGTTCGTCCTCCACCACCACAACTGACTGTATATGCCTGCACTAGTCTCATTCATTATGTCTAGATGCATATATAAGTCAATCTTAGGCTCACCATGGATAGAGCACCAGTCACCAGCGCACTAGGGTTCCTGCAAGTCTTCACGATTACTCGCTCGGACGGTCTTCGTTCTCACAGCTCTCTCTACTTAAGGCATTACTAGCTTGTACTTGACCGTGAAGTCATCTCTCGGACGTCACCTTCTGTTTCTGGACTTGGATAACACTCGTTCTGCGACCTTGGACATACACGAGAGAATACGTCCTCGACGATTCTGCCCATCAAGACAGATGTCCCCGTGCTACTACACGGTCTCCGGGTTCGGGAAACAGGCATATCGTTTTCTACGCAGCTGCCCAATGAAACGTCATATTGCTCTATAACTTTACGGCTCAGATGCTTAGAATCGAGAGCCTTTGTCTTTCGTACCGTTGTTATATATGTTTATCTATCGACAGGTACTTTCTATGTCTGAACCATCGTGGATATCTCGATTTATCATCATGATCTGTTGAGACTCCTCGTTCCCCTATAAAGCTCCTTCCATGTTCACGCCATACGGCGACCTACAAGCGTCACCGAGCCAATTACTCCACAAGAGAAAACAAAAACATATATAAAACGACACGTCTCAGGGCACCCTATCGCAGACGCACTCCACATCCTCATCGCGTCGTTTCTTCCCTCTTACATTTTCGATACGCAGCACCTATCATGAAGCTCGTTCTCGCTTTCCTTGGCCTCGTTTTCCTGACCAGGATGACTAGTGCGTTGCCCACGGTCAAAGGTATCCCCCAGTTCTGTCTATGCTCCATCTATATACCTCTGCTGACCTTATGCTCATTTTTAGGCCTTACTAATCATATTCCCCCGGATTATATCTGTACGCTCGACCCATTCTCATAGTCATGTCCGTAGGATGCACCATCTTATCGTGTATGCCTCCTTCTGCAGCTGCCGACCCGGACATGTACGAGGGTATCGTCAATGGTGAGTGCCTGTCTATTGTCATAAATCCTCAGTTACCTCATTCTCGTCTTTCAGATCGTCGTACGTCTTCCCCATGTATTACTGATACGAGTGGAAACAAGGCCAAAGCCTGGGCTTTGTCCCTATATTCACAGGTGCTGGAGTGGAGGGCATAACCCATGGCGAGTACCTTTTCAAACTCTTGAAATGTCTATGGCTCAAAACTAGTCCATGCACATACTAGAGCGTCGTACCGACTTTTACTTCGGCTACGCCCGTACGTTGCTGCTCTTTTCCTCGTTTGTCAAGGGAAAGCTCATGGCTACGCACTATACCATCCAATGTAGCGGCCGACGCGGACACTGATACAGGTGCTGAAGAAGGTGCTCTCAACGGTGAGTGTCTTTCCGGACACTCAGGAGCGGATAGACTTTTGCTGATAACTCCTCCATGTTGCTCGCGCTCCGGTTATGATTTTCTCTAAGCAGCTCGTGCTGTGTCTGCCCCGGGATACATCAACCGTATGTTTCATTCGTTCCAAGCCCGGGATCGTAATGCAGGACTACGCATTGGAGTTAAATGCTGAACCTGATATATGACAGATCCCCCCGAGGAAGATCAACCCAAAGCGAGCCCTGACACCCTTGTTCGTAAGTCCTTAATTCATACTGCACGCACAGAGTCTCCGATTTTGACTCATTGTGGCCGGCCTGCATCTTATAACTGCATGTTTTTATCACCCTTTGATCAGCTCGTGTTCTCCGAGCTGCGTATCCAAAGAACGGTATGCCGCCATGCTCACTATTTGGTATCGTTGGGTTCCGGCGTTCGACCTAAATGGTTTGCATTTGAAATTTATCAGACTTTGAGGATGAGGGTGCGTTAAACTCTGAAACTGATACCGTTCTTGGTGAGTCTCTCTCTTGCCTACCAGGGAGCGTACTGATGAGGGAGCGCTCGTCCTCACTTCACTAGCTAGAAACTGAGCTGGTGGGCCGTAGCATTGCTACACGGCCGTGGCATGTGCGTATATGTGTTTTATACTTCTTCGAGCATCGTCTAAGCGAAGCTCGGATATTACAGCGCTCGGTCGTGGGATAGAGGCATCGACTCCTGACAGGAAGAAATCGAACTCAACGACACGGAGGAAGGCAGTGAGGACGGAAATAGTACGATATAGATATGGAACTACTTTCCGGTGAACTCAACGATTTCAACTGTGGCACATGCATTGCATATGCACGTCGCAAACTTGGCTCAGCTCTCAATAACGCGATGAATCGCTGTAAAAGCTCCTCGAGAGCCTACAGACGCGATTGTCACCGCACATCGTCAGTCCGTGTGTATTCAACAGAAACGATGAGCAAGAATGAACCTGCTCAGTGACTTGTGCATACTTGTGCGCTGTCGGCGTGACGATCGTCGGTCCGCCTATAAATTTATCTATGTATGATGTGCCCATCGCTATTGCATGGGCAATGTAAGTGTAGCTACATGTTCGTGCATGCGAAGAAGAAGTCTAGAAGCGAGTGTAACAGAAACACTGTCATACGCGATAAGTAGGTCAGAATCGCTGAGAGTCGTTGAGATGTCGTAAGAGGTGATAAGTAAAAGCGTACCAGCTAGCTAATGTCGAGAGGCATCCTTTTAGAACAGGCTGCATCACCCGCTTTAGAAGAGGTGATTGACCAGAAAGACACAGAAGGCTTACTGGTGCCATCTATGATTATTCGATTAAGCAAATAAACAAAGTCAATTATATCAATGCCATTGTCTTGACGAGCAAATACTCACATAGAATGTCAGTATATTTGCGAGGTTCATGACCACCATGATTCTGTTGAGTATGGTGAGTTGGAGCAAGGCTTGACTTCAATGACAATGCGCTCACGCAAAGTATAGACCACCTATCGCAGTGAGACTCAGGAGACGAGTTTTGTTGAAAGACCAAGGAACTCACCATCTCGACAAATCAAGCCGTAAAGACCTCCGTCAGCGTTGGCGAAGGTCCTTGTCAACCCATTTGGAAATATGCGTCGGTCTTTCCACGATTTTAACACTGTCAGTGAGAATATGAAAATATCAAACAAGACCTCAGCCTCCCAAGCGGTGGCAAGGTCTGTATGACGAATTAGTTGAATGATAAATCCACAGTTCAGCGAAAAGTCGAGCGGCACATGAAATAGTGAAGATTATACTTACGGATACCTCTGTATAAAGCGGGGTAATTGTTTCCGCTGTAGGTGAGCAATTCTTGGCAAAGAAAGAGATGTTGCAGCGAACCTCGATGATGACGTATCAATATAGCATCCTTGGCCTACTGAGGCAGGTTGACCGTCTTTTGCAAAGAGTGACCACTTCCAGATAGTGTGTAGCTCGTTTGAGCGACATAGGAAGGCGAAATAATATATGACGATGACTAACGAGGATGATAGCTATCATGGTAGCTGAAAAAAGAGACATTGCGATCCAGATACTGCGAGTGTGTCCATACAACGATAATGTCCGGGAGGCCATTATAACTGTTCGGAGTAGAGCTTAAGGAGGAGTGGGGAACGATATGTGGTAGTTACTATGACTCACTGCATACAACAAGTTGATTGGCAACAAGGATCACTTGACGAGCCAATCTATAAGACTGACAGCTATTTTTCCATAGATATCAGAGAATATGCAGTCTGAGGGTGCCAGGTGGCTAAAACGCACGTCTATCAACGACAAACTATAAGCATGATAACTGTCAAGGTCATATTGTATAAATGAACCTCACTTGACGTAGATTGCGAAGACTAGTGAAATCAAGGACGGAGATAATGATGTTCGCAAAAAGTGCAAGATATCTATTGGAAAAGAACCATAGCGAAGGTTTGGATAAAGGCCTCCTCCAGATTGGCGTGGCCTCGACCCCGACCGTTAAGATATGGTCATATACCAGGAGAACTACACATCATGCATTCAGCAGGGACCTCCAGAACTACAGGGAAAAACAACACACCGAAGCCAGAGAGCTCGAGATAATTGTGTATAGAACTGTTCGGCCGCAGTTATCGAGGGATGTCTCAGTACGGTGAGTACGGCGTCTGTTGCAATAGAAAGAGCACGTACATGCCTCGCAAATCCAATTCGTTCGTAGACATTGTAGAGTAGCACCAGATGACAGGAATCGCACACTCTGCCTACTTAAGTAGAGTGGCATCTAACACCTACACAGCAGGGTCGACATCGGGAATTCTGACGGTAGAGACGGCGGGTCGATACAACAGCGGTATAGCCTTGAATCAGTGTAGTAGGCACCATAACAACAATCTGAATCTTCCTCGACCGAAATTCCGTCGAAGCGTAACCACTCAAGTATTGGATCCCTGAGCCCTCAACGTCTTGCCTGTCTCTTCGAGCGCAAGTCACTGCTCATAAGTGCCATCACTCATTGAAATAGGGACCAAGGTGGAATAATATTTCCCAGTTCACGAAAAGCTCGGAAGAGATAAATGTTTATCATGATCATATATATGATGCGTTTCATGGAGACCAAATGTTGATCTTCTCATGTCACTTTGTACTCTGAAACCGGGTCCGAATAGTCGAAACGTTGATCGTCATTCTTCTGATCCAGGAATGAGTGCGATATCTACAGTTTAAAAGTGGGTCCTTATACACATAGACGAAAGTCGGGTGTTTCGGAGTAACTCAGCATCGTATCTACCTGATAGCGGTGATATTTGGTTGCAATTTGACGACTATAAAGATTCCTGGAATCTGACGAGCATTTAGGTAGTACTGCAAGGCAGATAGGCCTTATATCTCATTGGATGGCTCTCAGTCTACTACACATACGATGATTATATTGCTGCCGGCTCCAACAGTACACGTCTTCTGCATCTCACTACGCCACCTTCCCTGTCACGGTAAGATCTTTTCGCTGAAACATAATCATATTGGGATCCGCTCTCACTCCCTTGACAATACAAATCACCAACAAAGATTCCCAAAGACAGGAAAGCAGAAAAGACGGAGCGCTTGAGAGAGGTGAGTTCGTAGGCCACAAGGAATCAGAATCTGATTTTCTCCCATCATTAGAAGTTCGTATTCCACAATACTCGTTTTGTGTGTTGATTTGCGCAGTTAGTCAGGAGATCTCGGAGACGCGAGAGAGTGTCAATTACGGTAGACAGCAGCTCCAGATCAATACGACCTGAGGATGGCAGAGGAAATGAGCGCTGACTCCCATACTTCAAAGTTGAACACCGAGTGTGAACATGCGTCCAAACGGCACCAAATTTAGCGATTCTGTGTCGCGTAGAGAGCAAGAATTGGACGAGAATATTTTTTGAAGGTCCTTAGCAATGCGCGAGGGAATGAAATGGTAGAGGATTCATCGCGAAGTATCAGGCTTACCATTCTCCATGATCTGATCTCTGCGAGGCCAGAGCAGTCAGCATGTGGGGAAGGGCCATTTAGAAAACGAGGTCGAGTCACTCAGAACGCGTAAATCCCAAATTAGATGGAAACAGAGTGATGAGATCGTACGGCGACACCAGGTATGAGTGATCGTCTACGCGGCCATTCTGTCAATATCTGAAGTATCGAGAGGTAGCAACCTCGGACTTGCCGATTCTGAATTTCTCATTGAACGAGGTAAACACATCTTGCAGACGAAATCGTGGTCAAAATTTAAACAGTATGAAGGTTTAGGCTGTGTCGCACGAAAGTTCACTTGGTATCAGCAGAAGTACGCACCTCTCCCGATTCTCCTTCAATCCATTGCTCGGTCGTCATTAGAGAGTTACTCTGTAACTCTGATCACAATCTTCCCCGAATGATGTCCCGCAGCCATATACTCGAAAGCCTCTGGTGCCTTCTGAAAAGGGAAGACTTTATGGATATACGGCTTGAGTTCCTTCGCCTCGACGAAGCGGAGGAGATCCTCGTGCATCTGTTTCGACCCGACGAGGATACCACTACATAGTACGCAATTGCAGGAAGTCACCACACGAAAAGGGAAAGATAAACATCAAGGGTTATAAGGGCGATGATTGAGAATGAGGGATAGAGAGCGATGAGAAGGAGTGGTACGGACCGAAGGTATGCCCCCTTCATTAGTGCGAGGAGCGGGACGTTGGGGTTGGCGGTGGGTGGGCCACCCAAGATACCGATACTATTGATGACGCCGCCGGGAGCGACACAGGCGAAGGATTTATCGAGGTCGTTGATGCCTATGGTATCGAAGATATGGTGTGCACCGACGTTGTCTGTCATCTGAACAAATTGCGAGAGACGTAGAGTATATCGGTGTGGTTAAAGGTCAAGGGAAGGAATGCGAGTGGCGTGCGAGTAAGCGTAAGGATAATGCGTCGGGACGAACCTCTAACACGACTTTGTCCCAGTCTGGATGGGTGTTATAGTTGATAGTATACGTGGCACCGAGTCCCTTTGCAAGCTGATTGTGATGAACAGTCACCAACTGCAGCGGCCAACCGTACAGACAGCCGTAGACGTACCTTGAGCTTATCATCCGAGCTGGACGTGATGATAGTCTACCAGAAGGAACAGATCTTGAGCTTAACGCAGGATAACAAGAATAACGAACCATAACCACCTTCGCTCCAGCAGCATGAGCCAGTATGAGTCCAGTAATGGAGACGCCACCCGTCCCCTTGAAAAGGACCGTTTGCCCAGGCTTGAGAGGAACACCTCCGCCAAATAAAGCGTTCCAAGAAGTTACGCCAGCACAAGGAAAACAAGCCGCCTCTTCGTAACTTAGATGTTTAGGGACGTGCAGGAGACCCGTGCTGTGAAAGACACGGTATTGTTGTAGGACGCCGTCGATGGGTCCGCCGAGGTGTTCTATGAGATAAATATGTTAGCAACCGTACACGCTCATCGGGGTTCCAGCTAATTACAAAGCGACAAAAAAATCAATTGATTATGCGAGGACTTACGATCCCACCTCCCTTCAATTCCATACAAATTGCTCTGATCAAAATTCGCAGTGACCCTATCGCCCTTCCTCCACTCTCGCACACCTTCTCCCACTTCAACGACCTCTCCAGCCATGTCACTGCATAACACTGGTTCTTCTTTCATCTGTGTACCGAGATTGAGACCGTTGTACACCGCGGTGTCTCGAAAGTTGAGCGATACGGCATGTATGCGAACAAGGACTTCGTACGCATTAGGGGTGGGGATCAAAGAGGTAGATTTATGCAGGCCAGCGTTGCCAAAGGGACGTCTGGTGCAAAAAGAAGTATTGTTGGACATGATGGGAGAACAGCGTGTAAGAATGTAGCCTGCAGACGTAGTCCTCGATGTCCTATAAGTAGTCGCGACGGTCCTTGATCTTGACAGCTGATGGCTTATTCAAGTCCTTGTGAAGCGCCAATGTATGATATAATCACGATCGGTCAGCTTCATGAAGAAAAGGTACGCAGCGCGTATAAGCATAGTAGCTTGGAGGTCAAATGGTGCACACGATGGAAGTCGAATCTGTGTATTCATGATGCAAAGGTAGCTTGGGAGGCTGAGCCTCTAATTAAACACGGTCTGCATCATACATAGCGATGTCTCTGTGGGATCAGGTCAGAGTCGAAAAGTATAAATGCACATGAGATACGCACCAAATAACACCCCGAATCGACCCTAGCAAAGTCGTAGTCTCTCTCAAGAAATCTCGACGAAAAGGCTGCAAGTTGCGATCTTCTTGCGGTTTAGTCACATGACGTCGGAGTCGGGGCAGGCCGGCACGCTCCGGCTCAAGCACGGCTTTGCCTCGCGCGCTCATCATCGTCAACGACGTTGAGCTCCTTGCCCCCGCCATCATCTACCGTATCGTCATCTCCCCGCACCCTCGTCGTTCTCGACCTTGACAGCATTTTTCACTTGTCAGCCCTCATCTTCTCTCATCCCCATAACCTCCACTTTTCGCTTCTTTGTGCGGTCTTGTGCCAGCCCCATCATTGCATTCAACCATGACTAACGTTTCTTCAGGCTCTAAGCGTCCCCACGATTCGATCTCCAACGGCAATGGCAGCGATTTTGATTCTCATAAAAGGCCAAGGGAAGACTCACATACTCCTAGAGACTGGCGAGATGTCCATTTGAAGAGTTCTGCTTCGTCCAGGCCGCATGATAGAGATCGCGAGCGCGACAGGGACAGACGGCATAGTGATAGAGATAGAGAGAGGGACAGGCGATATTCTGACAGAGATAGGGACATTGATAGAAGGTCTACCTTTTCCGGTGGCGGCGGCAGAGGACGAGACTACGACGATCACAGGTCCTCTAGGCGGGACCACAGCAGGGATAGCGCACGTTCTCGAGAATATGGTCATTCGAGGCGGGACGTCCTCCCATACGACTCCCCAAAGAGGAAGGATGAACTCCGTCGCAGATCGCCCGCTTCCTCCCGAGGATCAGTAAACGGTCACTCGACACATGGGTCCAAGCCTCCTGCGACTAATGGTGCAAAAATATCAGAGTCGGACAAAGAAGAAGGCGAGTGAGTATCGTTCTCGTTCCTACCATCCAGCGGCTCACATACTGACATCGCGTGTCTTGCGTTTAGGATCTCTCCTCATCCTCCTGCTCGCGACCCCACTCCACCACCCCCGCGTCGCCGTGGTTCACCCCCTCGCGGTCCTCGGGACAGGACTCAAACTGCACCTGCCGCTTCCTCGTCCACCACTTCAGCTACCCAACGATCCGCGGCCCCAGCCCCAGCCCCTGAACCCGAACCTGAAATTGAACTCCCTCCTTCACCGAAACCACTTGAATTAACCCTCGCCGAACGCCGTGCCAAACGCGAAGCCATCCGTGCGAAATATGCAGGCGTCTCCAGCGTTAATTCTATTGCTGCCAGCCAGACTACGCCCACGACAGCGGCGGTGACTCCAGCAGTGGGTCCCAGCCCTAGTCCAGCGCTGGGGACCGGGATGGAAACGGGACTTCAGAGCAGTGCGGTCCAGCCGCCTCAGAATATGAATGTTTCTGATGCTGATCAAACCGTATCTCAGTCTCAGTCTCAATCGCAGCCTGTCGTAAAGGTAGATGGCCAAGACGAAAAGATGAATGTCGACGATACGCGTAAGTGTTCTAAGTTTACACCTTCCTCGACTAGTAAGTTCCGTATCTGATTGACTGACTTTTTGTTGGGCTGGTTGGGTCGTTAGGTGCTTCCGCTTCCGCGTCGCCCACGCCACATGACTTCGAGCTTGCTAAAGCGGGCGACGAAGAGTCCGCCCAAGTTGAAGCCCAAGCTCAGGCGGCTACGGTCAGCGGACATGCAGATGGCACGCAACAAATCTCGGCAGCCGACTACGACCCCAGTCTTGATCGCCGTGAGGACGAGGAACGACGCGTCAGAGGGAATGGGCATGTGTATACCAATGGTAATGGTAATGGTGTTCAGGTGAAGCAGGAGTCCAGCGAGGTACCGGATGTAGAGATGATTGAAGAGGAAGAGGAAGTCGTTGAAGAGGAGGAAGAGGATGACTTGGATGACATGTTTGCGATTGCGAGTGGTGAGAAGAAGAAGGCGAAGAAAATGAAGAGGAAGAAGGTCGCGGTATGTTCTTACTCTTCTGTGTTCCTGTTTGATTACGAGGAGGCTTCGGCTAACATATCATCTCTGCGTTTTTCCCTTATTCAGAAACCGACCGTCCCTGCACCAGTCCTTATCACCTCTACTCTCGATACCGCGTCTGATTCAGAAGGCTATTACCAGATCGTCCTTGGTGAGATCTTGGATGGAGGTCGGTATCAAGTCTTTTCGTCCTTGGGCAAGGGTATGTTTGCAAATGTGGTGAGGGCGAGGGTGTTGCAGGATGATTTGCAGGGACAGGGAGGACAGACGGATGGAGCGAGTGGGAGCGGAAGTGGGAAGGAGAGGGAGGTGGCGATTAAGATTATTAGGAGTCAAGAGTCGATGTGAGTCGTCTTTTTTTCCTTGTTCCTGTTCTTCACTGTAAGCTTACAACAATTTCCTTGTTTGCACAGGTATAAAGCGGGGCTCAAAGAAGTCCAAATGCTCAACAAGCTTAGACAGGCCGACCCGGAGGATAAGAAACATGTAGTCAAGCTCGAGCGAACATTCGAGCACAGGGGGCATCTCTGTCTTGTCTTCGAGTCTTTGAGGTGGGCGGGCTTCTATGTTATAACTTTCGCCCCATCCCTGATCCATTTACAGCATGAACCTGCGGGACGTCGTAAAACGGTTCGGAAAAGATGTCGGACTCAATATTCGCGCGGTGCGGGCCTACGCTCACCAGCTTTTCTTGTCGATGAGTCTTCTAAGGAAGTGCAACGTGATGCACGCGGATATCAAGCCCGACAATATTCTGGTATGTCTGTCCCCTAGGCGATCGTCTGACTGCACACGCCCGCTGACTTTCTATTCCGTCATGATACCACTCTTCGCAGGTCAACGACTCGAAAACCCTGCTCAAGCTCTGCGATCTTGGCTCCGCGTCCGACGCCTCCGAAAACGACATTACACCCTACCTCGTCTCTCGCTTCTACCGCGCCCCCGAAATCATCCTTGGCATCCCCTACGACCCCGCGCTCGACATCTGGTCCATCGGATGCACGCTGTACGAGCTCTATACGGGGAAGATTCTGTTCCCAGGGAAGAGCAACAATCAGATGTTGTTGCTGATGCAGGAGTGCAGGGGACGGTTCAATGGGAAGATGGTGAAGAGAGCGAGGTTCGGGGATGTTTATTTTGATGAGATGGGGGCGTTTTTGAGTGTTGATGTTGATAGGGTTACGGGGAATGTGAGTCGTCTGTCTGCTCTCACACCCTTCTTCCTTCGTGATCTTTGTCGGATGCCTACTGATGTTGTATTCGGTTTTTGTGTCTCCTGTTTCTAGGACGTCATCAAGAAGGTTCACCTGGCTAAACCGACGCGCGATCTTCGTGCGCGACTTATGCCGAGCGGTGTGGCCGCACAGGCGATGAAGGATGATGAGAGGAAGATGGTGAGCTCCTTTGTGGACCTGTTGGAGAAATGTCTCGTGCTAGATCCGGCGAGGAGGATCACGCCGAAGGAGGCACTGGGGCATCAGTTCATACGAGGCACCTAGATCGCTCAGTTGGGTCAATGGCTTGAGGGAAAGTAGAGGCGTCTCTGTGTGGCGAGGAGTCGGGTGGGAGTTCCGGCGAACCGCCCTCGTGTGTTGTGGTTTGTGGTTGTGTTTGTGTTCTTGTGCAGTAATCTTGGCTGAAGTTTTGTGTCTCACTCTTCACCCTTGTCTCTGTGATCGTTTCCAGACATTCGACCAATCGTGTTCACGAAGCTACACTGATGGTATGGCGCCCTACAACCGTAAGAAGTCAGGCCTGCGAATGCCGTCTGTGAATCGCTCCCACCATCTAATTGGAGGTACATGTCCGATCCGAGGTCTTGAGAGCAATACAGTGCAGGCCCTTGAATGGACCACAACAGCGGATACGAGGAGTCCCGCTCAAGCTCTTCGATGCCTGGGTGTTCTGGTGTCTATCTCCTCATGTTCCTATGACCTCTCACACCCCGCCCAGCTGTGTCACTCGGGCGAGCGGTGACCCACTGAAAGATCCCGTTTAGCCATGAGTCATCCAGGCATTGGTGGATGTCTGTCGTCATCGTTCTTCGGTCCTTCTGAGAGACCTCAGCTGCTGTATGGAATGGAGCATGAGAACGCTCCCGTGCTGGATCGCTCATGGGCCGAGAGCAGTACGCGATTCGCTTCCAATGGAGTACGGCATGTTCTCGTTGGACAGGCACAGGTGCCCGCGGCCGAGCGGATGTTCGTTCTGTCGTTGGCTGTTGGCTGGATTTAGGGTTGTATAAAAGTTGATGGTGGCGGCAGTGCAGGATTTTGAACCTTCTCTCCCAACTCCCGCGCGACGACTGTTACCCGTCCGTACTGGGAACCTCGCCCTGAGCGAACAAATCCTCCAATATCAATCCTACCTGCCAACAAGAGATCATACAAATACAAATGACTTCCCGTCTCCAATCCGTCCTCGCCCACCTTCAACCCGACTCTCTCACCGGCAACAATATGAACAAAGAGGAGCCAGAGAAACCCCTCCCGTCGTTCGATGAGCTCCCGAAGTATAGGAACTTTGTAGGTTGTGCGTGGGATGTATGGGGCCCGAACGATCAGTTGGGGACAATCAATTTGTTGACGGAGGGGGTGGTGAAGAGGGGGGCGCAAGAGGAGGTTAGGTGGGTCTTGCCATTTATTCTTGGTTTTTCTTCGATCTATCCTCGGGTACTTTGATGTCGTGTGCGGTTTTGGGGCTGTTCTAGCGGTATGGTACAGGAAATAAATGGATGGGGATAAACTGCATGAGAGGGAATTATTAACTGTGGGGCAGCGAGTGTGGGAATAGGAGTTTGTGGCGTGCCGGTTGATCGTTGTTGTGGCGGTGGCTATTGAAAGGTTGTGCTAACGGACATCGTTTTCATTCAACCTTTCTAGAACTGGCAAGACCGTCGCGTTGAACTGGTGAGCCCAGTGCCTTCTAAGCCTGACCTATGAATCTTGTTGCTGACGAATGGGCCATATGCTTCGACCTGACTAGGCCTATCAACTTCCCAGCTAAGGTTCGTCAGTTGTGCTCAGTCAGCCATTGAATGTCTGAGGTAAACGTTGACTTGAAAATCGTGACCTGAAATTGGTGCTGGTAGCCCTTTTTCAATCGCAAGGCACCAGAACACCGTACGTGGATGAAGGCATTTACTGTTCGTGATGACGAGCTGCATATCGTGCGTTACACCCCTACCTTCCTCGTGGAAATCTTTGTTTTGTTACTCACGAGATGATTCCATTTGTTGTGACTGTGTATTTCGGTGTCCAGAATACTCAATCCGGAACCCAGTGGGACGGAATGAAGCACTTCCCGCTCATAGAGCACGAGATGTGCTATGGAGGGTGCGTTCCCTTTATGTACTCTAGAGGCATTGCCGTTCACGAATCAAACTCATGACCTATCATCACGTTTAGTGTCCCAGCGCGTTCGCTCCCAGACGGCCAAATCTCCTTTAATGGGCCGGGGACTGTCGACCCAGAGTTGATCAAGCTTGGGATACATAGTATGTACCACTGCTTAAACTTCCTTTCAGACCGGCCCTAATCTCTGCGACACACGACAGACTGGGCCCAGCACGGAATCTGCGGCCGTGGCGTCCTCCTCGACCTTGTCGGATTTCAATCATCACAAGTCTCTTCCTCCACTACCTCCCCCTTCTCTCCGCCCTCCGCCCTCGCCAACCTCCCCTACGACCCCTGGACCTCGCACCCTATCCAGGTCTCTGAACTACTCGCATGCGCTCAATCCCAAGGCGTCACGTTCCGTCGCGGCGATATCTTACTAATCAGGATGGGGTTCATACGTAGGTTTGAAGAAGCGAGTGTGGAGGAGCGGGAAAGGCTGAGTGAAATCGAAGTACATGGGGGTATCGGAGCTGGAAAGGGGGAACAGTTCGCAGGGATTGAGCAGAGCGAGGAGATGAAGCGGTTTTTGTGGTGAGTATGAAACGGGCACGGTCTGCGTGGCAAGTTTTCATGAATGCTAATAAGTATCAATCTCTCTGATGGCAGGGATAATCATTTCGCGGCTGTGGCGTCTGATCAACCTACATTGGAGGTGAATAATCCACTCGACTTGATGGACTTGGATTCGGACCCATCGATTGTTTTATCATGAATCCAATCTAGCGATGGCCCACGCCGGAAGGAGTACCCCATATGCATCAAACTCTTCTCGGGTATGCCCTTGTTCGCTATCTATTTGTGCCATCTCTTGTCGAGCTTGCTGATGGTTACTTTACTCTCAGGTTATGGGGTATGCCCATCGGTACGCTTTCATCCTTTGTAGTAGAGGTGCAGGATCTTTGAGTTGACGCCCTTTCACAGGCGAGTTCTTTGACCTCGAAGCCCTGTCCGACATATGCGCCTCGACCAAGCGATACACATTCTTCTTCTCTTCGTGGCCTTTGAATGTGTACGTTTGGTTTTTTCCCCATTCTGTTCGAGGGTGGTAGCTCTGACGTGAGCCTTGATGCATGCATATACCGAATGTAACAGGCTCGGGGGTGTTGGCAGCCCACCCAACGCTGCGGTACGTGAAATGCCATCCATCACTGTTATCTTTCTAGGCCTGGGCTGTGTGGATTCAAGCACTGATTCTGACCCATCGTTCTGGATTCATTTCAGGCGTACTTTTAAGAGAGGAGGGTTAAGTGTAAAATGCAGAGGATGGGTGTTGGCTGTGGGGTGCGAAAGCGAGTGAGTAATGCACTAACCTTTCTCTCAGCGCTCGCTGACAGTTTCGCTCGGCGTCGGGGGCAGACACGGGGATTGTGATCACACGATATTCTAACAAAAGTCTGCGTTATGTCGACCATGGTCGCATATGTATGATCTTTCGTATCGTCAAGACTGTGCTGTAAATTTATTATACAGGATGGTGTCCAGAACGAGTATGCCTCCGTCATGATAACTACTCCCTCCCTTCGACTTACCGGCCAGAACAAAATAATATCTGCACGGACTAGGTTTCACTTTATCCGTGTCAGACTGACTCTATTCCTCTGCGTCGTCTTACAAACGTTCCCTTGCGCTCTTCTCGAAGTTGACTCTCGAAGTTGACTTACCTTCCATATTATGCACCTCAGACTCCGTGTTGCGTCAAGATCCCTGAGAGGCCTGTTTCATCAAGCGCTTTTCATTGCCTTTTTGCTCTATCACCGCCAATTTTCGCATCCTAGTCACTTTCGACCTGGCATCTCCCCACTATTCACTCACACGCCAGCCGTGGCTCTCCGTCTTGGATGATATGCACCTCGACGCCCTGTCTAGCTCGGCTGTCATACCATCCACGAAAACCTATATAAGAGCCAGCTGTCTCGTCCTTCACACTCACTAACATTTCCACTAGCCTCCAAACAATCTACTCCAAACGCAGCATGGCTCAGCAGAACATTGCCTACCGTCTTACCTCCGTCACAGGCCCCTCTGGGATCACCAAACATACCACCCCGATCCCCACTCCCAAAGCTCACGAAGTCCTCGTCCGCATCTATGCCGTGTCCCTGAACTGGAGAGATTTCGCTGTCGCGCACGGTATCTATCCGTGGCCGGTCATGAAGGACCCGATCATGGGCAGCGACATGGGGGGTGAGGTGGTCAAAGTGGGCGAGGACGTCACCGAGTGGAAGGTCGGGGATAGGGTCACCGCGAGCTTTGATCAAGGGAATTTGTATGGTCCTCAGTTAGACTGGAAGGGTCAGTTTCAGACGGTTATCTTCATTAGCCTTTCTCCCTGTCTGTAATGAGTCATTGCGGTACTGATCATCATCTATTTGTGTAGGTGGCCTCGGCGCCCCAATTGACGGCGTTCTTCAAAACTATCGCATTTTCGTGACCACCGGCCTCCTTGCCATCCCTCCTCACCTGTCTTACGAAGAAGCAGCCTGCTTCCCCTGCGCTGGCGTCACTGCGTGGAACGCATTATATGGTGGTATTCCACTGAAGCCGGGACAGACCATAGTGTTCCAGGGGACAGGAGGCGTAAGTATCTTGGGACTGCAATTCGCGAGCAAGGCGGGAGCGAAGGCACGTCACCTTTCATAGTACTTCAGTGGCAGGAGAGGGACCAGTAACTGATGCGATTGGAGTAGACTATCATCACCTCGAGCTCCGATGACAAGCTGGAAATCGCAAAGAAGTTGGGTGCTACTCACACGATCAACTACAAGAAGAACCCGGAATGGGACCAAGAAGTCTTGAAGGTACGTCTCCTAACTTCCGTGCTTTGTGCTCTGCCTTCACTTAGAGACCTTGACCGTTTCGTTTTGCTCAAGCAGCTCACGAAGAATGCCGGCGCGGACCATATCTTCGATAACGTCGGCATCAGCGAGATCGAACGCTGCTTCAACTGTATCGCGCCTGGTGGATCCATTAGTTCCATCGGGATTCTGGGTGGAGCGCACAAAGTGGGCCCAAATGTGCCGATGATGGCTTTGAGGAAAGGTTCGGTCTTGCGGTATGTCTCTTTTATTCTTCTCGACACATGCAATATCGCGGCATACTCTTCACTGGTAATATCCTACAACATTATACTGATTATCGTGTTGACCTCATTACACAGTGGGATCGATGTCGGCTCGAAACAATTGTTTGACGAAATGCTCCGCTTCATCGAAACTAACGAGATCAAACCGTACATCGATAGAGTCTTCCCGTTTGAGGAGACGAAGGATGCGGTTGAGTATTTGGGGAGGGGAGAACATTTGGGCAAGATTGTGATTCGGGTGGCGTAATAAACATCCACGAAGGTCTTCGCTCTGGGTGGTGTAGGGAATGATACTTCCGTGCATTGAGTCGTTATTGGTTGGCTTTGTTCGAGCATATGCAGTAACGGGCATGTGACTGTAGGACTGTTTGATACGGTCGAATTCAGAATCCAGATATGTCTTGATCATTCTTCTCATTCCCGGACAAAAATCCGTCCTGGCTGGGAGCCGATAACACTGAGGACATCAGTCCAAACTTGATAGTAAATATTGTACTATACTTATTCGGAGACAATGCTGCGGTTCGTCGAGACGAACAAGGTCAGGCTGCACCTTGATCGCGTCTTCCCGTTTGAGGAGGCGAAGGAGGCGATTGAGTATTTGGGCAAGGAGCAGCATTCGGGAAAGATCGTGATTCGTGCGGTGCAGTAAACATTCACTGTGAGGTCTTCGCTCTGAGTGACGCAGGGAATAATGTCCTTGTAGCCGGCTATGTTCGAGCATAAGAAGTAACGCGCACGTAACTGCAGGATGGCTATAAACAAAGTAACTTCGAGGTCTAACTTTTCTCAGCCAAAAGTTACTTCTTCTAACTTTTGGCCGAAAAGTTACCTGGTTTTCCGAACGACCTTGAAGTGGCCCAGAAAGTAATGACGCTCGCCACAGTCCCACGACTCAGAAAGCTCACATTCTTGACTGTCGGCGCCATGGGCCAGCATGGACTCAACCCCATCCGCTGCTCGTCTACATCGCCTCGAGAGGCTCTCCTGGTGTCTCACCGCGCTTGCTTACATTCCCTATGATGTACCCTAGGCTCCATCTCGACTCCATCTTGTGTCAATTTTCCACAAATGGTTGTTGCATGAAACATTTTCCTCAACTTCTTCGCTCTATTGGCTCCAAAGTTCACATCCCAAGATCTTTTGATCCACCATCTCTCGAATCTTCCCTCGTATAGGAGCCTCGGTCATCCGTGTCTGATGATGTGCCTATCTGTTGTCATGACCTCAGCGTCGTGCTCATCTCATCGGTCATACTGCTCATCCGTCTGTATATAAAGGCCTAGAGAACCATCAGCGACGGGACCACACTTCTTCCTCACTAACACCAGGCTCTACAACCGAATATCTGCTCCAAAAGCATCATGGCCGAAGAGAATATCTCATACCGCCTTTCCTCCGCCACCGGCCCCTCCGGCATAACTAAACACACCGCACCAATCCCTTCCCCCAAAACCCACGAAGTTCTCGTCCGCATCCACGCCGCGTCTTTGAACTTCAGAGATTTTGCCGTAGCTCACGGCTTGTATCCGCTGCCGACGAAGAAAGAGCCGATTATGGGGAGCGATATGGCGGGAGAGGTGGTAGAGGTGGGCGAGGGTGTTACGCAGTGGAAGGTCGGAGATAGAGTTACGGCGAATCTTGATCAGGGGAATTTATACGGGCCTCAGTTGGACTGGAATGGTGCGTAATATCGTCTGAAATCTTACGGATACAGTCATCGTCATTTTTCTGTTGGGTATTTATTTTCGTGGCGATCGCGCCGGCGGGCGCCACAGCGCGCCTTTTCCTCCTTTGTTTTGCGCCACATCAGCCCCTATCTTTCTTTCAACCTTCCGACTTCCTCCATCTTGTCACAATTGACTGACGCTCGTTTCCCAATATACTCTTTTTTTTTGAACACAGGTGGACTCGGAGCCCCAATCGACGGCGTCCTCCAGAACTATCGTACCTTCCTATCCACCGGCCTCCTCCCCATCCCATCTCACCTTTCTTACGAAGAAGCGGCCTGCTTCCCCTGTGCCGGCGTCACAGCGTGGAACGCGCTCTATGGCGGTATCCCGTTGAAGCCGGGTCAGACGGTGTTGTTCCAAGGAACGGGAGGAGTGAGTATCATGGGATTGTTATTTGCGAGCAAGGCCGGTGCGAAGGTGTGTTCCTCCCCTATTTGAATAACGTACTGAGCAGGGAAATGTGGTGGCTGATGTGGTGAAAATCAGACCATCATCACGTCGAGTTCGGACAAGAAGCTAGAGCTTGCGAAGAAGTTGGGGGCTACGTATACGATTAACTACAAGACGAACCAAGACTGGGATAAGGAAGTCCTTAAGGTATGTTTCGCCAAAAATCTGGCAGCATCTAAGGACAGCTTTACTCATAATCGTGCCTCGATTGCTTCATTCGACACAACAGCTCACGAATAACCGCGGCGCGGACCACATCCTCGACAACGTCGGCATCAACGAGATCGAACGCTGCTTCAACTGTGTCGTGCCAGGCGGGTCGATCAGTTGTATCGGATTTTTGGGTGGCGAACAGAAAGCGAGCCCAAATGTGCCGATGTTGTCGTTAGTGAAGGGTGCATATTTACGGTAAGTCTCTTTCTCCTCGATGTTCTCGAACAGTGCCATAGCCCGTGCCATACCACACCATACTCTTCGCTCGTGACAGCATGCTTACAATTATGTTGCTTGTTACATACATAGCGGGATCAATGTCGGATCGAAACAACTGCACGAAGACATGCTCAGATTCACAGAGACGAATGAGATCAGACCGCATATCGACAAAGTCTTTCCCTTTGAGGAGACGAAGCAGGCTGTGGAGTACTTGGGCAAAGGGCAGCATTCGGGTAAGATTGTGATTCGGGTTGCGCAGTGAGTGATGAATATCGGTTCTGCCGCAAGGCCCGGGGATTGTACGAGTGATGGGGACGAGTAAAGTGTACGGTGTATGTACTCTATATCTGGGAATGAATCGTTCAAGTTGTGTTTGCTCAACTAGTTTGTATCGACAACGACGACGACCCTCCACACAGCCTAGCCATTGATTTGGTCAAAGCAGGTGGACAACCTTACGGTCGATTGATGGACTAGAACGATAATTCTGGCCTTGTCCACGATAGGACTCTAAAAAACATCTCAGTGCTCAGTCGAAGGTCCTTTTCAAGCTTCCCAAAGTGGAGTGTCAATACCTGACGATCTCAACCGTCGCATACTCACGTTAGTTGGACTTGTGTTAGAATGACTATTGCATACCAGTCAACGACGCAATGAAAACAATTTGATATACAGAGACGGTGCGATACGATTTCAGCGAGAAGAGTACTTGAGAAAGCAATTGTAGGACAGGGAGAGATAGCGATACTAAACCACGGATGGAATAGTGTGGGCGAATAGCGATGGGAGCGAAGCGAGGAAACAAGGATAGCAAGGTATGAGAAAGACATCAGGGCATTGCCCACGGTGGGTGATATGGTTTACTTTCTGGCACGCTTCTTGGAACGCGGCTTCGTCGCCTTCGCAGGTCGAGAGCCAGTAGCTGTCGCAGTACGGCCGTCTTGAGCTGCCTTGGTTTTCGAACGAGTAGAGTGGCGAGAACCAGTGGCGGATGATGACGCATGGGCGCCATCACCTTCAACGACGCCGTCGTCCGCTTCCCGCCGCCGTTTCGAAGTTATCCTAGGTAGACTACTGCTCGATGCAGCAGAGGCGTCCTCCGCCGAGTCATCGCCATCGAACCGCACAGAGCGTTTCTGACCCGGGCCAGAGGATGAAGGTCCGGCACGCTTTGCGGGGGTAGTGTTTCCCCTACTTTCGAATTCTCTACGGCGGGCTTCTATGTCTCTCTCTATCTCCTCCTTCGGCTTCCATACCTCCGGAGGACTATTGTCCTCGGTTAACGGACCATCTCGCTCGCATTGACGAGCGGCCATTTCGGCTTCTTCCTGGGAACGGTACTTTGGATTGGTGTCGTTCCACGTTGTTATTCGCCCCATTGTCTCCGCAAAAGCAAACTGTTCGAGAAATTCGGTATGCAGGTTGGTGAAGGTTCTCGTGGCATAAGCGTCCTTGAGTGTACTGTGAAGTCCGGCAACGAGCGGGAGGAGGGGGCAGAAGTAGGGCGCGCACCACTGCCTGAGTTGCGACTGTTTTGGAGCACTGATGAGGAACAAGGCCTTTTGACTCGCGAGGAGTCTGGCGTCCGTTGACTCGAAGATTGCCCGGATAGCTCCTTTCAGGTCGGCGGTAACGGCTTCGTCCTTGTCCCAAGCGTGGGTGCGTCGAGTGGACGGGCCTTCGTACGAGACGCATAGCCAGCACAGAACCCAGAAAAAGGATTCGAGATCGTGAACGATATCATGTTTGATCGCAACGTTAACTTCGGGATCCGCCTCAAGGTCGAGCTCAGCGGTCGCTGCTGTGAATTTGAAGGAGGACTGCGACGTGAGCTTCAGAGATTTGTACGCGCGTTCTACGAGAAGCTCGCCGCTCATGAACGCTCTTGTACCCTACGGCATCAATGGAGGAAGTTAGCGCGTTTTCGATGCTGAGAGAAAATGAATCAGACTTACACTCCGCTCATCCCCAATAGTAGCCCGTCTTTCAGTCTTCATTTGGACGGCAAAGTCGAGATCAATGAGCACCCCACGAAAGCCCCGCTCGGTATGAGGTTCTGGTATGATAAGTATATTGCCCTGACTGATGTCACGGTGCAAGATACCTTGCGAGCAAAGAAACTCATGACCTGGAGACGATGATGGTGAGTGATGGGTTGTGAAGGTCGAAGAGGGACCTGCCTTGGATAGAATCGTGTAATGTGCCAACTACTTCCGTCAAAGATCGAAAACGTGGAAGTGGTAGTCCATACGTCTCCATAATCAAGCGCGTGTGGAGGCGATTGTAAGGTCCGCTCTTCTGCTTCACCGTCTCCAGAATATCTCCCTCCAAGGGGCCCGAAGCCTTGCCGTGCATGATGCTTGGGAAAAGATACCGATCTGGTTTGAATGGATTATTTTCATAAGCTTCAAAAGACTTTCGGCCGTCGGTCTGATTGGTTGCGATCAGTAACGCATCCCCAGATGGTTCGACTCCTCTACGAATGAAGTTTAGGGTATCGTCTCGTCTTCCGTTGATTCTCACGACGCTGTGGGAGTAAACCTTCGCGACTCCAGGACCTTCACGATAATAATCTCCCTCAAGACCTCGCCGCTCATCTCGCCAAGCGTCCTTGAAAACAAAGACCTGCCGAGTGTGAGTTTGAATGAAGTAGAGGTTGGAGGGCGTGACGACATACCTTGCGATCCTTCTGATCTTTCTCCATGTCTTCGTACTTCCAAGCTAGCCATATCCTTGTGGCCCGTCCACGAAGAACTTCCGCTCGAGCCAGACTCAGTGCCGTATACAAGATGAAGCGATCCTGCGGTATAACGTTCGAGGTGGGATCGGTCTTTTCGTCAGTAGATGACTTATGAGAGGAGACAGCGGCGGAGGATGGGGCATCGACGGTGGTGATCCACATGCGCCGGTATGGGGTAGACGCGGGTTTTGCGTCCTTGACAGCGTAAGACGGAAGAGCGTGGCCCTTGGGGTGTTCTTCGTCAATGACAAACCGAAGCATCGTCGGGTCCCAGCCCAGTGATTCCGGAGACTTTACGAGCAATCCCACGATGATACGAATGAACTGTTTCGCGTCCTGTTTAAGGAGGAGAATACGTTGTCAAGCGTGGTCATTACGGAGGAACAAATGCAGAACGTACTTTGTGAATGTCAAATGGAGGTGCTGCCAAACTACCGCTCCGATCGACGTGCCACAAAGTCAGCGCGCGCCGCGCAAACACAAGGCCGTACATGAACCGCCGATCGGGTTGCTCTCTCAACGTTGAACGTATATAACGCAAAAGCTGTAAAGCGGCAGGGTCGTCCTCTTCCTTTTTGACCTCGATCAGACTATGGACGGCTCGCCACCATAGGAGGGCGGCTCGTGTGGCGTTAATCAGATCAGGCCGACTCTGGTCCTGGAAGTCTGATTTCGGAGGAGATGCATGCTCATCGCGCCAATAGACCTCGTACGCTGCCTCAGGACATAACAGGAGTATCTTATTAAGAAGAGCCGTGAGTGGAGTGTAAAGGATTTTCTCGTTCTTGGGATTCGTCGGAAGTCCCTTCCAAATTTTTCCCTTGGGGTCATAGGCTTTGCTTTTGACAAGGGCTCTGTATATGCGTTCGGTGGTCGTGTTGATGAGTGTGGCGTCATCGCCGAGAAAGCTATCGATGAGGCCTTCGATTTCGCCGTAGGCATGACCATTCATCTCGCTCGTGACGGCATCTTCAGCATCGCGGATAGAGCTACGAAGGTGACTGTCGAGGGACGAGGTGTCAGAACCTTTGTGCGGAGTGTTTAGAGGGGTGTGAGAAGCCATACGAGTGGTGGGGGAACACCAACTGTTCGTCCTCTTCTGAAAAGGTTGAGTTATACTCGGGCGCGATGACTGTGTCGAATCAGGAAACGCGTGAGGAAACAACGTGTTGGAAGCCTGCAAAAAATACCTACGCGAGTCATGATACTCCGGACCCGCACAAGATGGCGCGATATTGTGATTGTGTGCTTTGATTGTGACAGAGATAAGTCAGCGATATACAATTAAAGTAAAAACAACCCGAAACTCTACTTACGACGCAGCGGTGGCCCTGTTGGGCGTCGACGAGTGGTTCGAGATGGTTGGTTTGAAGCAATGACGTTCACAGGTATCTCTGCAAGTGGTAGAAGCATCTTGGGGTAGACAAGGTGAGTGGGAAGTGGGAAGACTACGGCTTTGTCGATATTCAAAGAGAGAGATATGGCGCGGCCTCGTGTTGAGGTCGTTGAGGTCGAAGTTCAAAAGGAAGCCCATAAAGGTAAACGTGGTCATGGACACGGAGCTTCGGCTTCGGCCGCGCCACCTAACTTACACACCGCCACACGCCTCTGGACTAAGTGGCGCGCATAAGTGCACCATAAATAACTCCATATCTGGTTCGTCGACATGAAATAAATGTGTTCCATATTATGAAAATGCCAATCCGAGTACTAACGAACACCTGACCAAAGTCACGAATCACGACGAGTAATATGAATTGACCAATGACAACATCGGAGCACGTCTACGAGCTCTTTCCCGTCCGGGTTCTCTTTCTATTATTCCCTCCGCCTCCCGAGAGCCCTTCACCTGATAAGTTCTCGAACCGCATAGAGCGTTTCTGAGCCGAGCCAGAGGATGACGGTCCACCTCGCTCTACGGCGATATTGTTTCCCCTACTGTCGAATTCTTTATGGCGGGCTTGTGCGTCTCTCTGGGTCTCCTCCTTCGGCTTCCATGCCTTCGGAGAACTACTGTCTTCGGTGGGCGGTCCATCTTGCTCGCGCTGACGAGCGGATACTTCGGCTTCTTCCATGGAGCGGTACTTCGGATCGGTGTTGTTCCAGGTCGGGACTTCGTGCATTGTCTCCGCGATTGCGCATTGTTCGAGAAATTCGGTATGCAGTTTGGTGAATGTTCTCGTGGCATAAGCATCTTTGAGGGTACTGTGAAGCCCGGTAACGAGCGGGAGGAAGGGGTGGAAGTAGGGGGCGCACCACCGCCTGAGTTCCGACTTTTGTGGAGCACTGATGAGGAACAAGGCCTTTTCACTCGCGAGAAGTCTGGCGTCCGTCGACTCGAACATTGCCCGGATAGCTCCCTTCAGGTTGGCGGTAACGGCCTCGTCCTTGTCCCAAGCGTGGGTGCGTCGAGTAGACGGGCCTTCGTACGAGACACATAGCCAGCACAAAACCCAGAAAAGGGACTCGAGATCATGAACGACATCATGACTGACGGCAATGTCCACGGAGGGCGATCTAGGTTTGTATTCAGCGGTCGCTGCTGTCAACTTGAAGTCGGAAAGTACTAGTGGCTTGGACTGCGGGACCGTGTACGCCTCTCCCGTGAGAAGCTCTCCGCTCATGAACGCCTTCGTGCCCTAAAGTCTAGGAAGTTAGTGCCTCATCAATGCTTTAGGGGAAATCTATCAAAATTACACTCTGCTCGTCCCCGACAATATCCAATCTTTCGATGTTCGTTTCGATGGTCAAGTCGAGGTCAATAAGCACTCCACGAAAGCCTCGCTCGGTTTGAGGTTCCGGTATGATCATGATGCTGCTCTGGCTGATATCACGGTGCAGAATCCCTCGCGAACAAAGAAACTCGTGGCCTGCAGACGAAGATGGTGAGTGATACGTTACAAAGATCGAAGAGATAACCTACCTTGGATAGAATCGTGCAATGCGCCAACTACCTCGGGCAAAGATCGAAACCGTGTAAGTGGCAGCCCATAAGTCTCCATGATCAAGCGCGTGTGGAGACGATTGCAGGGCCCGCCCTTCGGTATCACCTTCTCCAAAATATCTGGTGGCGAGAAGTCCGCGAGCGGGTCACGCACGATGCTGGGGAAGCTATACAGGTATCGTTTCCGCGGATTACCTCTGATAGACCTCTGGGCTTCATTCTCACCGGTCGCGATTAGGGACGCACGAGCTTCATATGGTTCGACCCCTCCGCGAATGAAATTCAGAGTGTCATCTCGTCTTCCGTTGATTCGAACGACACTATAGGAGTAGATCTTCGCGACGCCAGGACCTTCAGGATAGCCATCTCCCTCAAGCCCGGGCCGTTCGGCTCTCCATGTGTCCTTGAAAACATAGACCTATCGAGCGTAAGTTTGGAGAGGTTGATAGTGGAGGAAGTGACGACATACCTTGCGATCCTTTTGGTGTTTCTCCATGTCTTCGAACTTCCATGCCAGCCATACCCTTGTAACCCGTCCACGAAGAACTTCCGTTCGAGCCAGACTGAGTGCTGTATATAAGATGAAACGCTGCTTGGGGGTATCGCTCGAGGTTTGATCCATCTCGCTGACAGTAGATGTTTTATGTGAGGAACCAGCGGCCGAGCACGGGGCGTCGACGGTGGTGATCCACATGTGTGTGTATGGGCCAGAAGCGGAGTAAGCGTCTTTGACAGAATAAGACGGAAGAGCGTGGCCATTGGGGTGTTCTTCGTCGATGACAAACCGAAGCATCGTCGGGTCCCAGCCCAGTGATTCCGGAGACTTTACGAGTAATCCTATGATAATACGAATAAACTGTTTGGGGTCCTATTCAAGGAAGAGGATACGCTGTTAAATGCGGGAATTATGGAGAAATAAGTGGAAATTGTACTCTGTGAACGTCGAATGGACGAGCCGCTAAGCTACCACTTCGATCGACTTGCCATAATGACAACGCACGCCGCGCAAACACAAAGCCGTACATGAACCGCCGGTCAGGCTGCTCCTTCAGCGTCGAATGTATATGACGCAAAAGCTGTAAACCGGCGGGCTCGTCCTCGTCTTTCACAACTTCGATCAGACTATGAATGGCACGCCACCGTAGGCGGGTAGCTCGTGTTTCGTTGATCAGGTAGCGCCGACGTTCATGAGACTTTATTTCCGGCGGAGAGAAACACTCGTCGCGCCAATAGATCTCGTACTCTGTCTCATCACATAACTTGATTATCTTGTTCAGAACAATCGCGAGTGGAATGTAGATGACTTTATCGTTTGTAGGCTGCGTCGGAATGTCTTTCCAAATTCGTTGTTTGGAATCGTAGGTTTTGCTTTTGACGAGGGCACCGTATATGTGCTCGGTGATCTCATTGATTAACTGGGTTTCGTCGCCGAGAAAGCTATCGATGAGGCCTTCCGTCTTGCCGTAAGCATGACCGTCGATTTCACTGGCTACTGCGAGTTCAGCATTGTGGTTAAATTTGTCCCAGTTCCTGTGAATGGACGAGGTGTCAGTGCTTTTGTGCCGATTGTTCAGAGGGGTGTCACGAGAAGCCATACGAGGGGTGAGGGAACACCAGCTGTTCCACCTCTTCTGATGTGGCCAAGTTATGTTCGCGCCCGGTAGCTGTATTGAACAACGCCCTTAACAATCAATAAAGCGCGAAAAGACAACGTTTGGAACCATGCAAAGAATGCCTACGCAGGTCATGCCGTCCCGGATCGGCATGGGATGACACGATATTAGGATTGTCTGCTTCGGTTTATGGCAGAGGGAAATCAGTGATATTCAACTCAAATAGAAGCTACCCGACGTTAACTGAACTTACGACATAGCTGTGGACCTTTTCGACGAGCGGCTCGAGATGACTGGTTCGAGTTTGAAGCAATAACGTTCACAGGTATCTCTGCAAGCGGAAGAAGCATCTTGAGGTTAACAAGGGGAGTGCGAAGTAGGAAGAGTGCAGCTTTATTGAGCTTTATAGAGTGATATATGGGGCAGCCTCGAGCGACTGTGCAGATTGAGGTTGAAGTTCAAAAGGAAGTCCAAAAAGCGGAGGGACACGGAGCTTCGGCTTCGGCTTCGGCCGTACCAAATAACACTGCACCGCCACGCACCTTGGACAAAGTGGCGTCAAAGTGGCGTGCACCAAAACTCCATCATGATCATTCCCGGCTCGTCGACAGCAAGGAACTGAGTCCATATCAAGGCATTCTGTTTCATAAAAATGTCCATGAGAGTGCGAATGAACACCTGGTCACTGCGGTCTTGAAACACGGAAGTCGATTCTCCAGACTCGTAAAGTCCTGATTGATGAACTCGGGATGGGTCTGAGCCTCGCCGAATATCTGAAGAAACTGGGAGGAAATCAGGTCCGTGGGGTATTATTATACAGATCGCGGGAAGCAAGACATATAACAGTAAGTGCCTTGTAGTGCCTGCCAGCCCAGTGAGTGCCCTCGTAAGCGAGGCCGTCCAGGAAGCCGATGGATAGCCAGCGCAGGACCGAGAAAATTACCAGAGAAGCGATTCCAGATTATGACCGGCTTAACACTTTTAATGTCTGGACGACTTGATCAGTAATCCATCCCCAAGGCTCGGTATAGGCCAAAGAGCAAGTATCGGTCTGCGCTGAGGACCACGGCGTCCATGCGCCACCAGCGTGATTCATGTCAATACCCCACAATTGGGTGCCATATCGTCAATGTAAAATCCGAGGGCCACTATGAGATTATAGAAAATGAAAGTCGTATGAGTCGGACGGACGAAGTTTAGAGTAAGAGTGTAAGTATGAGTGAGGAGAAAGGACGGTGGAGAATACTTATAAGGATTGGCGACATCGGAGCACGTCTACAAACTCTTTCCTGTCAGGCTTCTCTTTCTATTTTTCCCTACCCCACCCGAGGCTTCTTTACCTGACAAGTTTTCTTCTTCTTCTTCTTCTTCCTCCTCCTCTTCTTCCGCTTCCACCGCCTCCTCCCTCATCTGCTCCTTGTCTGTGCCATCATCGCTAAGATCAAACACTTCCCCATCCGAGTCATCACCAAGTGCATCCGACCTCCTCAGCCTCTTCACCGAACGCTTCACAGGAGCCATCCCTTTCCTATCCGACGATGGAGGATACAATTCCACGAGTTTATCGATCCTAGAGTCCAAGTCTGTTTGCTTATGCTTGTAGTGGTCTCGCCATGATTGCCAGGTGTGGCGTTTCGCCCATTCGTTCTCGCCGTATTGCTGTTTCGTACACATATATGCAAATTATATCAGAACTGGACGGTGAGGATGTATGAGAGGAATTAGATCGCACTGCCGCGCGTGAGCAAAGCTCTTGCCATTCGAGGTTTCCGGCGCGTCCACCGTCGGCTTTGTGTGGCATGCGTGTAGCAAGCCATCGAACCATATTCTCTTCGTCCTCTGCCGTATACGGGACCCTCTCCCTGTGGAAAAACAAGTAGTCGCACGGCCATCCACGGTTCAGAACGTTTAACAGAAAAGCAGAGAAATAATCTACGAACACTACAGGAGGCTTCGGAGTCATAGACGGAGGCAAAGAACGACTGTAAGAGCCACGCTTGATGCTCAGGTCTACAACACCGGTCTTCGATATGCGGACATTCTCTTTGCCTTCGTATGATTTGCGTAGTTTGTAGAGCTGTGCGTCTGTGTTTACGAGGATTACGAATTGTTTGGTATCGGCGTCTGGGTGCACGGCGGGCTCGATTTTCGTTACACGGCCGCCATGTACCTGTCAAAGTAACACCATGGAATTAGTTAAGCGGTGGGATTAACGAAGCTTGAAAGATGGGCGCGAATTATATTACCTGGATCTTTTCTGTCAGTTCTGCCTTTCTGTCGTCGGGGATGTTGTAGAAGTAGAAGCGTATGCGAGACCCGTTCTCGGTCCGAAATAGATTTGCCATCGTTATCTGAGCTTTCAGAAGGAGCCACAGTATAAGCACTGGTGTTAGTGAGGCTAGTATGACTGACAGAGTACAAGTCAGGAAGTGAGTCTCTGTCGTGAAGTCGGATATTGTAGTGCCACCGGCTTCGGATTTCGCTTGTCCTTGAAGGGACGTCGTCTCTGGATAAACAGAGGTATCGTTGCGGTGAATTATGGCTGAAGAGAAGGCAGCTGACTAAGACGTTATTATGTGGCTGCCAAGGTCTCTACAAGACAGAAAGCTTAGCACAGTGTGTGCATGCAACGAGTGGAAGAGAGGAAAGCGTTGCTGTGGCCCCCTGTGGCGCGTCGCCCCATTAAACACCAACACGTGACCGTGAAACAGTCCGATGGTCTGGCACAGGACTCTGGTTGGATTTTGGTTCTGTACCATCTCCCCTCACCCAATTTCATACCATTACGCCTTGTACACGAGCTCATCGACATCGACGACGAGGGAATAGCACCGCTCATTCCCAAACATGTCTTTTGCCAACCACAGTCGAGGCAACTCGTCTGTGCAATCTCTCGGCAATCCGGATCTCTCACTAGGTTCACTCATCTCTGACTTCTCGACTCCAGCAAAGTCTTTCAGGATACCTTCTACATCGTCCGTAACGACCGCACCATCGACAGCACCGCTTACCACACCATCTCCGCCTCAGCATGCTTCCCATCTCCGACGCAATTCAAAAAGTCGAATAGACGAGGTTACTGCTACTCCTGTGGCCCGACGACGGCTCGCCAGTCATGACGAAGAGGGTGGAGACGAGACGACTCAGGATATCCTTGGAACGGCACGGAAGGCCCCAGAAGACCTAGCAGAGTCAGCTCTGAATGGTCGGGGGAAGCGGTCGAGGGCGGGCGGCGCAGCTGCTGGGAAGAGTGTAAACCTCACGCTGAGAGACCAAGAAAAGGTGTGTCTAAATATCTTATTACACTGCGAAGATGTTGCACTGTTATCCAGGATGCTGGACTCTTGGTATGGTGCCCGTCTGCGTACTTTGGTGGTATCCCGTCGTCTCTGCGAAGATGAGCCGCGCAAAACTAGGGTCATTTACGACGATATACCTCGATATTCTCGATATCATCTCCGCAACGTTGTCTTCCCCATGGCCACTGTATTTGTGGCATTCATGTTCACAGATTTCTTTTCGGGTTCCCACTCTATACACTGCGACATTCGCCTGTGGCACTAGAGCGCCACAACCTAAAACGAGCTCACACGAAATGATTATATGGTGCGAGCACAGCCTTCGCAATGTAGCTGAAGCATGTTGTCCACTGCTGCTCGCATGCCCACATCTCCTCATTGCCTCTCCGTGGCCGAAACGCCCTGTTCAGATAATGCGTCGAACACGTGTATTCCGTCTCTGATGCGATGGTTTCCCCCTATCCTCACCCTCAATCAGAACGTGGTCATCGCGCTCTCACATATGTTCAAAGCGCATATATAAACCACTCTGCAGTTAACTATGTCCCGAATGCAATCCTAGCATCTCGCATACATCCGTCTTAGCCATCCAATCACACTCGCCCCACGTCCATTCCATTTATCTATCCCTCATCCCACTTTGCCACCATACGCGCCATGGGCTTCCCAACACATACACCTCTCCTCTCTCTCGCATACAGCCGCCCCGAACTCTTTCTCATATTCTTATTCCTAAAGCATATAGACAACCTGAAAAAAGAAAACTTCAATATCAAACTGAAAGTGCACTTCCTCGAGGAACGCCTCGCCCAGCTCGCGCCGGACCAGATTGACGCCGCGCTGAAGCAGAATATTAACCTGAAGATCGAGGTGCAGCAGCGGGGCATGGATCTGAAGAAGTTGAGGAAGTTGGTGTTAGAGCTGGAGAAGGAGCTGGAGAGGTCGCAGAAGAACGGCGGCGGTGGTGGTGCACAGGGAGGGTCGTCGAGGAGGGAGAGGGAGCTGGAAGAACTGTTGCAGGAGAGGGATAGAGAGATCAGGGAACTGAGGAGACGGAGGGTCGAGTCGAGTCAGGATGTGGATGAGGAGCTGGAGATGGCCTTGAGAGATGCGGAGGATAGGAATCAGGAGCTGGAGAGCGAGTTGACGAACATGAAGGACCTGTTGATGGACAACTCGGAGGAGCTGGACCGGCTGAAGAATGAGCTGCAGAGGCGGGAGGATTCGTCGTTCGCTGGGGAGGAGGGAGAGGCGCGGAAGGATAGGATGAGGAGGCGGTTGGCGGAGTTGGAGGCGGAGAATGAGGACTTGAAGGCTGCGATCGAGGAGCATGCTGATCTTGTGGCATTGAGGGACGATGAGAAGGAGGATTTGATGGATCAGATGGAGACGTTGAGGTTGGAGGTGGAGGATCTGCAGCGTAGGAGGGAGGCGGAGTCTATCGAAAGGAGCGAGAGTCGGGCGCAGATATATGAAGAGAGAGAGGAGCGGGAGGCAATGCAGGATGGGTTGAATGAGCTGAGGGACAAGTTGGCGGCGGCGACGATCGAGATCCAGCAGAAGGACGACGAGCTCGAGTTCAAGCAGCAGGAAGTCGCCGACTTGCTCAACGAGCATAACACCATTCTGGAAGAGATCGACGAGACATGGAGGGTGGAGGTGGACGAGGGCAAGGCGCAGGTGGAGGAACTCCGAGACGTAAGTTTATGGTTGTGTTCGGTTATCGCGAATTTCTTCACTGAGCATTTCATTTCTCTAGGCACTGGCAGAGCGTGACTCTGAATGCGAAGAGCTCCGGATGCATGTCGCCGAGCTGGAGTCGAACACCAACGATCTTCACGAGAAGTTCGAAATCGCCTTGGCCAATCTCGAGAAGGAGTCAGACGAGAAGGACGAGGAGATCGCTGCCGCCAACCGGGAGGTCGAGCAACTCGGGCATCGCATCTACGAGCTCGAAGAAGAGCATGACGAGCTCAAAAAGCTGAACGACCGCCTTCGAGAAGACGAGGCAGTGGACCGCGAACGGCTGGAGGCTCTGACTGAGGCCTTGAAAGGCGTACGCAGTTCTCCACTTTCATGATAGCATTCCAGCTGACACTTTTTCCTTACGCAGAAACTAGCCTCCACGAAGAGGGATCTCGACGAGATGTCCCAAATGTATGAGAACGCCAAGCATGACATCGGTGCTCATCGGGAGCGACAAGAGGAGCTCGCCCGCCATGTCGAGGACCTCGTCGAAGAAATCCGTAAGGAGCGCGAGGACCGAGAGCACCTCGAGGGCGAGTTCGATAAAGCCGACCGCGAACACGACGCCGAGCTTCGACGCGAACAACGGGCGCTCGAGGCGAAGGAGTCAGCCCTTAACAACGCCCTCTCCGATCTCGACCGGACTCGATCTCTGCTCGCTCAACGGGACGCGGATCTCGCTGCCCTTCAGTCTGCACTGCAGTCTATGGAGGCCGAGTCGAAGAAGTTGGGCGAGAGCCATACGACGGCGAGGTTCTCTCTTCAGCTCGAAGTCGACCGTATGAAGCGGGACCTTGAGCGGCTGGAGGATGAGCTCACCCGTGCGAGGAAGGATCTCGACGACAGAGAGACCAAGAGTCGGGAGCGGGATGGTCTAGTGGATACCCTCCACGCAGAGAACAGGGAGCTCGCCGCTCAACTAGCGACTCAGACCCAGGCCAGACTGAACCTCTCGGAGAAGTTGGACTCGACGAAGGCGAGCTTGACGGCTTCGGAGACGGAGCTTGCGAGCTTGAGGTCGAAGACGCATGACTTGGAGCAGAGGCTGTCGAAGGACCAGAGGTCGTTGTTGGTAGCGGAGAGTCAGTACAGGGATCAGTTGACGGAGAGGAACACTCTTCTGTTGACGATCTACCAGTATATGGATAAGATCTTGGGCGTTGACAAGACACCGGTGCGTACGATTATCCAACACACGTCATTTTTCATGCATCTACTTACGTCCATCTGGTTGTTCAACAGAAGAAGGGCGGCCAGGCGGAGACGAAGCCATTCACGAACTTCAGCGTCTTCCACGACAACCTGATCACCCGGCTCAAGTCGCTCAGTCAGATACAGCTTCAGTTTGACCAACGCGTGAAGGACGCAGAGACCCGATACGCCGAGAAGCTGGGCGATATCAAGAAGCAGCTGGATAATAGGTGGAAGCAGATCGACAAGTTCGAGGGCAGCTTGAAGACGTACGCTGATACCAAGTCGACTTGGAGGAGGAAAATGAACGCCAAGGATGGGGAGATAGAGGCGATTCGGGTGCGTTCTGTCATTTTACTTCCCAATGTTGTCTGGGTACTGAATCGCTGGTTGATTAGGCATCGAACGCAGAGCTCACGGCTCAGCTTTCGAGTATGCGCCGTCCAGGAGTTGGAGACTCGAACGAGATCCGAGCGCTGCAGGCCCGAGCTACCAACGCTGAACGTCGCCTAACCAATGCTCAAAACCAACTTGCCTCCGCAGAGGAGAAGATGGCGAACATGAACCAGAAGACGACGGTAGCGGACAACAAATGGGAGGCCCGGGTGAAGGAGTACGAGACGCGTCTGCGGGCCGCGGAGGAGAAGGTGAAGCGGGAGAAGCAAGGATACAAGGAGCGGATCGTCGAGTTAGAGACACAGATCAAGTATGTCTCTCCTTTCCTACCGTGCAAGCATTTTTTTTCTGACGAAGAGATCGTGTAGGTCGTTGCAACGGCAGCGAGAGCTGGCTGATAAACGGATCCAACAAATCTCGGACATCGAGAACAATGTTAGGAGTCCGAGATCTCCAACTATGCGATGATTGTGTTCAATTTGTTGCATTTCTTCCTTGTACTTCACTTCGCCCTTCTCCCTGTCCTCCATGATTGCTGGCAACCACGGCTTCTTCATTCCACTCCACGGGTCTGCTTCTGTAATGCTAGTTGCTCGAGCATATGTCTATGTCTTTATAATTATACCCCGGAACGGTTCTCATGATTTGCTTATGCACTTACGTTGACGCCTGTAATATAACGATTGAACGTTCTTGAATGAAATTCTACTCACTCGATGGAGAGAGATCGACGTCGTTGCAACGATGGTGCCACATCGAATGGCGCCACCCGGCGTTTGCCGGACCACCGTTAACGTCGCGTTGAAACGAACTTGGACGCGACTTTGGTTCGTCTTGACACCGAACACGCACTTAAACTTTCCCTCGAACTGCATTTCGCTTCTATGGAAAGCTGACCAAAGTAATCTTTTTGTTAAACGAACCGCCGTTGAATCCTTGAGCATACAATGGCCCGTACCGCTCGAGAACAGAGGACTAGTTCCCCAGAGGAAGATTCGGAATCCGACTATGACGAAGAAGTACCGGTGCGTACGGTGATGGGTTTTCTCGCTTGTTATATGCTGCACCATTTCTAGATAAGCAGCTACTCATGCTTGCTATACTACTAGGATATGTCGACGTTGTTCACCAGTGTTAGGGGTAACCCGCCGGAGGAACACCGCGTCCGGTTTTATCTAGGCAAAGTCGCCGAGGACAAGCGCGATGACCTTCGGCGGAAGATCGAGGTCAATATCATGCTTTCGCAACTTCACCGTCTGTCACTTATCTCGCATCTTTCAACCCCTTTCTTGGTGTTTCAGGAGCATGGAGGGCGTATCATCCCTACGCAGCCAAGTCCTGGCAATATTTATAGGGACTTCAAGAAGGCATACGTCGTACTCGTGGAGCATGATCAGTTACCGGCAATGAAACGCCTGTACAATTCCTCCTGCAACGTATGGGCCGAAATGTCCAACTTCGTGGATTATTGTATCCAGACTAGGAAGTACAAGCATGCCCCAGACTACGCCAATGACCAGTAAGTATCTATTCAGTTTCACTCGTCTTTATTCGAGGCATGAAATTCATGGCAACAATAGGTCTACGCGCGTGGCCTTTACCCCGGAGGACGAGAGAAATCTCGTCAATTGGATAGCTCTTAGAATGCCATATCCTGAGCACCCCCGCATGGGTGACAAGGAATATCAAGATCTCTGCAAATATGCGTCCGTGGGTACTTTGTCTCCTAATTATCTATCTGTACTGAAGCATCACTGCCTCCTTCAGACCAATCATAATCAGTGGGCCAAAAGGCATCCTTGGCGCTCGTGGCGTGAACGCTATAGAGCTCATCAAGAAAGGCTGGATCAGGATATCGCTGATGTGGTCGCGAAATATCCACCCGACACACACGCGAAAGGTATGGCTCCGATGACGGGTCAGAAGGGGCGGTCCAGGAGGGGCCGGCGGGAACTGCACCGCGAGTCGGATGAGGAATACATCGAAGGAGTTTACGATAACACCATGGCAACCGAGAATGAGCCACAGCCTCACACAAGGCAACGACCAAGCCGCAGGCAGCACATAGCGCCACGGGACAATCGCAATGGCCGTCACAACGATACGATGCCAGAGGCGGAAGAAGAAGAGGAACAGGAACAGGAAGAGCAGGAACAGGAAGGGCGTGAACAGGAAGTGGAAGTGGAAGGGCAGGAAGAAGGGCAAGAGTCCGAACAAGTGGAGGAACACGACCAAGATGAGGAGTACGAGCAGAATGAGGAGCACGAGGCAGAGCACGAGCACGAGCAGGCACCGGTGCAGGCCTCCCTTAAGCGTCGTGCAAGGGGATCCGAGGTTAGTCGATTTCTATACTTTCCTACCACGGCCTGGTTTAAATTGACTGCTCATACGTCCCTCTTACCCACAACAGGTGAACTTTCTGTCCCAATGTATGCGTTTTCATATACTCATTCTTATTCAATAGCGGAGCGACGGCGAACAGCCCCGGAGGCCTCAGTATGCCCACGTTGATCTGCGGGACGATGCTGGTGCCCCGCCCGAGAAACGACGCAGGGTAGTTGTCTGCTACTTTGCTACCAGGTTCGAAACCGCTGACCAGTTGCCATTTTCATTTTGCGATAGGTGTCACAGCCGATGGCCCACGAGACTCCCCCTCAGAGTAAGAACGAGAAGGATCAAGATGATGGACAGACCGATCATATCGCTCACGAGTTCGAACTGGGGCCCGGTCAAGGACTCCAGACTCCTTACATTGACGAGGAAGACGAGGAAGACGAGCTCGCCGATGACGACCAGGACATGGACGACGATGGACCAGGCGAGTACGACGAAAACGTTGTATTCGAGTCAGGGGATGATGGAGCAGAGGAGCCATTCTACCAAGTGGCCGAAGATCACGACGCCAACATGGATCAGATCGCCGCCATGCTCGATGGTCAGTTGCCGATTGAAGACCAAGAGATGTATGATCAGGAAGAGATCGAACAGGATGACCATGAAGAGATTGAAGAGGAGCCAGAACAGGTTGTGCAAGTGACAGCTGCTTCGTATGTTTCCTTTTTGATTTTCTACATTGAACGACCCGATAGCTTATATCTCGTAAATAGTCGTCGGCGTGCTGCAGCTCAAGTCGAGGTCGTCGTCGAGAAGAAGGGCAAAGGACGTGCTAAGTCCCATCGTTCACGTTTCGCCAATGTTGTCGACGCGGAGCCACCCTATCGCAACACTCGCTCTCGTTCCCATTCAGTCGAACCCACCGTTCAGCAGACAGCACATTCCGGCAAGTCAACTGATGTGGTGGCGAAAATGCAGCCTATCGACGAGAATGGGTTGGAAGGACAGGCCGAGGACATTGGTTCTGAGGACGACTCTGACGAGGTTCACGGGATAATTGATGGACCTAACGGTAACTCAGAATTCTTTCTATATCTTCATTCCCATACTCATGGAGGTTGACTAGCTGAAAGACAGCAATCACTGTCTCTGAGCGACGATGACCTCCAGACTTCGCACCGCCTCTCCACCAGCACGCGTCTTCCCCCTGTCTCTCCTCTCGACGAATCTGATGAAGAATATCTTCCCGATTCCAAGACTCTGATCCGCGATGTATTGTCGTCGCCCATCCATGATGAACGAGGGATATCTTCCGCTCTTCCGTACACCAAAATGGCCACCACTATTAGACGTTCAAGTGCTACCTCAGGAACGGATGGACGCTAAGAATAGCAATAACGTTGTCAGGAACGATGGTGCATCCTCTGATGTGCCGTCGCCGAATACAAGAGAGTGCGTAGAAGAGGACGGATTGGTCGGAGTCGAGGAAGGGGAACGGAAGTCTTACACATATGCGCCGGGTGCGCGTGCTGCGAAGCTTGGATCACGGAGGACCGGTCGGGGAAGGTGAAACCGGTAGGATCATGTTATAATGATTCCTCTAAGGAAGGTTGAGTAGATGTATTTAGCCTCTCAAGCATGTTTATTCTTCATGGCCAATGATTTCTCCGCTCTTTGGATCTTTGGTGTATCATCTGTTGTGTTCCCGATCTCTTGACTACAGAAAAGGCTTGTCAACGAATCATTCCGGAAGCTTTGACCTGACGATGTTGGTCCTGGCTTGTGGAGTGCAGTCTCAGTGCGGGTGTGGCACCCATGCGTATCTCGCCACACCCTCGAAGGGACGTGATCGGACGCGTGTCGCGACGCGTGTTCAAATTCTAAACTCGAGCGCTCTCCTTTCTTGCCTTAGCTCTCGTCAATCATTTCACCCTTGCAGTACTAGCTGAAAACACAATTGAGAGTTGTCCGACTAACGATACCTGTATATGTGAGGGAATGCAAGCTATCACCTTTCTGTTCGTTTTAACGCAGGCTTTTTAACCCAGCCTTCACCTCTTCGTCTGCTAGTACAGCAGCTTGTATCAGACTTCTTCACGGTCAGTTAGTTGCTTACTTACTTATGAGGAAGACTGACGGGCGAATCTGATTGTTCAAAAATTGAATCAGTCTAAACCTTGTGAACTTCGAGTACCAAAATCTTGCCAACATCCCTGGTATATAGGCAATATGGCAGACCGACACCACCCTGACCTCTATTTCGACGACGGGAACGTCATGATTTTTCCAAGTGATCATGCACCATTCAAGGTTCATCGCAGCCTTCTCAAGCGTCATTCCCATGTAATGGAGCTAGACATCATCGCGTCGGACGGCGAAATCGACGGCTGCCCTACTGTCACTTTCGACGGGATTTCCACCGACGACATCGCTCACATGCTGTACAGTATTTATGATAACAGGTATTCAACTTTCTATTATTTGCGATGAGTGAATACTGACAGGTATCTGCGCCTCAGACGTTACTCCCAAGCAGTACAACTCCCGTTCGACACCGTACTGTCACTCCTTCGAATGGGCACACGATATGACATGGAGTATCTCCTCGGCGAGGCCCAGTCACGTCTTCGCGCCTGTTATCCGGACACCCTTTCAGGATACGATAAAATCGAGGAATCCGATAGCTCTCTTCGACGCATACGATGGTCGCCAGACCAGGATTATCAAGTCGCGCGTCTCGCCCTCGAGTACAACCTCACAGATATTCTTCCTGTCGCCCTATACGAATGTTGTGCACATTCTCCCCACAATCTTCTCGAACACATGAACACACCCGATACCGGTGACGCTTCTGCTTCCTCTTCGGAAGTTCGGGAAGCCATCTTTGCGAAATGCTATGAAGGACGTTCTTCCCTGGTGGAACAAAGGGCCGAGGATTCGCTAGGTTTCCTTATACCTGGGCCACGCATTACCACTCCTCTGTGCGCCAGCCCAGACCGCTGCGAGCAGGCTTGGAGGACTATGAAGGAGTTTTCTCAGACGTTGCGTATGAATGTGGGAAATCCACGGGCGTTAGATAGTCTGGACGATTTCATCGATGCCTCGGTGGAGGACAAGGCTTGTAGAGATTGCGTTGCCCATTGGAAGAAGTTACATCGAGAAGGGAGGCAGAAGATTTGGAATAACCTGCGGGCGACATTCAACCTTCCCTTGGAGGTTTGAAATAGTCTTTGCGTCGGAGCCTTGCAGAGCTGGTAGTGTAGCGCGTCGAGGAGCAGTGCAAGGAGTGGTGAGGCAGCGGGTATATAGGCTCAGGTAACGGCCGGGGCTCGATCTTGTACTATTACGATCACCTATCTTGCAGTGCATCAGTGATCGGGTTTTGTCTCAGGGACACGGTCTAAGGAGGAGGTTGGTCAACGCATCCCGATTCATTCGACAGCTGGTACACTGATCTATGGAAAGAGACCATGCGATAAAGCAGAATGAATTTTCGAAACGATACCAAGTACAGCACCTCAGATCCCCTCTAGCACCCGCACAAACCCTCAGAGCGAACAAGACGAATAAATACGAAAATACAATACACTAGATCAGTCGAGCAGTCGCCACCTTTTGTCTTGAACCGTGGCAGATTAGAGGCCCAGAGCGGTCCTGAGCGAAGCATAAAGCGGTGTCCCCATGCCTGTGACCTATGGAAAATGCGTAGCGTTAGAGGATAGCGTAACAGATACAAAACAAGGAATTGCTCCTACAGGGTCGAATCCTGCAACAGCGGTGAAACCGTTCGTGCCGCACCCAGGGTTATCACCTATGAAGCCCGACTTGTCAGTACCATACTTCGTCCCATTGTTACAACAACCATCCACGACGTACCAGCAGTGACATCCGTAAACGCGTCCGCATTGCTATAGATCAACGGGTTCATGAAACCCACCGGACTCTGCCCCGCGGCGATCAACTCATCGTTCAACAAACTGACCATCGCCGCCACCAACGGACTGCTCGCGCTAGTCCCATCGACACTCGTCTGCTGTCCCTCCACGAAGATCTGGAAGTTCGTTCCCTGTGCGCTCAGATCGGGGAACGCGCGGCCGGAAGAGTTGAACAGTCCGTCGTTGGTGTTGCCGTTAGCAGTGAGGAAGGTGGAGACGGCGTCGGCTTGGTAGTCTGGGATACCGAAGAAGTTGGAGAAACCACCGGAGGAGAAGTCGGCTGCGGTTTCGGGGCCAATGCCAGTGGTGGAGCCTACGGAGGTTACACTGGGGACGACGATGATTCGTCAGTGGTGCGCCAGCGTGAGCACAGAGGAAAGATACCTACTAGGGGCATGTCGAAGGGAAGCTGTAATCGTAAGGGCTCGTGAGTTCGTGATGCAATCCGCAGTTAAGAGAAAGACACCCACGTCGGAACGAAAGTATCGCATGTATCCGCGTTGCCTGCCACACCACCTATCGTAGAAGGGTGAGCATAGCTCCATTAACCAGCGAGGAAAACTATGTACCATCGCCACTACTGAAGAATATCGAGGTCCCACGCGCACCGAGCTGGGCGTAGGCATTGCACATGGTACTGCAATGATAATTTACATGAGCATCTATGCAAATGGGGTACGTGCTGGATTTATAAGATAGCGTACTCAGCGACAGATACAGTGAAATCCTCCTCGTTGAAGCCGTAGGAGGTGGTCAATACGTTTGGCGGGCTATCCTCAGCGAGCAAGGCCTGGATGATGTCAAGGAATCCACCAACACCGTCCTGTATGATGCGAATGAGCCTACTTCGGTCAACTGCAAGGAGAAGAAAGCCGAAAGTCACATACCGCATTGTTGCTTCCAACAGAGACGAAAGTAGTAGGGACTCCAGAGGCGATGCCGACTGATGAATAAACACTCGTAAGTCGTTAGACACTACGACGAGCAAAAGTGACCCTCACCAGTGTACTGGATGTCGAGCCCCTGTATTCAAAGAAGACGATGTCAGGATCCGATACGGATGGACGAATAATAAAGGGCTTACAGCTTCCACGCCTGCCAACTTGAGGGTCTGAGTATTCTTCCCTCCATCGACAGACGCAGCCGTGAACGTCGCATTGGTCGCTGACAGGTCAGTCCTAAACTCCGTGATAAACGACTTCATCGATCGAGTCGATCAGCAATAGTACCGTCTCTAAAGCACAACACAGGGACTCACAGCAAGATCAGCCTCGTTCGCAAACTCGTTGATGAACCCGGATACAGCGAGCGTGTTCGTCGATTGCGTAGCTGATGTCGTTGGAATTCCATACAACTGAATTAAACCACGGATAAGTCAAACTACTCAGGTTACCAAGTATCTAAAGTACTCCAAACTTACGTTCTGCAAGCAGGTAGGATCGATGGCAGCTGGGTCACAGCCGGTGACAGATGAAGTTGTAGCGGTGCCGGTACCAGTTCCTGCGGCCTTGTTCTTGTTCTTCCTCTTTGCGGGCATGGGAGCAATCAGAACGGGGGCATGGCTAGTCGCCTGGAGGGGGAAGCTGAGGCAACAAAAGTAAGCATAAGTTGCGATTAGCGCAACATCGCGGGAAAAAGACGAACCCGACAGTGGGATGAATGAAATTAAGATGCTCAGTTAACGTCGAAGGGATCGAATAATTGAGCGTTCGGACGGCGTTCAGACCCGTGGTCGAGTGGGTATAGTTCGTGAATTCCGCGGCCATGAGAGTGTTGGCTTGTTGGACTGAGATGTTGATTCCGATCCAGTCTCCAGCAGGGGACAGCGTTTGCGAGCTGATGTTGTTCTTCGTGAGCCAAGCTTGAACAGCAGCTACAGACTCGTTCGAGGGCGCAACCATCGCTTCCACCTATGAGCACGCAGACGAACGTCAGCCGTCGCCACAGAGATAGAACCATACAATAACAATCGGTATTAGGAAGGCTCAAAGGGGATTGACGTACCTCCGCTTTCGAAAGGAACTGCCTGTACTGCGCATTACCAGGCGTGCTGACCGCCAACAACTGCTGCTGCAACCCCGTGATGTTGTTCTGCTTCAATGCAAGCCGGAGGTTGAGCATATGCGCCGAATCTGCCGCTCCATTCTTCACGAACCCACCGGGGGCTGCATTACGACGTTCGTGGACTCGCATGGCATGGCGGGCGAGAATAGACCCAGAAGACGAAGAGGACGATCTAGTAGCAAGGGGACTGGAGCCTGCCAAAGTCGAGAGAAGAGAGGCAAGAAGAATAAAAACGAGCGTTCTAGCCATTGGACCGTGCCAGATGACAGAGGAAGTGCCAAAAAAGAAAGGAAAAAAGGGAAGAGACACTCGAGGGAGAGAGTTGGATCCGACATGAACGCGATTCTTATATGGGAGGTGGGAGGAGTGCGGGGTAAGCCAATAGGAATCTCAGGGCTGTTGACCTTCGCGCGGCAATGAGATCGAGAACACCATAGCGACCGTGACCGACGACGCTGCGTGAGCGAGGCACGGCGGTCTCGCTGCAACGTGCTCGACAGATGAACAGGCTTGGCCGACAGAAGTCATTTTATGTAAGGTCATGCGGGGTGATGGCGCGCCTACAGACAAAATGGTTAAATTTTGAAGCCAAACGCAGCAAAGTATCGCTGAACGGTTGGTTACAGTGGGAGCCAGAGGTATCCTCCTTGCACCTTTCTTCCTGCAATAGTGTAAAGGATAGGACTGCGTATCTTGGAATCAGTCAAATGACCAGGCTGCGATGTTATCCCGTACCGTTTGTCTGGTAGAAAGCGCAGTCAGAACATCACAAGTAGCCAAGACAGGATATTTTCCGGAAAGCGTCAATCAGTCATGCTGGCCGCGTCTCGGGTTCGCCCAGGCCACTGAGCCAAGCCTGAGCGACCCTCGGGCACTTCGAACAGCAAAATATCAGGCTGGCGATGCTCTCCAGTGTTCTTCAGCGACAGAAAGACTGGTTAGGCATGGGTCCTCGGGAGGATGATGGCCTGTTTCGTTCTCAATCGTCGTACATACCAACCTTGAGCTCGCTGCGATTCGTCGATGGAGAGAGAAACAGCTGTTGGCTGCGCAGATGCAGCAGTCGATGGAGGTCGTCAAGTTGTTGGAAGCCACGGTCGAAGCACCCGAGCCAAGGTCTCGGCGCCAAGCAATAGAAACGGTGGCCATGCCGAGCCACGTGGTCGACTCGGCTCATAATGAACCGCCGGGGTGGCACAGTTTACATGGTGTGGCTCGACGACGAGCAAGGGTTTACTTCGATTTACACAATTTAAGGATGAACTCATTCAGCAAAACGGTGGAGGTAGAACCGGTAAGTACTTTAAATTTGTGGGGTTCCATCACTGGCACCACGAAAGGGAGAAGATATAAGTATTCAGTGCACCCATCGCCCAGGTTCTTCGTCCCTACATAGCACTATTTTCTTTGGCCTACCCATTATTTCAGCATCAAACATGTCACCACTGGTATCAAGCTCAAGGACTCCAGCCTGCCGTTTTCTCGCACCTCCAAGTGTCGAACCTTCGCGCTTCAATCTCTACCAACTCATTCAACGACAGTTCGCTCTGAACTCTCTGGTGCACCTACACGATATCGGGCATAGCAGCACGACCTCACCATCCATACTGGAATATTCATCTTCTCGTTCCGCGATGCGTTACACTCAGCCGACGTTATGATTGTCCCATTCGGTCGCTCGTGTGTGCAGATCTAGTCGTAGTAAATCCCGTGAAATAAAACTTTGCCGCGAACAACGATCTGAGGAGGAAGAAAACAGAGGTTCGCTATTTAGTTTGTTTGTAGAGGGAAGCAGGGAGTTCGAAGAGGAAGAGACGAAAAGGAGAAGTCCACGCGCCGTTCGGAAGAGATCCGAAGAGTCGACTCAGAGAATGACCATGACATCCACGAATTTCGCCGATTCACGGAATCATGTCGGCCCTCGGGTGGCGTCCTGGCCATAAGTGCCACATTCTTCGTATCGACGTCCTCCTCGACTCTGTTCCGTGCAGAGGATACTGACTAGTCAACACAGTACTATTTGGCGCAAGAGGGAAGGGCGTGTAGAGGAGAATATCGCACAGTAAGACTTCCGACTGCGACGCTAGAGGCATGATAGCCCATACCATGCATGCGAGCTTTTCAGCCTACATTTCTGCGGCTCACTGTAAGTATGCACACCGACAGTCTGATATTAATAAAGCCGCTCAAACACCGTCACGGTATTGATCTTCGAGTGATTGATACTAGAGCTCTAGAGATAAGATGGCGTGGTGTGAGCATGCACAAACTTCTAGCGAAGGACGGATGGACAAAGAAAGAGAACGAGACGCATCCAGAAGCTGGATAATGAGAACTCTTATGCCAGTGGATTCAGAAGGTAGACACGTCTTCGATCCGAACGCGAAACCACTCCGACTCCAACTTCAATGCGTTTGAATCATCGCTCGCTCGCGTTGGGCGTTCAACGTTGGACGGTCGTAGAAATCCTCTTCGGACTGCAGAAAACAAGAACGAGTCCAATAGCGATACCAGGATACAGCGACAACCCCACACACATCCAACATCAATTCCGTTCGTTCCTGACGTATAAGTAGTGGATGTTCTGCGGAAGGATGAGTGGAGCAGGAATTCGGGCCCGAGATGGATACGCACGACATTAACGTGAGTGAGCACAGCAGATTCAGAAAGGAACTGAAGAGTACCGTATGAGGATATCCCGTCAAGCTTGCAACCTAGACCTTCAACGGTTCATCACTTCGAATTCAGTTGGTGGAAACTCCGAGGTAACGTGCGAGAGCACACAACACAGCAGAACAACAGTGGTGGTGGTGGTGGTACACCGCAGAGTCACATCAGATATAAGGTTCGAATGGCGGAAAATCAGATACATATAGGGTTGGTGACGGAACATTATATGTACAAGTGTGTGAGCACGAGCACAGGAGCGGGTCAGAGTGAGATGTAGATTTGGGTTCAAGTAGATGTGAGGATGCCGACATCTGCGCGAGCACAGGGATGTGTGATGACCGCATTGTTCTGTTCCATCGTATTCATGTTCGAGTTGTCGTTGTCGTTCAACAGATATAGAATGAATCGAAGGTATACCGGGTACGTACGTACGCAGTGAGAGAGCACTGCACTACAGCAAGGATAGATCCTCGAGCCCCCCAGATCTCACCTAGAGCACAGTACCTCGAGAACGAGAATGACAACAAAAGGACACTGGTCCTCTACTGTATCAAGAAGCAAGCACAGGAGGGAAGAGAGTCGGAAGAACTCGAAGGAACTCGTGGGCTGAGTAAGACTCGTCAGGAGGCCAAAGAGGTTAACATTGGGGGCACAAGCTCAGGGCGTAAAGATAGCATTGGCGTGGGTGTGGACGCAGGACGCGTGCTTTTCTTGTTATGTACATTTGTGCAGGAATGAGCACAAAGTCAAGCACGACAGAAAAGGAAGAGCGCTGGAGAACCGTTGGCGTTGCGTGCATATGATTAGGCGAGGAACGTAGGATCGATATCAAGGCCAGGTATGGAAGTTCATCGAAATGGATTGACATGGCAAGGGCCGTCACTTTTTTCGGTCGTACAGAAGGGTGACAGTCGTGAAGGAAGCAGGTCGTCGCAGAGTAGAGCACCTCTCGTCTTTATTATGAGGTGACAGTCGCCCTCGCCGTCGATATCGAGAACAAATGGAGGAGGGAGCGAAGGTGTGAGAGGCGAGCGTGTCCGAAAAGGGTCGAGCATTGCGCCCGGCGTCGGCCGTGACAGAATTGAACGACCTAGACCCGATCACGGAGAATCGCCGATTTCGTCACTTTACGGCATCTTACGTTCCGTCGGTCGCCACACTACCCGTCCTTCACAGCAACAGCACCGCTCCTTTTCTATCCATATAAACCCTACCTTCCTTATACTCCGTATTGTTCTCGACATCTCTATCATCATTCGTGCCAAAAGAAACAGAAAGCTTCAAGGTTTTCTCAGAGGAAGGACGGGATCATTTGTGAGGCAGTCAGAAGACAGGACCTCGCCCCACCTCGCCCCACTCGACTCCATCGCCACAGGAAGCTATTCCCAATCTCCATCCGCACGGTGTCGCACGTTCCCAGCCTCTTCCTTGTTCTCGCCTCGCCTGTTGATCACCTCACCGTCGTTCCAAAACTCTTTCCCATCACTTCTGTCAAACCGCGCCATCAAACCGCAACCCTCTCCCTTCCGGGTCACTCGTCACATTCGGACCTTGCCTTTCCTTATCCTGTCCTAGTCATTCCACCCCCTTGCATCATACATAAACTGCGCGATGTCGACCATCTCCTCCTCCTTCCCCCGTATCCCAACCATATACTACACAGACCTCCCCGCCCCATCGCGCAGAGCGTCAAACGTACCCTTCCTAGCCTCCGCTTCCAGGATACAACACACCACCTCGCTCACTCACAACAACAATAATAGCAACATGTCGATGTCGTCCGCCGTATCGCTCATGCCGAGGCACAATATCTCCATGATTCGTCCGAGCAGGACGATCAGCATGCCCGTTCGTCAGACGCCGAAACGGGTCCCGCTCCCCCTCCTCACCGTTCCCTCCCAAGCACCCCTCACTTCCACCTCCACCTCCACGTCATCGTCTTCGTCTGCTGCTACCTACTCGTCCTACGCATCCGGCTATGGAGGTGCTAGGTCCGGTCGACGAACCGCCCCCGTGATGTCGTACGCCAGCGCAGCCTCTCCCTCTTCCTCCGCCTCCGCTTCCCCTCCGGGCCGAACCTCCATAACCTCCACTTCCACCGCGCCCTCTCAACTCCTCTCCCCCTCGACCACGCTAGCCCAAGAACAACGCGAAGCACGCGCGAAAGCCGTTGCTGTGCTGTTGCTCAACAGGGCGGGCCTGAGCGGAAGGAGACGGAGGACGTATTTTGGGCCGAGGCAGTATGTGAGGAGTGGGCTTTCGTCGTGTGTTGTGGTTGCTGAGGAGGGAGCGGATGGGGAAGGAGGGGTGGAGTTGGTGGGGGGTGAGATGGAGAAGGTTGGTGTTGTTGAAGGTATGTGTAGTTTGTTTCTTCGTCGAGGTGACGCGTTGTTGGGAATGAAGGCTGACTGGTCGATGTTGTTGTCCGTTGTACAGTGAACGCGTAAAACTATCTGCGACTAGTAGCCCACAGGCTATTACTCCAGGTTCGGACCCTCCGCCGCCCTAAATCACCGCGTCGTCATATCGTGTACCTCTATTCGATTCGCTCGTTCCTCCCATCTATGGTCTACGGAGCGCTCCTGTACTCACACATAATCGCCTCTCCTCTCCTCTCAACTTCTCGTTCTCGCTTCTCTCGTCTTGCATTCTTCTCTTCCTTTTTTGTTCTGTTTCGCCTGGTCTGTTCTGGTTTGGTTTGTCTGTTACATTGTACTTCGTACCATCCCCTCTTTATCCACCGTCACCCACATCCACGCCCACACCGTCATCCCTCATCCCTCATCCCTCAAAACCTTGCATAATCTCTCGTCTTTTCGTCTCTTGGTCCATCCTGATTCCTGATTCCTCTGTTCTAGTACTCACCTCACTAACTCACCTCACTCACCCTCACCCATCGAACCCATCAAACGCACGAACGCACGCACGCTATACATACATACCTATATCCGTATCATACAATCCATACAATCCTTATCCTTGTCACAAGTTACGGGTTACTGGTTCAGTTGCATAAACTTATATGAACGATTTGGTTTTTCTTATTGTCATCATTGTCATGGCCGCTGCATTGTGCATCGCGCGTCGTGCGTCTGAAGTCGAATTGGTTTTGTAAACGAAGGGGGAGGAATGGGTGTGTGGCGAGCAGTGAGAACGACGCCACACGGGCCTGGCTCTCGGGTCGAGGCCTTGCCGGTGACCGTGGCTTGTCGATGACGTCGATATCCCGGAAGTCGGCTCAGCGACGTGTTCCTTCTCGCCACCACAACCCGCTCCTCAAACCACAAGTGCAGTTTTCTCGAGCTCCCTCGTATCTGTGTCTAGTTCTTGGCGGACTGCATGTGCTGTGCATACTTGGCTTGGAAATGTGGTGACAATTGTGGTCCGCTTTACCCCTCCGCGCTGCACTCCGCTGCGCATTTGACTTCAATACATTCTATTCAATCATCTTTATAGTATATGATACCTCTCTGCATCTCTGCATTTGAGCAACAACACCGAGCTTCAGTAGTTTGATGCTGACGAACGAAAGAAAATAGGCTGCTTCTGTATATAATGGCTGCCCATAGGTGAATAGTGGTGAGTGTTTATTACAGAGTCTGAGTAAGTTAGATAGAGATGTAGGCCCTTCGTCGAAATGCGCAAAGTCTGCGAGAGCTTGCATGAGCCATAGCATGTGATACACACCATGGCCAGCTATCATTTTTTTTTAAAATCAATTGTATTTGTATAGCGCCGGCGAAAGCCAGGGGCGCTGAACGTATCGGTACTAGTCAACTATCTACAGTACGAGAGGGAGTTGGTAAATACTGTGGAACTCGACAATAGAGTAGGGGATGAGCCAGCTATCATTCACGGCTTTTAATCACAGTGTTCTTGTGTACCGGGCTCATCAGACAATATCACAGCGCATTCTGTCGGTACAGAATGCACGCTTAATTTTTCCTGGAGGATTTTGAGCGTGCAGAATGAACAGAACCCTGCTTCTATTCGTTTCTGCCCGAGCGAAGTGACTGACACAAAAACGGGCGCTGCCATGTACTAACTTCAGTCGCGGGTTCTGAATCAGTGGCCATATTACTCAAGTCACCATTCGAACAGCCATATATCGCCTTCGAGTCAGTCATCTACTCATGGGTCATGCCACCGGTACTTGCACAAGCTTGATTCCCCCACTGGATTGAGTTCTGCCCATCTACGCTTACGAGAACACTGGAAGTCCTGGCCATATATCCTCTGAAAGAAGTACCTATTCCTTTCAGATCATCGGAACTTTGCAAGGTGCTGGCAGCTGATGCAACAGAGAATAAAACATAGGGTGTCAACATTTTTGCCAGATAGAGAAAAGGTAATGTTGTTTCGAGAACAGGCACACTGCAGTTGAAGGCTCGGGGAATGGCTACTACTTAGCAGCCCTTGTTTTGTACTCCATGCTCACTTCCAGCACACCAGTCTGAGTATGCTCATAGAACGGAGCACCATACTGCGCTGGATAGTATCAGGCAATGCCCGGAGGGCTTTGGTCTGTGAACGCCGAGGAAGGAGAAGTACGAGTGTGTGTGTGGCGAGCAGGACGTGACGCCACCCAGCTTTCGGGTAATGCCGTCGACGACCGGAAATCGGCGTTTTTCTCGCTGTTTTTCGTCCTTTATCATGTACACTCTATTGTCAAAGCTGCACTCCTCGAGTCCGTTCCTGTGCGTATTATCTCTAACGAGACTCTGAGGTCTTCTGGCCAACATGAAGCGATATCCCCTAGCCCAGCGATCGGTTTCTCAATCTAATAGAAATTCTAGTGGGCGCACCGCTCACCCCTGTGCGTATCACCGCATACTCGGTCTTTTTGGTATGGAGAAAATACTCCCCCTTCCGGTGCAGTGCATGAATGCCTGCTACAAGAATACTATCGTTTGACCAGTGGCTGGGGTTGCCGCATGGGACCTGAGCGTTGAACATGATACTGCTTCTGATTCACGTTGCTTCCCTTGTGGAATTACCCTTTGCCAGTTTCCTCGCCTCATTTCTCTGGGCCTTAACGTCTTTGCGACTGGGCTTGGACCACTATCCCATTATGTTGCTAATGATAGTGGGCATCATATTGCGCAGCCCGTTTATATCAGCACCGTTGTATATACGATCATACACACAACGAATACGAAAGGTAACCTACTTGTATCTCATGAGAAACGCAGCGTGGCCGAATTCCCACACTGCTGTGGGCGCCTTATACATCCGCACAAGTACGTGCAGCGTCCAGCATGCACACAGCTGTAGGGCAGCTTCCAGCATCCACACTTCTTCCACACGTCCAGCACTGTACATTGAGATTATGGCTTGTCACGAAGTCTACTCCGACGAGCTCGCTTGCCGGAAGTGGGGCTACGCTCTCTGGAGACCAGATCCTGTACCTAGAGAGGTGCAAGGTCGTTATTACCATCAACGATTGCCAGTATCTCTCGGAGACGTAGGATTCGTCCGTGACGGCGGCTTCACCCCTTTATTCAACGTCCATCTCCCCTCCGACGATCCACTGCAGTCTCGTTACTTCCCAGAAGATTTTGAACACATACCGAAGCCGCGATACATACGTACGGACTGGCTAGACAAAGGAATACGGTTCTCTCGGACGGTTCGCGTCGGGGGTATGGATGTCAAACTCCCACTGGGGTGAGTTCTCTACGGTCCTTTCACAGCATCATACTCAAGTTTGGGGACTTCAAGCCTCGCTCCTCTGACAGGACAAGCCTCATTCAGCTGCCATAAGACGCAAGGCGCCGTTCAAGTGATCCCTAAAGAAGCAATTCGCACAGACGCCCATTCCCTACTAGATTACAAGACGTATATCCTAAAAAACTGCGAGAGCTGGCTTGCTTTCGCAAACGGGCCAGGTTCAGGGCTCGAGCTCGAAATGGAGGATCTTATTCTTGTGACGGGTTACGATCTGGCTTCATCCTGGGCTGTTGCTGCATTCATGCACAATGAGGCTGACGCGGCAATAGAGCTCCAGGTGAACACTGCTATCGGAGCGGGCGGTGCAGGGATGCACGTCTCTTGGAAGAACGAGTGCAATGCGGAGCATAACTGGGGCCCACGACCAGGTCTTCTAACTTCTATCGAAGCGACGCTCTCACCTCTTTCCCAGGATAGGACTTTGATGGAAAATCACGAGACGACATCCAGTAGTGGGGATGGGCAGACGGAGTCTTCGACGCGAGACCAATGTATATTCCTTAGAGGGTATCGTGTGAAACGCAGAGTGTTTCGAACCGTCAAGAAGATTCGCGCAATGGCTGGGCCTTCCGACCTACCCGAAGAACGAGATGGCAATAGTGACGCTGCCATTCCTTCAATAAACGAAACGCAAAACGAAGAAGACGTGTTCGAAGTCAGCCCGATTGCGAAAAATAGTGGTGTGCGTATTAGATTTTATAGTTGATCCCGCTTCAATTCACTCTCAGTGTTAATCCCAGTACAAACCGCTGGTTGTCTCGTTGTTGGATTATATTCTCGAGGTACATCTTTCCTTTCGTCGTGCTGTCAGTTCTATCCTTGCTGAATTCCAAGTAGAAGTCCGATGCTTCCATAGCCATTGTACACGACAAAGATTTCGAACTGTTCGATGATGTAGGTCATACCGGTTATGTGTCGACGGATCTCTGTGCTCAAAACTATTGCTAGGCTGTATGCACCCCATCCGGCATCCGTCGTGAGCTTTCAAGTGGCAGCCTGTCCATAGATATGCAATCAACGGGCTTTTCGCAGAGAGGTATGTGCTGACAGTTGTAACTGTCAGTTGTGTATTGCTGAACTGTTTCGACGCTATGCCCGGGTAATGTACCTAGTCGGAACGTTATCAAGTGAACGAAAACACCGCATACTGGATCGAAGACACCATAGGCAGCCAATCACAAGCTCTCTACAACAGGAACAAGAGCTCGCGGTGCAGGATCCGCCCGACACAAGAATTATATGGTATATGTTCAGCACTGTCATCTCTCTATCGCTGTGGTTGTCAGTAATGCTACAGTCATGTTTGCACCAACGTAAGCATACGCTCTGCTTATCGTGCCACTCTTCACCGTCCACTATTATTCACAGTGAATTACGTATCATTTAAGGCCTCAATCTACCTGCAATAATTAATCGCGCCTTTGCAACATTGGGCTCACTTTTGCCACTCCGTGCTGAAGGACCTCACTTACCTCGACGACAGAGACTGCGAGGAATGACCCCAACTATGTCAGTTTTATCGTACTTTTTCGACCAATTGCTCGCCTCGCATCACTGTCTGGCAAATCAGGGACCGATGAGCTTCGATTAGGAATCGAAGCTTGTCGGCCAACCCAAACCATTAGAGTCTCCTAATTGGGCTAACACTTGGTCGAAGAAACACAGTAGTCCAACTGCGCTCCTTCTTATTGATGTTACCATTTCAGAGACCCTGCCGCATTCCACGCTCTACTCATCGGGATCAACGCGTACCCGAGCCTTAAACATGTTACACTACAAGGCGCTATCATCGACGTCCACGCAGTCTACACCTTCCTCACCGAAGACCTTGGGGTGCCGCCCTCGAACATAAAGCGCCTAACCGCCAGTGACGCCACAAGAGCCGCCATTCTTCGCGAACTCAAAGCTCTCGCTTCAAATCCATCCATCAAACCCGACAGTCCGATACTCATCTATTATGCCGGCCATGGATCCTCGGGTCCTCCCCCAGCGGAGTGGAACGTCGATGATGCGAAAATTGAATACATCGTCCCTTACGATTGCTCAAAGGCCACGCCGGCAATACCGGATAGGACGATCGCTGCGTGTTTGGATAACATCGCTAAGTCGAAAGGAGATAACATTGTCTGTCACTTCTTTTCACCTTGCGGCTCTGCACTGATTCGCTGGGGAACTCACGAAACCTTGTTTGGAACCAACAGACCGTCATCCTCGACTGCTGCCATTCCGGCTCCGGCACTCGCGACTCAAGTGGCGTCCAGCGCATACGCTACGTTGATCTTCCTATCGATACTATCTCTCCGACGCTCGACAAGGAGATCTGCGGTCCTGAAGCGGCCGCCCCTGGCAAGCTTGCCCGAGGCTCGACTCTTGCACCTGGGTTTCGCCAGACAGGTCTCGGTTCCCATATCCTTCTCGCAGCATGCGGCTCGCGTGAATCTGCGGCAGAAGACGAGAGGGGAGTCTTCACGCGTGCATTGATCAAGGCACTCCAGGAGAACTGGAGGAACGGGGTCACATACAAGGAGTTAATGATGGTCATCCCAGAAATTTCTAAGTAAAACATCTCTTTCTCTGTCATCGTCGCAGATGAATGTCTTACTTCTCGCTGTACAGTCAACATCCCCAATGTGAAGGCATAAATCAGAGCCGTCAAATATTCACGACTATAGTAGCTCCAGTCTCTCTTCTCGCCGCCGTTCGCAGTAATACCTTCTCGGTGGCTATCACTGCGCCAAACCGCCGTGTTTCTATGGGACGCGGACGTTTACGCGGGGATGCCAGTCGGAAGGAGACCGGGCAACAATTTGGTCTAGAGTTTGGCGAGGGCTTGAATGAGGAGGCAGAGAAGTTTAGAGAGGCCCTGGATCGTGACAATCAATGTACTGTTGAACAAGATCCAGCGCCGGCTTCAACAATTTCGAACGATCTACTCGTTTCTCTTGGCGGCCACGACATTACATTCGACGCTATTTCCGAAACTCATTCCAAGCTCGGCTTCAAACGGCTTCCATGCACCGTCGCACACAATTCTGATCATCTCAACTTCGTGCTATCCGTAGCTACCAATTTCTATTTCCACCTCCGCCGCCAACCCCAGCGCAGTGTTATCTCGAGGGATGTCGTTCTCGAATTCACGGAACTCGAAGAAATTGCCGCAGACGAGGATCTGGCGGTGCAGAATTTCAGACCGTCGAGCAAGAACCTCATTAACGAGGACAATGAAGTGTACCTCGACATATGCAGCACGATCGAGAAGCAATATGGGATAAGAATTACAAACAACTCTACCTCGGATTTATATCCTGCGCTTTTCTACTTCGACAATAGTGATTTCAGTATTCGTGAGTCTTCCTCTCTGTCATCAACTCATGCGCTGATGTCCTTCACCAAACAGAGAGCTACTTTCTTCCACCTTCATCCACTCAGGGTGGCAAACCCGATCCACCTCTTCGAGCTGGGGAGTCGCTCAACATTGGTTACGGATCAGGTGGTGTACCTCCGTTCCAATACTTCCTTCGTGAAGGGCAGAAGATGGACCTGGGATTCTTGAAGTTGTTTCTTACGAGAGCGTACGTCGATCTTTCGAGTATTGCGCAAGAGTCACCATTTCTGGTGCAGCGTGGTGGTGGTGGTGGTGGTCGAGATGTGCAAAGTATTATAGAGAATAAGACAGTGGCTCAGATGCCGCTGTCGTCGGCCTGGGATCAAGTCACGATTCCTGTCGTACAGAAGCGCGTATCTTCACCAATGTAGTTTGAATGGTAACGCCTAACACATTTCTCCTGTGATGGAGCAACCATTTTGACACGCAAAACTTAGATTGTGCCAGTTTTATCGTGTATGTTACCCGATCTCAAGGATACTGCAATCGGTATCAATGATTCATCACAGTAAACGATGCCAGTCCAACTTTGAAATAAAGGTCCACTCACGACCGTGCCCCTCGGAAGGTATGGACCGATGGTCCAAACGCGGTCATACGCCAGATGTAGTGAGCAAAGAAGGCGATGAGAAAGGGTTGACGTCGTAAAAGAAAATTGTGGTCTCTTTCAATCCTGAGTTGCGAGATGGGCACCGAGATGTAAATACATTTACGTCCTACGAACTATGTAAATGAAGACGCTGATTCTAAAGTCTGTACAATGGGAATTGTAAGTTCATGCCATAGGATGAGTGGCGATATCTCTCCCGCTGCATTATCGTCTACATCATCGTCCTCTTCCTCTGCCCCGCGGTCTCTATTCTTCGACGGCGGAAACGGAGAGTCTTGCACAATACTCGATAGATCCACGTAATCACTTGTAAGAAATAACTTCAGGAATCCCAGGTCTATATCCTGCCCTTTACGAAGTGAGTATTGGAACGGAGGCGTACCACCTGATCCGTAGCCAATATTGAGCGACTCTCCAGCTCGAAGAGGTGGATCGGGCTTGCCGTCTTGAGTGGATGAAGGTGGAAGAAAGTAGCTCTCTATGTTTTGGCGAAGTCAGCACATGAAATGGTGACAGAGAGGAAGACTTACGAATACTGAAATCACTATTGTCGAAGTAGAAAAGCGCAGGATATAAATCCGAGCCAGATACGTTTTTAATCTTTATCCCATAAATCTTGCTGTCGTGCTCGCCATCTACCTTTAGCTTGATCATATTACCATCATACACCTTCCATCCATCCATCCATCCATCCATGACCATATTCCCACTAGACGGTCTGAATTCCGTTGCCTGCTCCTTATCTGTGGCCATTACTTTGAGTTCCGTGAATTCAACCTGAACAACTTTTGTCGATATGTTGGCCACGGTGTCCCTGCGCTGGGGTTTCTGGTAGAGGTGAAAATAGAAACTCGAGGCTGCGGAGAAAACGTATTTGAGACGACCGGACTCGTTGTGCGGGATGGTGTGTGGAAGCCGTTTGAAGCCGAAGTTGGAGTGGGCTTCAGAAATAGAGTCGAATGTATAGTCGGAGTCGCTGAGAGAGACAACTAGATCGGGATCGTTGCGAGGTGTCGAGGATTGTGCTGAATCTTCTTCGACAATATATTGACGATCGGGTAGACTCACGAGTAACTTCTCTGTTACATCGTCTATTCCTTCGTTGATTTGTATGCTAATGTCACGTTTTTCTGCCTCGAATCGAACGCTTCCGCGTGAGCCGACCACGATACGTCTGTTCGGCATGATGTTGAACACCACCGAGTATAGATTTCCATACAGACGAGCTTCACGAGGTGGTGTCGCTGTCGTGGTGAATAGATAACGGTTCTTGTGGATGCCTTCGCACTGGGGACTTTGACTAGACGTTCAAGAGTAGAATAGTCAGGTTTGGTAAATGATACACTGGAAGCAGAGAAAATATACGATTTCGACAATTTCGGTATCGCACTCATCAACATCGTGTATGAGATCCGGTGTCCCATCTTCTGCCTGAGCGCACTGAGCGCACTGATTAATTCACGCGTGAAGACCCCATCCGACGCAATATGGCGCGAGCCGCACGCTGCGAGAAGGACATGGGATGCGAGACCTGTCTGGCAAAAACCCGGTGCATAAGTTGAGCCTCGAGACAGACTGCCAGTGGCGACCGCTCCAGGACCCCAGATCTTCTTGTCGAGCGTCAGAGGGATAGAATCGGTAGGAAGATCAACGTAGCGGATGCGCCGGCCGTCACTTGAACCGCGAGTGCCGGAGCCGGAATTGCAGCAGTCGAGGATGACGGTCTATTAGTTCCAAACAATGTTCGTAAGTTCCCCAGCGAGTCAGTGCAGAGCCGCAAGGTGAAAGGAAGTGACAGACAATGTTATTTCCTTTCAATTTAGCGATGCCGTCCAAACACGCAGCGATCGTCCTATCCGGTATTGCCGGCGTGTCCTTTGAGCAATCGTAAGGGACGATGTATTCGATTTTCGCATCGTGGACGTTCCACTCCGCCGGAGGAGGACCCCTGGATCCGTGGCCGGCATAATAAATGAGGATCGGATCGTCGTGTTTGATGGATTGATTCAAAGCGAGAGCTTCGAGTTCGTGGAGAATGGCGGCTCTTGTGGCGTCACTGGCCGTCAGGCGCTTTATATTAGAGGGCGGCACCTTAAGGTCTTCGGTGAGGAAGGTGTAGACTGCCTCGACGTCGGCGATAGAATAGTTCAGGTTTTTCCAAGGGTTTAGGTGCTGGTACTTGTTAATTCCAATGAGTAGCGCGTGAAATGCGGCTGGGTCTCTGGAATGGCAATTTTAACAGCAGGGTATAGACTGGAGTGAAAGAAAACTGACATGTCAATTGGCACTGCATTCGAGCCTGAATCTGAGCCTGAATCCGACCCTCGATTCCTTCTCATGGGACCGGGAAGTCCTTTGGCACCGGTATACCATTGTGACAAACGTCCCCAAGCATTCTTGAGAGCTGCAAGTACTCTGAGTCCCCCTGGACATATGCATACTGCCCAATACGCACGTCAATAAGAATGAACATCACCAACGGGTGATTAAATTTATCAAGATTGACGAGAAAGGCACTTACATGTCCAAAAATCCAGGATCCTTTTCACTCTCTGCATCGATGACAGTTTTGCTAGTTCGAGAGGTCTGAACGTCGGTGGGGAGAAGTAGTAAGTCAACCGTGGGTATCATCAGATGTTCATGTTCGTAAGGATATAAGAGGTTGGGGGCGGCGGTCCGCCTGAAGATGGTGGAAATTTACCCTTGAGGGATTGATGAGGGTAGAGTTGACGCGCATTATCCTAGGGAACACTTCTTAGTGAGTATATCGAGTCGTACGCTACCTAGTCCTAACTAGTCGACCTCTCGAACAGTGCCGAAAAGGCCGGTGACATAAACTCCGGACAACTTACTTACTGGTGTGATCTCTTCCAAAAATTTCAAGCAAGGAAAGTCATGAGGAGCATATCCCCACGAAAACAGTTTCGCGGAGGAAAGAGACTTCCGCGATTGGAACATGGCAGAGAGGGGCTTTTTTTCCTCTGCCCTTCTCAAGTTCTGTAGGTCGCACGAGAATCGCAAGCATTGATATGCTGCAGATTGCCGCCGAGGCTGAAACACAGGTCTTACCGGCTCTCTAGGTTTTCAGAACCTGATACGAGCTGTCCAAGCCTCAATTCCGGCGAGTGTTTCCCAAAAACACCCCAAAAGTAGAGAAGTGACCGTCTCGATCTGGTCTCTTCAATGGAATGGTCGCTGGTGCTGTCTTGCATGCAGTCAGGAACGTGGTAGATCCGGTAACTGTGAACGTGAACGATGTGTTTCCATTGTCCAAGGATGCTTTTAATGTACATGAAACTCGACCTTTGATGTCTGCACGATGAGAGGAAGTCGAGCATATGCGGGTTGCCACGACTAAATTGAGATACACCATGGACACGATCCTATGGTGGCGTTAGACATCGGCGCCCGTCTGTGTCGTATTTGGGAGCAACCCAAGAAGCAGAGAAGGTCATGGTCACCGACAAGAATAGGTCGCGAAAAGCCACAGGTCATTCCGTTAGACGCGTTTGGGGTTTGGGTGTTCGAAACACGCTGCACGCATGATTCCAGCTGCGAGCAGTGGCTCAGAGCTAGCTGAGAGCAAGAAGAGTACGGCTTACCGGCCGTGGATTGCTGGTCAGGGTACGGTTCATGAAGTTCATACTCCGAAGGAAGGTGTTTGGCTCACCAATCTAGCCGTTCCATTTTGCAACGTGTAGGCAAAAGATTACTTATGGAAAGCACGCATCAAGTGCTTGGTGCTCATCTAGTTGGCAACAATTCCCACCGAGGACACCACTGCCGTTCGAGGCCCTTGGCATTTGGAACCACTTACCTGGAGTGCTCCCGGTTCGAAGTTTGAGGCACGGTGCCGTAATGCTCTTGAATCATCGAGACTGCAAAACAGAAGGTGGTTTATCAAGCCGTGGTGACTCACGACTACCAGTAGATCACTGTACTTGGGTACGGATATCAACACACACATTGTCCCTTGTCCCGGTTCGCATGGGGCGACAGCTGGCGCTGGCTTGAACGTGTACACGAGAAAATACAGCACGGAAAAGGAAGCGACGAGGGATGGAAGTGCAAATCAAAAGCGCGTATCCATGTCTGGACACGCACAAGCGCTGGAGGGTAGTTTTCTCGTGGATGGCTTCATGAACCAGTAAACTAGGTGTTTCGCACCCCGCATAAGGAAAGCGAGCCACAAGCCTCCTTCAGAGTTGGGGGCGAAAGAGTCTTTAAACACTTCCGACGGTCGTTGAACGTATCCGAGTCTTGGCGGTCGAAACACTCCTTCGTGAGCCAAACGAGAGAGTTGCCGAACGAATACTCTCTCTTGGCCATCAGAGTATTTTGACGCCAAGGGTCGAGAACCCGTTCAACGACCGTCGAAAGAGTGTTTGAACACTCTTTCGCCCCCAACTCTGAACGAGGCTTATACCAATACAGTGTTTTCGCTGTCGAGTGCGACAGCCGTTGCGCTGCTGGATCTGTCGAGATTTCCAGAGCTCTGTTTGGAGCGAGCCTAACAGCGCCTCCCACTGCCAGATGCTCCTGATGGCCGCCTTCACGGCGCCTCCTGTAAGAAAAACCGGAAAAATGGGGCATATGCAGTACACTGTGCTTGATGTATACGCATCTCAGTGGTCAAAAATGTGTTTGGAATATGTTTCTTGGAGGGACAGGCCATTGACCATGCGTGAAGCAAACGAAGCGCCTGCGTCGACTTGCTCTGTCGCTGTAGCGGCGACAGCTGTTTGGCCTGGTTGGGAAAACGGTCTCATAAAAGGATTGGAAAAAGGTTCACGTATGTGATTCGGAGCCACCTGTGAGTTGACGTACAAGGGCTGCTATAATAATCAGAAGAAGTTTTATGGTTTGGACGCGTACGGTTCGCGGACGATGACGATGCGGGGATGTTAGACTATGCGTTTCAAGAACCCCACCCTACTCAGGGTGCAGGATGCAACAAGCACTATTAAGGCCGAACATAGGCATATTAGGTTCCAGGAACATCACGTCCAGAGAGAAAAGCATCTATATTCGTCCAGTCATGGAAAGAAGAAAAGCGCGTCCCGCACATACACATCGGTTGCAGAAGCATGTGGAACCAATAGACGCAAGCTCGCGTTTTCGTGTTCCCATCCCACTCGGGCGTATCTGTATCGATGTCAACTTTTGCATCCCCCGGTGGAGCGACGATGACCATCGCTACATATATGCCCTGAGTACTGATAACTTCCCTTGGATCCATGGAGTTCTTCGACGTCTAGATCTTCAACGAACCACTTGCACGGGTCAAAAGCCTAGAACACATATCGCCAACAACACACCCACGGACAAGAACATCAGCGCTCCCTTCGACGATCTTGATACGCCCGCCTCCCCGACCGAACACGAGCTCCCTTTCGAACTCGAAGAACCAGAACCAGAACCCAAAGAACCAGCAGACGCACCATTCTCCGCAAACCCAATCGTCCTTGCCCCCACATCATACACCGTATAATAATGCTTCAACAAACTCCCGCCGACCAATTCCAGCCCGTCGAACGCATTAATCAGCGTCTGGCACTCCGTCGCATTATCCGCGAACGGGCCCACGCTTAGTTCTTCGGACGGGATGGTGAGGTTGAACGGCTCGTTGGACGTCGAGGTGAAGGTGATAGAGATTGAGGCGGGGAGCGTGGGGATGAGGGAACAGGGGAGGCCGTAGGTGCCGGGTTCGGAGGCGTGTGGTTGGATGAGGGGCGAGATGAGGGCGTAGATTGCCTGGAGTACATTTTCGGGATCATAAATACGTGAAGGAGTACAAATCGCGACTTTGCAAATCAGACGCACCTCGGTCGTGTTCGTACTAAACAAAACATTACTCGTCCCACTATCAAATATCACCGTCCGCTCCGAGTTCAGCAGAGGTGTCGTTTGGCCGTTCACGAAGATGGAGGGGGAGGGAAGTTCCCAGGTACGGCCGGAGCCGGGGAGGGTCGCGTTGATTAGGTCGCCTGGGTGGTGTAAAAGTTAATTTAAGTTCACAGCAGACGATGGAGAAAGGACCAGAGGACAGAAAGAACGGGCCACCGCCACATCAAACATGAGCGAACACGAGAAAGCAGAAACGGTCAGCGTTCTTGCACCCATAATCAACCAACATAACTGGTCCGTCTGATTCGCTGGATACTCGAACGGGGATTGGAGCGTCAACGCCAGTGGGCCACTGACGGGGATGCCACATGCATCGCCGTCTGACTCCTTGTTCCAGCCTCAGCTGGGCCACACCACGGTGGATGTTCCAGCTCACTTGCGTCGAGATCTTGGTTCTTTTGTGGACCTTGTGCTGGACCTGTGACCCTGAAGCTGCAGTCATCCTATTGACCACTCGTGGACGAGCGTATACGTAGCTCGGCGGGGAGTGGCCCGTAAGACCTCCGTGGAGGTTTCGACAACTCTGACAATAACGAATGTGTCCGTTTGCCCTGCAAAGCAAGGGCTCCCGCTAGTCAACATTACAAAGGAGCTCAGTGTTACGGGGCCCCATTTCCAACGAGTAGTCAACTGGGCTATCTCATCCGCTCGACATTTGAGGCCAATGAGCCACTGGTGGCGATGCCATATGCATCGCCGTACGCGTCTGAGATGTTCCGGGTCACTCGTATTGAGACCTTTGTTCATGTATAGACCGTGCACTGTCCAGTTGACCACTCGCCGACGAGCGTAGGTGGCCCGCGAGATCTCCAGAGTCCACGGAGGTTTCCACTACTTCTCTGACAGCATGAACATGAACTCTGCCCGTCTGTCCCGCGAAGTACGGGCACCGACTAGTGACATATACGATAACATAACGCAGACTGAGTCCACAGGAATCGAAGAAACACCGAAAGATACTGATACTGACTCGGAAAGAAACAGATCTAGAACACGTACCTTTGAACTTCGAAGAGTCGATCCCGCCGAGCAGCAACTCCGCGCCCCCGTCCGCTTCAGGCGTGAGGAGCATACTGAAGAGGGCTTGATGATATGATGTCCAAACGTCGGGGCCAGAGTCAAAGTTTCGAGCGTGTTTCCGTCACCGTCACCGTCATGGGATGGGTGGATAATTGTCGATTCCGAGTCCAGTCGGGTGGTGCGGAGAGAGGGAGAGTGCCACGTCGAGCGAGCATCGAGGGTATAGAGTTTAAGAACGTAAAATAAAATTAGTGAATGCATAGAGAAGAGCGTGCCAGCAGAACTGCCATATTATTATGAATGGGGAGATAGGAGAGAAGTGAAATAAATATAGGAGTAGGATAGGATAAATCGAAGTTATGCGATGACAATGAGTGAGGATCAAGAACGTACAAGGCAATCCCTGCGCTACCAATCCCGCAAATAATCCGCCCGCATCTGCCGACAAACCTAGACGCAATCGATGTCAGCATCATTACTGTCCATCTCCTCCTCCGCCTCCCCGTGCAAATTCCAACTCTCATCCGCCCACAAACCGACTGCAACGCACCTTGAATCCCGCTATACGGATCCGGCCCAAACGCCGCCGTCTGTTCCGTCACCTGAAAAAACTCGACATCGCTCACGAACACGCCCCCAATACCCACCGTATCCGTCGCGCTCCTCAACGTGAGCGTGTATTCGTCTCCGATGGCAGGGTTGACGCCGCCGCCGGTGGCGAAGACGATGGTGGATTCGGAGCCGCCGTCGACGAAGGTGGAGGAGGCGGAGGCGTTGAATTGGGTCTGGTTGGGGCAGGTGGATGCGCAGAGGGTGCCTGGGGGAGTAGGATGATCAAAGGAGGGAAGGTTAGAGGGGAATTGGAGAGAGTGGAGAAAGAGACGCACTGGTTACTTCGAGGGTTACGCTTCCTGTGTCGAACACGGTCTGAATCAGAACAGGAAGACATTTAGCAGTCAGCAATATTCAGATGAATGGATGCGGATAGGGGCTCCGGACGACTGACCGGAAGGGTTTGTGGTGGTGTCCCGACTGTATCGTGCACATAGATCGGCGTTGGACGGCTCGGTCAGCGATCATGCATCATGATGTGTCGTCGAGGAGGACGCTGGGAGGACTCAACTGGTGATGTTGCCAAACCACCTATGACACGTCGTCCAAAAAATTCAGTCAGCTTCAATCGTTCTATTCACAACCAATCGCCACGTCCGCGCGTTCACTCTTCCTCTCTCTCTCCCTCTCGTAAGCCACTCACACGATCTCCTCCCCACCCCACACAACGAGGACCCACAAACCTCCATACGAAACGACCAAAGAACAAACAACTCACTGCAGATCCGTCCCCAAAAACTGATCATCCAACGGAACTGTGATATTGTCCACCGCTCTCCTCTGGTTCTTGACGGACCTCGGCGACCTCGTGGTTACCTTTCTGGACGACAGGGAGATCTTCGCTGGTTCTGCGGCTAGTGCGATGGAGGCGGAGAGGAGGGCGCTGAAGCCGACGGTGGATGTCTTCAGTAGCATGGTGGTTTGAAGTTAACGGACGTGAACGTGGAAGTCAAGAGAAAGAGCGTAGTCTTCTCAGTTCGCTATGGTCGTGCGAGCCTGAACTAGTAAACGCAGTATGTGTGGGACGCGACGGGTGGAAAAACCCCAGCTGCCAGCAAGCAAGGTCGTATTTATACCACGGTCCACAATTGAACCTAGCGACGCACAGGCCTAGGAGAAGCACTTGGCGGAGAAAATCGAAGAGGGATATCCATGTGGTCTGGTACGGGCAGGTTATACGGAGGTGGACTTCGCGTATGGGTGTGGCCCGCCATCAGGAAATAATGTGGTTCCAAACCCCGATCGGGAAGGAAAGTCGGTGGCGGGGGCGGTTCGCAGGGTCGAGCGCGTGGATGGGAAGACGCCGGACTTGAACTACGAGTGAAATGCAGTGAGTCCAGTAAATCAGGGGCAATAATCAAAGTGGCAGTAAGTACACGCAGAGGCCATCAATTCGCTACCTGTCGACTAAAAGCTGCACATAAATGTATGAGGGTCCGCAGAATACGGATACTACGAGCTACAGGTTGACCAGACTCTACAAAGCTACAAGTATATGGGTTATCGACGGTCGTCCGTGATATACGTCGAATTCCTATCAATAGATACGCTGTGAAGGTCGGAGATTTACATCTACACCCCTAACCCGAAAAATACATCACCCACCTCAACAACACCCACAAATCACTTCGCATCCTTCCCCACCCCAAACATCTCAACCAACCCCTTATTCCCCCCATCCTTCAACACCGAATACTCCCTCTCCGGCACCCTCCTCCCCCTATCCAGACTATCAAACACCCACTCCGGCCTGACGACATGCGGCCGGACCTTCATCTTCTTCTGCGTGAGGAGTCGGTGCGTCTTGCTTCCGCTGAGCTGTTGTGAGGTCAGGATGTGTGTGGCGTTTGAGGCGGAGTACCTGTAGGAGCGGGAGCGGGGGAAGTGAGTAAGTCGGGTTCGAATAGAAGGTAGGAGAGGGACAGAGAGAGAAAGCACATACAGGACCTCCCCACCCGCCTCCGTGATGATCTTCTTCATCTCAATGTCTGTCGTATTCTCGAGGAACCCGTCGATGTACGCCTTCACGTTCCTCAGCACGTTCGTGTTGGTAGTATTACCCGCCTGCTCCTGTGAAGCCAAATTCGACGACGGCCCAGCTTCTTGCGTCGTCGATCGTGCAGCCTCTTGCGTCGTCGACCGTGCAGCCTCTTGCGTCGTCGACCGTCCAGCTTCTTGCGTCGTCGACTGTCCAGCCTCTTGCGATGTCGATCGTTCAGCCTCCCGTCGTGCCTCTGCTAACTGCCCCTCGAGCTTCTCCTTCCGCCGAGTGAGATACTCAGCGGTCGAACCTGCGTTCCGCCCATCTGAGCGCTGATGGCCCGTTGCTGTCGAGGTTACGTGATCTTTTCATCGAATGGTCGGTAGGCACAGTCAGGAGAGGGCGAGCAAGAGAAATATCATGAGTGTTTTGAAGGAGGAAGAGATGCGTGGAGACGTACCAGTCCTCGCATACACATCCGAATGCGTGATCGGGTTCGTCTCCTCGTGAAGCGTGCTGAAGAGGTGTTTACGGATCGCGGATGCGGAGGGCGTCTTTCCGTCCGCTGTGAGCAGCGGCTTTCTCTTCTTCTTCGCGGGTATAGGCTTCTGGGTCGAGATGCTGTATGAATGAGTACGAGTGTTAGCTGTGGCGCGTTTGTGTTTCGGATGATTTTGACGAGCGAAGACGAGGACGCGGACGGAAATGGAGGTGGAGATGAAGACGGAGATGGAGATAGAGAAGGAGGAGAAGGGGATAGAATGCGTACCCGTCCGACGTCATTGCGCGATTCGTAGCTGTAGAATAAGGAGCGTATCGAGAGCTGGAAGAAGTCTTCGAGCCTGAGTCTTGTTTACCGCCGCTCGCAGCGGCGCGTTTCGAGCTCGTCGAAGGTGTCGTGACGACGACGAACGCGTCCATAACAAGTCGACAACGAAACGACTAAGACCAAGACAACAGATGGCTGGTGTATGATGTGAATGTAGCCCGAGTTCGAGACTGTAGACTGAAGCTTGGGGCGTAGAGATTTGGGCAGAACGAAAGAGTGGAAAGAAAGAGAGGATGTGTTGATTCTTGACTATATACAAAGCGTGTCAGATCTTTGGGGCCCTCTGGCACGTCAAGGTGTCGGTGTCGGACGCGGTGCCATGGAGGTCAGGATCAAAACTAAAACAGACGATCTTTAAATCTGACACGGTTGTTGTCATGGCACGTGACCGCGATGTTTTCAACTGTTTTGTGACACGGTGGCACCGAGGCACGAGTGCCACCTTCGTTGGGATGAGATGAAGGGACTAAACATAGACGTCTCTGCTTCTGGAACAACCTGCAGATCACTGGACACCGTCTCCTTGGAGATGAAGGCTACATTAAGTAGGCTCGTAATCTACAAGTGTGCGCTAAAAGGAAACCATGTAACCCATAAAATCATCACTGATCATAATCGTAACCGTAATCGTAAACTATCCTACACAAGCGGGGATACTACTCGTTCCGGGGTATCACATCCGCACAACAACTACTTCAAACTTAACCATCTCTACCAAACCATGAACTTATGCTACATAATCTGCGAAAGTGAAATGCTTCATCCCATAACCCTCACGCCGTCGTAATCGCCCAAAGCCCACATATGTTCGCTCCCGAGACGAAGTACGCACATTCTGCTCGTAGGGACATCGAGTGCTTCAGAAGCGGCGTGAACGAGCTGGGTGCACAAATACACGATTCAAATATGAGGAGGATGAAAACGAGCACGAGGATGAGAGACACGGGGGATGGAAATGGAAGGCTTACGCATGGAGAGAACGTCCCCTTGACGAATGCCAAGCTGGATGAGCCACAATCAAACAAACACCATATGCATACGTCAATAATAGTCGAGGAAGATGAGATGTAACGCAACACGCACTCAATCGTGACCATAGGAAACGCCTCGTCCAATATCCTCGTATTCGGCTCCAGTTCAGTCGGGATATCTTCAGCGGTGGGGTACGCATGTACGAACACGACGGTACAGGCCTCTGGAGTATTGGCTTGGACGGATAGGAGGGCCCGTAGCATCATATGAATCTGGTACGACATCAGTACCAAAGTGGGAGAAATCGTTGGCATGAAAGGAACAAGGAAACACACATCGTCATGTTTGATCCAGACGCAAACTTTTGCATCGCGCGTCCGTTTGTACCATTTCACAAGGTACCGATTAAGCAGCCTCGTTATCTTCCAGCTACCGCGGGGAGACGGCTCGAAGAATCGAAGGGCTAGGCGGGCGATTCGGGGTTGAGAGCCTAAGACGAAGAAGGCGAGACCGATGAGGATAAATGACGGTGCGAATAGCTTGAGGGTCGAGGGACTATCTCATGAAAAATGAGTAAATTGAGTGCACGTTCAACGGAGTGGCGTGATGGGTGGCGCAGGGCACTAAGAATATTGTACTCACGCCAAGGCAATGTTCCCTGCCCAAGTTATAGAAAGGGAGAGAAGAGCGCCCGTGAGGGCCCATAATCCCGCGCGGTACGTTCGAGGGAGAGTAGGGCGATTATACTTGAGGACGAAGTTTGAGGTGGCAAACTACAATAAAGACAACGAAACGCTATCAGTGTTGGTTTTCAGGGAGATGATAAATGCGGACGTACAAGGAGCATTACAAACAAGAACGCTACAGAAAACATGCCAGAGGCAGTATTCACGTTCATACCCGAAGCAAGCCATAGTAAGATTGCCAACAAGACGGAGAATGCAGTCGCGACGTATGCGCCATTCGTGAGGGGTGTTGTGGCCAGGAAGACTTGTGGCAGTACACAATCCCTATAGTGAACGAATGAGTGGAAACAAGTAATTATATTTTTCAATGTGGACGACGTCGCAAGGACTGACCTGGCCAGTCGATCAATTAGTCCCCCACAGGTGACGAAACCAGCCAATACTCCTCCCATTAGCACACAGACCGCATCAATGACCACCCAGATTCTCATCCACCTCCCACCCGCAATCGTCTCTCCGAGTAATGAAAGGACGTTTCCTCCCGTTACGTCGCTGTATGGTAAGACCGCAAAACAGAGAAGACAAAGCGTGCCACCTAGACTGGCCGCTATGATGATAAGATTACGAAGGACAGAGGCGTAGGTCTTCGGTTGCATGTGTTCAATATAAGTGGGAGTACATTCGAAGCCTAAGTGTGGAGTGCCGGTCAGTTAGTAGTCATAGTGTGGTGTGGTGTAAAATCATAATGTACCAGTGACGCCGAGGAAAGCGACGCAAGTGCCATAGAAAAGAGCCTTGAGTGTATTAATGACACCCTCAGGCCGCAAGGCCCAATTCTCCCGCAGAACTGACGAATTTGGATCCATGCGTGCCCAATGAACGATACTGGCGAGAATGAGCGCGGCCATAGTAGCAAGCTATGGATGTTGTCAGACACATTTTCGCAGGAGGAAAATATAGAGACATACATGAAAGACAAACACGGAGGCGCTAACGACTGCGCTCTCCTTTCCGCCAACGCCAACAACCACGCCTATTACCACCAGAAAAATGATAGTGAGAACGCCGGTAGACAGTGGGAAGGAGGTAAATTCATCGTAGAGGTATGTGCTTGCTGTGGCTGACGATACTGTGGCCGTTGCGATTGCATCGAGGAGAGTAGCTGTCGCTCCAATGATAGAGAACGTCTTCCCGGAGAATTGCAGGAGGTAGATGTAATTCCTGTAGTAGGCAGGATCAACACAGTATAGCGAGACATTGCATTATTCACATACGCTCCGTTCAGGCGAACAGCAGAGGCGAGCTCGAGCAGTAGAGGACGGAGAAATAACAAAAGAGAGGCCGCAAAGACCAGACATATCGGGGCATAGGTACCTATGCAAGGGTGATTAGAGCGGGCCACACAGGGAGTAAACTAAATGCGGGTCACCTGCGACTGCTATAACTGCCGGAAAAGTGTAGAATACACCACCAGCTAGACCGTTGCCAGCTACAGACGTCGCCTTGAGCTGTCCAAAGTATTTGTGCGGCCGTTTGAGAGTCTCTGCAGACGGTAGAGACACGTCAAGATAGCTCATTGAACCCCATCCCTGTTATTATGAAGGTAAGACAAGCGGTGTGGCAGAAGATAGGCATCACGCACAGCGAACTCCCAGTCGTTGTTCAAGTGCGGCGAGCGAGAAGGATGATGCCGAATTTTGAGACCGTCAGGATCGTTTCCGTGGCGTTGCCTTCGAACTATCTATGAATGAAGGGTCGTCAATAAACGCATAGTGGAGTTTGGATAATAGCGGGCGTGTCGTACGGTTTGAAACTCGCTTTGTGCGAATGAAGGAGGGGCAGCATTATCATCTTGGCCATGAAAATAAACTATGAGAACAAAATACGCGCGATTCTTGTGAGACAAAAAGCCTACCGAGGTCACGCACGACGCCACTCTCCGGAATGGGCCCTAAGACTTCTCCCTGGACATGTCGAGGGAATATCCCAGTACTCGAAGTTTCGAGCTTTTCACCGAGGCGGTTGGTCCCTTGACTCAGCGTTCCATTCTCTAAAGGCATTAATTGGAAGTGCCGTAGAATAGATACTAATTGATATAGAAGCGTGTCGCGGTAAAAGACAGGTGGCGTAAGTGGAACTTTCCTGCAATGGACAGTTGATAGACAGTCTCTTGTCGTTAGACTTCACCAGCATGATATATCTCGAGATTGACAAACCAGAAAGTTGACAGAGTCCACTAGAAATATACAGGTCAGCCTGAGCAAGACTAGTACTGGGCGATAATACGCCACTGAGTTTCGGAAATGGTGGTGCAACAAAAGAAGAAGGCGGCAACGGCGGTGTCCAAGAGGCCCCTGAAAATCGGGCGAAATACCATACCTGGTCCGTTTAGGAGCAGGTTGTGGACGTGGACGAAATCGCTACTCGCCTTCCAAAACGGGGTAATTTGCATCTCCCACGCTGCCCGTTCCAGAGCTCGGCAAACAGTAGTGGCGCGGTTCCCGACGTCATACCCATCTCTTGCTCGTGTCTCAGACTCTCACTGCAAAGACGACTCCTTCACTAAACCTTTTTTGAAGTTCATCGACGCTGCGTACCACGACTTTCTTCCCATCTCTTTCTTGTTTCTCGAGAATGTTGCCAACGCTGGCAGTCAAGGGAAAGGAGTCCGGCAAGGCCCGTATTTTCCGGTCGGGTACTTCTGGTACGTTGACAGTGCTGCTCTCCGTCCCTCATCGTGAGCATTGTGGACGACAGGTATCGCCGAGTCGCTCATCCTGCTCATACATAACAGTTATTTAATGTCCAGCCAGGTCAAGGTGCGTATATCTTATGAGAGCCCCAATTCCCCTATATCAGTAGCATTACTTTTGATCTATATCCTAGTTCTCG